AAAACCAGCCGGTACCTATGTTCACACATGTGACACAGATCTTCATGACGCCATTTCTATCGTATCTCTCGAGTCTCCTTATCATCATTGCTGCACAAGTCTGAAGCCTCACCAACTAAATTCCCAACCCCTGACTCATACCCACCACCACACGCCTCACAATGTAAGTCCACTCACAACCACCCTCAGCCTCAACTTACAAAGCAACACCAAAGAAAAAAAAAAATCTAATATCACCACCACCACACACATAGGTCCCCCTCCCCTCCCGCCTTCTCCCCCGTCACCCTCACCCACCGCTTCACCCGCTCCGCATCCCGCTCCGAAATCACCGCCGTCGGCATCTCCCCCTCCTCCTCCTCCTCCTCCTCCTCCTCGTCCCGGGCCTCCGGCACTCCCCCCCCCTCGCTCGCCTACGCCATCTTCCCCGGCGCGCAGCCCGACCAGTCCTGGATCGACACCTTTGACCTCGTCTCCCAGCGGGGCTACACCAAGATTGTCGGCCCCGTTGCGAGCTTCTCTCCCACCTTGCATTCTCCGCCTCTCCGCGTCGGCAAATCCTCCCCCTTTTCATCATCCTCGTCCTCATCATCATCATCAGCATCAGCAGAGGCGTTCCCCCGAATCGCCACGCTCTCGTCCACCCACAGCCTCACAATCCGAGACTTTTCCTCCGCAAAGGCCATCCTCGAACTCAGCCACGTCTCCGCCCCCATCGCCTGGTCCCCCGACGGCCGGACCATCGCCGCCGCCGAGCAGCAGCAGCCTTCCTCCCGCTCCTCCTCCCACTATCATCAGCATCATCAAAATCACTTCCGCGTAGGCACATGGGACGTCCGCACCGGCTGCCGCACCGGCCGCGTCCCGGGCCACATTGACGCCGTGACGCACATGGCCTTCACGCCCGACGGGACGGCCCTCGTGACGCTCTCCCGGGACGGAACCGTGCGCGTGACGGACCCCGTGGCCAGCAGGACGCTGTACAAGCTCGAGATTGGCGACAACAACGGCAGCAGCGGTCCGCGGATCCCGCGCGCGCTGGGCGTTTCGCCCGACGGCGCGACGGTGGTTTCCGTGTGGGGGACGGCGGTGCACGTCTGGATGCCGAGGCACGGGCAGTTGACGTCGTATGCGCTGGGCGCCACGAGGCACTGCGAGGGGTGGCCGCTGTGTGTTTCGCCGGATTGTAGGTATATTGCGAGCTGGACCGAGGATGGGTTCGATGTCATGGATGCGGCGTCGGGGAGCGTCGTGTGTGCGAGCGTGGGAGGGCCGTTGGTTACGGCGGCGGAGTTTTCGGGGGATGGGAGGGTTTTGGTCGTTGGGCGGATTAGTGGTGATGTCGAGGTTTGGGATGTTGTTGATGAGAGGATGTGAGGGGGAGGTTTTTGAAAGGGGGGGGAGGGGGGATGAGGATTGAAGAGGAGGATGTTGGCATGTCATGGCGCTTTGTTGTATTGTCATTTGCCTATCTAGGCGTTGGGATGTTTAGGATTGCGTGTCTTATTCTGCAGCATACGATGAGCAAGTTCAACCATAAATCTCGAATTTAAATCAAAGGTATATATCATATCAATATGCAAAGCAGCGGGCAAGCAGAGAGGCATGTCAAAAGACACTGACATGTGCGTATGATTAAACTTCTCTTGTGTGTGCGTGTTTAGGAGCTTACACCTACAATATGTGTAAAGGCGCCAATGTGTGCGTATGGTTGAACGCCCCTGTATGTGCATGCTTGTCCGCCCAAAACATCTCCCGCCTCCAGTGTCCCATAAGGGCATCTAAACTGTACATCAATCACATACACAGGGTCGTTAGGAAAGAGGTCAATGGGAGACAAAGAGGCATTGCTCGTCTTCTTCATCAGGTAGACCTCACTCAAAACTACCGGCGTTCAATCGCGCCATGATGACAACAGATTCGAGATCCAGCCTGCTTGTAAATGAGCGGCATCATGTATTCAAGCTTGGCATCATATGTGCTAGCAATATGCATTTGGGGGTATTTCTCCATGTCCGTCGTCGCCTGAACACCGCCAGCATCCAAACTGTCCGTGAGAGTTCACACGCAGGTTCATGTCTCATGGAATGCTGCTCTGCGTCCCGCCTTTCCCCCCCCCCTTTGCCCAAAATAAGAAAAAAACCTCGAAACAATGCCCTCTGCATTCCAGCCAGCCATTACATAACACGGACATGGGGAAAATAGATTCATTTCCCGACCTCTCCTCCTTTTCTCTTCTCCTTAGGATGATGAGCTGTCCGACCCATGGGCCGCTCCAGCCATTTGACAAAGTGATCAAGCGACCCATCCCAACATCTCCAACGTGCCGCGAGCTTCAGAAGGCGGCAGACTAGCCACGCCCAGCTGTCGCACTTGGGTCCCGCGCCTCAGCCGCTGCAGACCGACCGCCAGCTTCCAGCCCTCCGTCTCCTCCACGATAAAGAGATACCGCTTGCCTTCTTGGTCGCGGACCGTGGCCCGGAGCACATGCAGGCCCTTGGATTTCCATTCACCAGTCTGCCCCGCTGTTGACGGGATGTTGAGGTTCTTGAACGTGCGATCACACATGCCGTGCCGGCAGCACTCCCTGCACGCATGGAGCATCTCCGCCAGGTACAGGTCGGCCTCGTCGCCCGTAAAGGCGTTGGGCCCGTCCCGGTCCGACTGGCGACCTCTGCCCGCCATTTTGTGAAGGAAGCCGGAGCTTTTGCCGGTTGCAGATCCCGCTGGCGGTGGGGGAGCCGTCAGGCAATGTGGCAGACACCACACCTCGACAAGCTTGAGCGTCCAGGCCTTGACGTCCCACTCGCGCTGGGGCACTCCGCGGACATCGTCATCGATGAAGAGTCCCTCCGTGGTGATTCGAAGAATCAGTCCATCCGTCACCGTGCCAACTCCTGATATGAGCTGGCTGGCCGGCGTCTTGGTGTACTGGTTCATGAAGAGGTAGACAGACTGAATCACAATCTTGTCGGGATCATCAGTCGTGTAGTGTGACCGTATCGAGGGCGGCGGCGTGGTTCGTGCTGTTGTCTGCGAGGCTGCCCACGATGCGTCGGAGCCCGTGAGAGAAGACGCCGACTTCCTATGTCTTGGCTTGTTTGGCGGCGGCTGGTCGTATGGTGGCGGCGGTGGTGGCGGCTGGTGGTGGTGCTGTGGTTTGCTCGGTTGATCGTAGGGCCTGTACGAGTACGTGTCCGACTCTACGTAGCTGCTGTTGCTACTAACAAACGACTTTGGAGGAGGAGGAGGAGCTGATCGTCTGGCCGAGGGGTCTGATCTTCTAGAGGCAGACGACGGGGCCTCGGACGGAGCGGCGGGCGGGGGTGCTCGCTTGGTAGGGCTCTCTCCTCTGTCGAACCGATCGTGCCTCTCCGATCTCTCTGTTCGTTCGGTTCGGTCACTTCGTTCAGACACTTTGGAAGCTGCCGACGAGACCACGGAAGGGGAGGATGCCGGCGGAGACGGGGGAGCAGGAGGCCGGCCGTTTGGCCACATGCTGATCTTTTCGCCCACGCTGGAGTACGCATATGTGCTGCCGACTCGACTGGATCGAAAGTCGGCCGCCTTGGCCTCGGCAGCCGCCTTGGCTTCTGCGGCAGCCTTTGCCTCGGCCTCGGCTCTAGCTTGGACGGCGGCTCTGGCATCCGCAATAACCTTGGCCTCCATCGCGGCCTTGGCTTCTGCAGCCGCTTTGGCTTCAGCTGCAGCTCTGGCTTCGGCCGCTGCTTTGGCTTCAGCCTCTTTCCTTCGCTTTTCTTCCCTTTCCCTCGCTTCACGTTCTCGCCTTTCCCTTTCCCTCGCCTCCCGTTCTCTCGCCTCCCTCAGCTTGGCTTCCCTCTCCAATGCCTCTCTTTCTTTAGCCTCCCTCTCCCGCTGCCTGGCCAATTCCAGCTCTTCCTGTTGGCGCCTCCTTTCTGCTTCAGCCCTCTCTGTCTCTTCTCTGGCTTTCTGCTCCGCCTCTCTTTGCTGCTTCTCCTTCTCGCGTTCCTGTCGCTCCTTTGCTTCCTTGGCTCGCAGTTCAAGGAGCTTCTTGGCAGCCGTTTCGCGGCGCTTCTGCTCTGCCTCCTTCAGTCTCCTCTCCTCTTCCTTCTTCCGCATCTCTTCGCGCGCCTTCTCCCACGTTCCCTTTGGCGTGTCGGATTTCTTCATCTCTGGCGGAGGGGACAAGTTCTTTTCGGATTCGGGTTCGGGTGGCGGTGGTGGCGGCGGTTGATGATTGCTTTCGGCAGGTGCTGGAGGATCTGGCTTGGGAGGTGTTTGCTTCTCCAGACGGGGCTCTGGACGAGGGTCTGGTCGAAAGGGAGGGATTGGTGCCAGGTCTGGCATACGAGGTAACTTGGATGCTGGCTTGGGTGATGCTGTCTTCTCCGGACTCAAAGAAGATCTCCTTTCAGGGTCCGCCATCTTTCCCATCTCAGGCACACTCTTCTTTCGTTCATGGGAGAGAGGGATCTTTGTTTCCACTGGAGCAGGGTGTCTCTTTTCCGGGGAAGATGGCCGTTTCTTGTCAAGCTCTGAAGGGTTCTTCTCGAGCACTGGCGTCATCTTCTCAAATCCAAACCGCCTCTGCTCAGCTTTCAAAGGAGACTTCTCTGGCTCTGGAGCCGGTGCCGTCTCCTCTGGTGGCGGCACCTTCTTCTTCTTCTTCTTTGGTTTCTCTGGCTCAGGGACAGGCTTTTCCTCTGGTGGCGGAGGCTGGCGTGGACGTTGCTTGTCTGCGTCCCCAGGCGACTTGGGGGTCGGAGGCGGCGCGTCCTTTTGATATGACGAGCGTTGGGACGGAGACGAAGCTGGCTCAGTTTCATGATTCGGTGGTCGTGGTGGCTCTTCGGCGTGAGCATGGTGAGCATGGTGAGCATGGTGAGCATCCGCGTTTTTCCAGGAACCCTGAGACCTATCGTGCCGTGGCGGAGGAGGCGCGCCGTTTGTGGAATGACCGTGAGGAGGCGGCGGCGGCGGAGGAGGAGCCCCGTTGGCGTCGGGGCGCCCTCCCGTGTTGGGCCCCCCAAAACCACCGTGTCCGCCGTTTGCGCCGTGAGGCCCATGTCCACTGCCAAAGCCTCCCGGGCCAGATCCGTTTCTATTGCCGTCCGAACTTGCCACGGGCACCGGTCCACCGCTTTGCATCCGTCCCAGAGCCCAAGCACCTATGCCTACTCCCAGCAGAAGGGTCGTCATACCCGTACTGCCCAGGCCCCCGCCATTGAGCCACATCCTAATGGCTGGTCCCACGGACTGGAACAAGGCGACACATATCAACGCTGAGGCGAAGCCGGCCACGAAACTATTGGCGTTTGGCTGCAGCGATGGCAGATAGAGAAAGCCTGAGCCGGACGAGTGCTGGGGAATCACGAATATGTCGTAGTTGCCGGGCGGTAAACCCGACGACTTGGGGCCCTCGCCATGCGGCGGAGGTGGAGGCGGCGCGCTCATGCTTGTTTATTTGATATATCACTGCTCGAAAAGTGTGAAGTCTGAGGTTGTGCGTATGTGTCGAAATGCGACAAGGATTGCGATCGGCTTCAGGTCTATGAGCGCATCGAGGAAGCCATGGGAACCGTAGGGAGACTGTTTCGCGATCAGGGAAAAGGAGAAAGGTAAAGGAAGCCTAGCCACAACGTCAGTAGCCAGACTCATCGCCGTTAGAGCACAAGGCTGCCACAGTGAAGCAACTCTTCGATGATTGCGACGGCAGCGAGCCTCTCAGCCTAGCCATTGGAAAGCGGGAAAAGGGGACCAGCCGTCAGATGACGGGAATGAGGCTCTCCGCGCGGTCTGGGGATGCAACTAACCAAGGGCAACAAACACCACAAGAGAAATCAAACGCCGGGCTCCAGATTAAGAACAAACACGCCCCAGCGGCCGTCCGTTGGGCTCTCTCTCTCTCTCTCTCTCTCTCTCTCTCTCTCGCGCGCGCGCTCTCTCTTTCTTTCCCTCCCCAGCTAGGCAAGGACAGGGCCGGATCGTCGCGTGTGCTTGACGGGATCGAGCAGGAGGCGTGGCCTCGGCATGGAGCAGATGGAGGAACAAAATATGAAGGTTTTTCTCTTTCGTTGGCGGCTACTAGCAGGAGAGAGGAAGTGGGGGTGGGTGAAATGAACCGAAGACGAGGTCGAAGGAGAGAGAAAAGACCAGCTGGGCGGATTTGTTTACCTGGCAGCCTGGCTATTACCATCGCCAATCCACTTGCGAACCTGGCAGAAGATAGCTGGAGCCCAGCGCTGCGGATGGCCGTCAATTGGATCAATTGGATGGACCCCTGGAGGTGGAAAAGACAGCGGCTGGGAAGAGGGCCGGACCTCGACTGCGGCGGCGCTGTTGGTTGGCTGCGCTTGGGCGTTAGTGGCTGGACGGCCCGTTGGAAACGTCACAGAGGGGCCGCTAGGGGGGGTCTGGAGGGGGCCTAGAGGGGGCCTAGAGGGGGCCTGGAGGGCGTCGAGCTGCTGTGAGGTGCGCTGCAGCGCGTAAACGAGGGAGGCTAGACTCGCTAGACTCGAGGACTCGACAATGGACCTACCTTACTAACCTCGACTTGATCGTGATGCTGTCAACGGGCAATACTACATACAATTGCCGGGCTGATAGAGCTTCACCAGCTTGGGGTTACTCAAGCCGGCGCCAAGCTTCACTCCAGTCAGCAACAATCTACAAAGTGACAGCGTGTCACGGATGCGCCCTCCAAGCCTTTGCGCAGCATCTGCGTCTTCGCGACTCTTGTTGACGAGCTTGCTTGGGGCCTGTTGACTGCATGTGCCCTGGCCATCAGCGACACCCACCAGCAAGAGCCCCCCCTCTTCCCAGCCATTCACTTCCATCTTCCCGCTTCAACCTGCTTCTGCAGCCGCACGCATTCTCATCCACAGCCAGAAACATGCGTATGAGTGTCGCGTCCCGGCAAGCATGTCCAGTCACAAAGCCCAATTCCCCCTCACGAGGTCCTTCCTCGGGGCCATTCGCATCCAAAGAAACACCCAACCCCCTTTGAGGCTCACAACTCTCGCAGGAGCTTCTCAACCTTCCAATGGCGACTCCTCGTTGTTACAGCCAGGGGCCTGTTGATGATTCCTCTACAGTCTCTCTGTCCGTCGACAGGCACGGCACAGCGCTCCACTGATAGTGAACCCGCGTTTGACTGGACGAATCTCGAGGAGAGCTTCTGCTTTTGGTTTGAAGCACCTTTGTCGTTTGCTGTGCGTCACAGAGAGGCCCCATCATCATCATCATCATCATCATCATCATCGTTGATGCAGAGGATATGCACCTGCCACCCGCTTTTTGTCCTTTCCTGCTTGCGTCGACGCTGGGCCAATGCTTGCAGACACGCAGCCGAAGTGCATGCAGAAACAAGCCTGGAAACCGGGCAGCATGTCACTGGCGGAACATAGCGGGCGGGCCCCCCCTTCAAAGGCTCGGGGGCTGGAAAAGGGCACGCAACGCAAAAAGCTCTTCAAGGAAGAAGAGAGCAATCGTTGCCGGGCAACTGCTGCAGGATCCTGTCCTTGTCTTTTTGCCACATCCGTATGTCGATGGACGAAGTGGTGACGTTGAATGACCAGAGCAAGGCAGACGCCACAACCGCTAGTGTAACAGGACTTGTAGGTCTAAGCAATGTTGTGCCTCTTTTCGCGGCTCGTTTTCTCGCGGCGTCCGAGAGTTCAACGATTTCCGCGAACATCGGATCATTGACCGTTGAAGCAGCCTCTCAGTAGATGCCGCCCGCTCGTTGCGACGGCTGAGTTCAGCCTTCTTGCCGCGACTGGTCGCTGGCATCACAGTGCCAAGCGCTCTTCATCACAGAAGGCGACGAATGACGGCACAAGGTCTTACGAGATGGGAATCCCTATGTGGCGGTGTGATGGGTTCACGTGCAGCCACGCCGTGACAGTGACAGTTGACTACCTACCTAGGTAGGATTCTGGGATTGACGGCCTTTTGGTGTGAAATTTCAGAGAGGCCGACTCAGTGTGTGCCTGTCTGTCGGGGCTCAACAAATGGTCTGGCGTAAAATACATAAGGGTGGCCGTATTCGTATTGGAGACGCCAGTTCTTTTATGAAGACTATCTACATAGCTTGCACCACAATGGCAATAACACGCCAGGCCATTGCAACAATGAGATTTAAGGATTCATCATGTTCCTGTCTACTAAGTATTGAGCAAAAGTGCCTCAAGGTACCAATAGAATTGCTTGGAAAAGCCAGTTACCGTTACAACTGATATCATAGCGATTGAACGTCTTGTCCTCTGATCCCAGTTCCAAAGAAAAGAAAAAACTTGTGTTGCGCCCAAGAACCCAAATCCCTCGAAGATAATTAAGAAACCAAAACAGGGAGAAAGAAAATGCAAGTAAAATACATGAAGCATGACGGTGAATCCTTGACCCCAGCGTCTCGCTTGCTCGCTCCGTGCATCGCCATCTGCTCCAAAAGAAGACGAACCGAACCGCAAATAAAAAAAAAGTGTATGCCAAAACGGATTTACGAAAGAATCACAATCACAAACTCCCATACCCAAACCAACCCGTCCACAAGCGTCGTCAAAACCCAAAGCCAGTAAGCCAAAACCCTCATCGCCAGCAGTATTGCCTTGAGCGGCGCCACGGCTGCACCGAGTCACATCTTCTTAATACGCCTGTTGGCGACCCGGACTTTGCCCTCGACCCGGTCGACGTCCTCGTCGAGGGCGTCGAGAAGCTCCGTCTGCCGCTCCACCTCTTCGCTGATCTGGATGCCCATCTCCTTCTGGCGCCGTATGATGGCGGCGAGCTGGTCGATGGCCTGGTCTTGGGACTGCATCTCCTGTTTCTGTAATAGCAGCACGCCCTGATTGTCGAGTTCCCTTGTTCTATCTGTCTCGGGCAACGGGGCGCCCAGTACTCGTCCCGACGGCGCAGGCTTGTGTGAGCCCAGGAGATTCGATCTGTTGGACGAAGAAGCCTGTACTTGTCCCAGGCCCCCTCGGCTGGTGGCCGCCGCCGATCCGGGCATGCTGCTGGCGAGCTTGTCGAGGCCGTCCCGCTCCATCCTGGCCGCCGAAATGAGGTCTCGCCTCCGCCGTATCTCGCCCTCGCCCAGCCTGCCCGCCTCCTGCATCTTGCGCAGGCCGTCGGAGAGGTTGTTGACCAGCCCGGAGGCCTTGACGAGCACCCTCTTTGCCGCGGCCGCGGCCTCGGCCGCCGCCGTGAAGTTGCCGCTGTCGGCGGCGCCGTCTCGTCTCGAAAGGGCTTGTCGCGCTTCATGCAAACACTGCTTGACTTCCCTGTGAACATCCAGCCACGCTCCCGGGTCCGTCACGCCGGAGGATGACGCTGTGCCAACCATACCTGCCGCCGACACGGTAGAGTTGCTCGTGCTCGAGCTCGGGAGGTTCAGGAACGTCCTCCACGCCGACGTATCGCGCCACCGGCGGTCCGGCGACTCCGCGATCGCGCGGAGGTACTTCTCGAGGCCCAGCTGCCGCTCGCGCGTGAGCTCTGGCGAGTTGATGGTCGACCGGAGCCAGTGCTTGCCCGGCAGGGGCAGCGGCGGCGGAGCGCCGACCTGGGCGACCAGGGCATTGTGAAGGGCGTCGAACTCGGAGTATCGCTTCTGGACGATGAAGGAGCGCAGCGGCAGGCGCAGGCTGATGTTGTAGAGCGTGTATGGCTTGGATGAGCCTTCGTCGGAGACGCTCGTTGAGGGTATCGCAATCTCGGGCGGTGGCGCCATAGCAAGTGTCGTGGGGGAGGGATTGGGAGGTCGTCGTTTGAGTCCGTGTCTGGATCGATACGAAGTCGAGGTCGATGCTGCTTCCGAGAATCGACAGACAAGGGGTGTCTATACCTCTTTTCTCAAATCCAAAGCGTCATGAAATCCCAAGGCTTCCAGCGGCGTCGATGCTCTTCCTTTTGAAACCTCTGGCTCGATGACGATGCAGGTGTCAGTTGGAAGCAAGGAGGCTGACCGATGGACGTGCGCATTACGGCATGAAAGAATGGAAGCTGAGCACAGCGCATGCAGCACAAAGCGTCGGGTCAGTACCTAACCTTGAATTACTACCAGCTGGAACCGCACGGGTACATGAACTGGGTCCCGTCTGGTCCTCTTTTGGGGGAGTCTCAGTGGAACCAACCCGGCTTTTAGTGGGCGCCCAGCTGATGGCCTCCCCCGTAGTACCACTGAATCTGTCTTTGTTCAGGGCGACAAGCGCTAAGGAGGTGGATACGGCACCGGACCCCTGCCTAGAGTTTGGCAGCCAGCCTTGGAAAGAGCTTAAAATTGCTGGCTTGCTGGTGGTTGTCCGAGTACGAACAAGTTGATGCAAACGAGTACGATCGAGGCTCTGGATCTTTGAGAAGCAGACTGCAAGACCACCAGAGCGATGAAGAGGCATCAGCGATACAGCGGGCTATGTGAAGGCATCGAAGAAAGAGGAGATGCGAAGGATCCAATAGCCCTGAGGACGAGGCATCCTTCGGAGCAGGGGTGACAACCACCGCTGGAATGCCACTGGACGTCGGGCACTCCATGTCCACGTGCAGCTTCACGGCTCTCAGGGGACAGAGGCGGTATGCCCTGTGATAAAAAGGCACCGTACGTACATGTACTATTGTGTTCTCACGTTGTGTCAAGTGCCGGACCCGACCTGTGTGTCGCGTGCTTCTTCGCAGGCCTCATGCGTCCCAAAGGCGGAGTGCTGAATCCCTAGTACATGTAAAAGAGAGCCTTGAGTGGAAGAATCTTGTGCCGTCATGAAAGGCGCTGTGGGGACAAAAGACGTTGTTCGATGGGCTTCCGTGCACCCTTGACCGCTTCTAGAATCCAATGTTTGCGATGCGTCGTTGCTCCGCTCTCCTTGAACAAGGGGCATCGGAGCTGGAGTCTGATGGCTTGCGCTCTGGCTTTGGAACCAACAACAGCAATGCACGTCCCCAAGCACAAAGAGGTATTAATAGTAGTATTGTCCAAACAGTCGCGGTGCTAGTTTGCTCTATAGGATCTCCCTAAGTCCTCTTAACAAAAAGAAAAGATGTGAATGGCAGCACCCCATGAATGCTTCCGTCATGCAATGAATGGCCATACATGTATGCCTTGAACAAACACCCTCGAAACGCGTCCCCCCATCCCAACCCCCGTCTCCCCTCTGCTCCTCCGTATCTCTCTTCCTCTCCCCCCTTTTCACGTCATCATATCCCCAGACTCCAGTAGCTTCAACTTAGAAAGTCTCTTGGTCGTCCAGACCCTCAGCCTCGGCCGGAATCTCAAAGCCCTCCTCCGTCGAGTACAGAATGGTCTGGATGTGCTTGACCAGGCCGTCCTCCTGCTTCTCCAGCTCGGGGTCCTCCTCCACAGCCTGCTGGATCAGAAGCTCAATGTCGCGCAGCTTGCTGAAGTAAAAGTCTCGTTCGCGCTCCAGGCCACTAACAGTCTCCTTGAGAGTCCCAATCTCGGCCTGTAGAGCAGCAGTGCCGGGGCCTGGCGCTGCCTTGGCGACACGAGGGCCGGTGCTGGGGGTCGTGCCGCCGCCGGCTCGTCGGGCGCCGGCGCTGGAGACAGTAGCCCTGGGCGCTCCAGTGTTGGCCGGCGCCACACCGGCGCCTTTCCGCCGCGCAACCGCGTCGTAGTCGTGGTCGGGGAAGTTGAGGTCCCAGAACTTCTTCGTCCATTGCAGGAACTCGAGGTTATCCTGCATCTTGCATTTCACCAGCTGCTCGACGGGGATGGGCTTGTCGACCTGGTGCTTGAGGAAGGTGTCTATGTGGGCCGTTAGGACCTGGTCTGCACAAGTAGAAAAAAAGGGGGGGGCAGCCCATCAAGGGGGCAAGTTCTTGGGCAAGGGCAGATACGTACTCTGCAGAATCTTGAAGTTCTGGATGTAGGCGTAGTCGCCGCTGACATTGAACTTGACCTTGGACATGGGCACGTCCAAGAATATGCTGTCGAAGACCTGGCAGAGCGCGGCGCTGCGATGCGAGACAAGCTCTCATGTCAGCGCTTTGGTTGATATCGTAGCGGGGTCGTTGGCCAGGCGGGGTGCCCGAGGAATATTAACACTCACCCAGTGCCGCACTGCTCGACCTTGGTCATGTTGAGCTGGAGGAGGCTGTTGAGCCAGTTGAGGAGCTCTTGTCTGTCGTCCGGACGTTAGCCACTGGTCCGTCTCGGGTGCTTGGGGCGTCGGCGGCGGGAGGGAGAGGGAGAGGCGTAATACCTGGATTCACCCATCTTGTCAAGCTATGATGCAGATAAAAAAGGTCAAAAGCAGCCGGTCGAAACACGCTCGCTGAGAAGATGCAGGTGTCTGAATGAGGGAGAGAAAGAGAAGGGCAGAGTGCAGAAGCCGGGTATCGCGATGGAAAAGGGACTGCAGAGGCGACGTCGTGGCGCAGGGCAGCGAAATGAGGATGACAGGAGAAATTTGTTCAGCTATTCGTTCGCGTGTTGGAACTGTCAAGGTCGTCCAGAGGCCTGTATTTGGGGGACGGCGTCGGCCAATCAACGGTGGCGGGGTCGCTGGGAGACGCTGCCAGGGAGGGATAGCCGCTAGCCTGCCGCTGTCGGGGTCTCACCGCCAAAATTTTCAAAAAGCGGCAGAAAAAAAAAAGAGATGGAAGAAGCTGCTTTGGATTTTTGATTGCCGGCCCCGCTAGCAGTTTGCAGGCTTTTGTTCAGCATTTTGACGCTGCAAAGAGGTGAATTCTTCCCAAGATGGCGCCGTCGCAGAAGAGATCAATCGAGGACGACTTTATCCATACCCTCTCGGACAACGATGACGATGCTCTGAAGGAGGAGGAAGTTGCCGTTCAGCCGCCCAAGAAGAAGGCCAAGACGATCAAGAAGTCGAGCAAGAAGAACAAGGATGAAGCGCCTCAGCCCGAGGAAACCGAGGGCGTGTGGGGAGACAAGGGCGAGGATGACGGCGCCATGGACTCTGACTTTGAGTTCATGCTAGACGACGCGGGCGAGCTCGGCGAGGACGAATTCGAGGGATGGGGATTCGAAGGCGCAAAGAAGGGCATGGCCGTCGAGAAGGTCGGCGTCGATCTGGACGAGATCATCCGAAGACGGAGAGAGAAGAAGAACAAGAAGGATGGCAAGGAGGACGAGGCCGCCGAGGAAGAGGGCGCTTCTCTCAATGGGGCAGACATTGACATGGACGATGACGAGGACGGCGTATTGGCAGACGACGCCTTTGGCATGAACGTGGACCCAGACGCCGAAGAATCTGCGGACGAGGCCGACGCCAACAGCGACAGTGACAACGAGGACAAAGAGGACAAAGAGGAAGACGAAGATGACGACGCAGCCTCGGATAACGATTCGGTAGCCACCCCGGTCAACCACCCCGACGACATGTCTGACGATGACGACGACGAAGAGGACGCTGAAGAAAAGGCCAAGCGCGACGCCTTCTTCGCGCCCGAGGAGAAGCCCAAGCCTGGACAAAAGGTGGATGTCTCGTCGTTCCAGGCCATGTCTCTGTCGCGACCCATTCTGCGCGGCATCACCACCGTTGGCTTCACTAAGCCAACCCCCATCCAGGCCAAGACCATCCCCATCGCGCTCATGGGCAAGGATCTCGTCGGTGGTGCAGTTACTGGTTCCGGTAAAACAGCAGCATTTGTTCTCCCCATTCTGGAGCGACTCCTCTATCGGCCCAAGAAGATTCCCACCACTCGCGTCGTGATCCTCACCCCGACCCGTGAGTTGGCCATTCAGTGTCATGCTGTGGCTACCAAGCTGGCGGCGCATACAGACATCAAGTTCACGTTGGCTGTTGGTGGTCTTAGTTTGAAGGCCCAAGAGGTGGAACTACGGTTGAGGCCGGACGTGATCATCGCAACCCCTGGACGATTCATCGACCACATGCGCAACTCAGCCAGCTTCTCCGTCGACACGGTCGAGATTCTGGTGCTTGATGAAGCCGATCGAATGCTCGAGGATGGATTTGCCGACGAGTTGAACGAGATTCTCACTACGCTACCGAAATCACGCCAAACAATGCTCTTCTCCGCTACCATGACCTCCACCGTCGACCGTCTCATCAAGGTCGGACTGAACAAGCCCGTCAGGGTCATGGTGGACTCTCAGAAGAAGACCGCAGGCACGCTCACCCAGGAGTTTGTGAGACTTCGTCCCGGGCGTGAGGAAAAGCGGATGGGTTACCTGGTACACATCTGCAAGAACCTCTACACAGAAAGAGTCATCATCTTCTTCCGCCAGAAGAAGGACGCCCACAGGGCGCGAATCATCTTTGGCCTTTTGGGCTTCTCCTGCGCGGAGCTTCACGGTAGCATGAATCAAACACAGGTAAGCAACACTATCATCAAGCTTAATCTCGTACTTCGCTAACAGCTTACTTCAACAGCGTATTGCCAGTGTCGAATCTTTCCGAGACGGCAAGGTCAACTATCTACTGGCAACAGACTTGGCCTCTCGTGGTCTCGATATCAAGGGCGTCGATACCGTCATCAACTACGAGGCACCCCAGTCCGTAGAGATTTACGTGCACAGAGTCGGTCGAACGGCCCGTGCCGGACGTGCTGGTACGTCGGTCACGCTCGCTGCCGAGCCCGACCGCAAGGTTGTCAAGGCTGCCGTCAAGGCCGGCAAGGCGCAGGGGTCCAAGATCATAAGCCGCGTCATCGAAGCCAAGGATGCCGACAAATGGCAGGCTGAGATTGACGGTATGGAGGATGAGATTGAGGAGATTGAGAGGGAGGAGAAGGAGGAGAGGCAGCTCGCTCAGGTGGAGATGCAGATCAAGAAGGGCGAGAACATCATTCAGCACGAGGCCGAGATCAAGTCAAGACCGAAGCGAACTTGGTTCGAGACGCAGCAGGACAAGAAGAACGCCAAGCAGGCCGGGAGGGAGGAGCTGAACGGGCCGCAAGCCGGGAAGAAGAAGGGCAGCGCAACGAAGCTGAGCAACAAGGACAAGAAGAAGCTCGACGCAAAGGCACAGCGGGCGGAGGGCATGGGGTGGAAGAAGGGCAAGAATGACGCAGCAAATGCTGTGGCAAAGAACAAGAAGAAGGCACCTGTCAAGGGCAAGACACCGATGAAAGGCAAGGCACCGGAGAAGGGCAAGGCAAAGGCGCAGGCGAAGAAGCCCAGGGGTAAGAGGTGAGCAGGTGAATAGAGCCTGTTGATAGATGGAGCCAGTTGATCTGTAGATAATCCTGCTTTTGTGCGAGACTTGGTCAATAGAAACCGTTATGCTGAGTACAATGACGGCCGAAGCCCCCCTCCTCCTCCTCCTTTTCCATCCGGACATCTCGGTAGTAACATGCCAGAGACTCTGTTGCCCGTACTTGATCGATCGGTTGATGCTGCAGATTTGGCGCGTGCCGTCGTGATGACATAATGCAACTACCTAGCTCCGTCATATTCTCATACTATCTTTTTGGCCAGGCTTGACTCTTGTCATGAACCAAAAGCACGATCACGCGCCCCTTGTTCAACATCCTCTGCCAATCTGCAGCAAATGGCATGAACCGCGAACTGCAGCACCGCGCATGTCAGGCGCCCGCCGCATGTGGTAGATCCGGGTAGCAGACGGACAGCTGTCAGGAGACTAGGCGGCAGTCAGGCTGAGCGACGGCCCATTCAGAGCTTCGGCTTCGCTGCGCCTCTGCCAACTTTGGCTCTGGCTTTGCGGCGCGATAGCTTCTACAGGCATATATATCCTTCAACAAGGCCTAGATCCGGCAGGCCTTGCCCTTTCTGATTAGTCACTGGGAAATACCGTACCAGAGCAAAGCTGGCTCCCTTTAGGATACCGTTCAGCCTTGGACGAAATCGCACCCAACATCGCCGAAGTCTCGATCTTGTCCGATACCTGCTGCCATCCGCCGTCCGAGATCGCTACCGTGAACGACTGTTCAATTTCCGCCTCAATACCGTACCAAAACTCAAGCACCACATCCAGAGCCGCATCTATCGCTACCTGCTTGGCCGACAGAACAAGCGACGGGTCGTTGACCTTGCCGCTCGGCAGAGCCAACGGCTGCTGCAGGGACACTCGGGACGGCGGCCGACGAAACATGTGACGGGGCAATCCACGACGACATCACGACCTAGACAGATCAAGATCAAGATGCCACCGCCGGGGGAGATGGGCTATGCGCCGCGGAGCGAAGATGGCGCTGAGAGGGGCGAGAGGGGCTATCGACGGAAGAAGCTTGCTGCCATGGCCGGAGCTATGGCTGGGAACATTTATCGCACTGGTCAGCTCGCCGTTACGGAGCTTAGGGAGACGTATGCACAGTCCAAAGCCAGGGGCTTGGACGGCGAATTCGAGTCGCCCGGCAGCATGCACATTCCCGGCGCGTTTCCAGACGTGGCCGTCACAGCGCAAGGCAGCGGCGAGCAGTTGATCATATTCCCGAGCTATGCGAAGCAACACACCAAGAGGGAATGGGGCCAGCCCTCTGCATATGCGTCGGAAGCCGGCAATCTGCAGGACGAGGACTACTGGCGCTCAGAGTGGGAGAGGCACCAGGACGAGAGGGCAATTGTGGATGTCGACGTTCGGGGCTGGCTATACTATCCGCATACCGGCCCCATCACGCGGCGGAATCGCATCTTGATCGGCCTTGCGCGCCAGCTCAGTGGCATCCCAGTTCCTCGATCGGAACAAGCCCAGACGACTGCGCCTCTGAATCCGAACGAGGAACAACGAGAGCAGGAGAAGATTGCGCAAGAAGCCGCCATGATTGAACGCAGGGGGCGGGAGGAGAAGCGCATAGCCAACGCTGGCGCCTACAGCGAACAGCCGCGCGAGGATACGGGCCTTGGAGGATCTGCATACCCTCTTCCTAGGCCTCCGCCTCCTCGTGTGGAGAGTCGAGCGTCCGACTCGCTTTCAGGGAGCCCCAAGGCTGCTCCGACCAGACAGAACTCGTCGTTGGCCAACGAACTCACAGAAGCCGAGCTGGTGACGGCAAATGCCAACCTAATGGCCAGGATAGCACCATTCATGACCAATCCTCTGGTTGCTCACCCCATCACCATCTTCTTTTATAACGACACAAAGTCACAATCTCGAAACGTTCTCACGGACGATGCCGGCCACTTTTCCGTTCGCGCGCCGTTAGATTTCGTTCCTACACACGTCAGGGTGCTCGTGAAAGAAGGTCTATCAACGACTCAAGAGGTCAAATACATTGAGCCATATGGCGTAAGCCTCATCAGCGACATTGACGACACCGTCAAGATGTCGAACATCTCCGCAGGAGCCAGGGAAATCTTCAGGAACACCTTTGTGCGAGAGCTGGGCGACCTCACCATCGAGGGAGTCAAGGAATGGTTTGGCAAGATGCATGCACTCGGTGTGAGCGTCCACTACTGCTCCAACAGCCCGTGGCAGCTGTACCCCATGCTGGCCACCTTTTTCAGGATATCCGGGCTCCCAGTCGTGTCTCTACATCTGAAGCAGTACTCAGGCATGCTGCAGGGCATCTTTGAGCCCGTGGCAGAGCGGAAGAAGAACACGCTTGTCCGCCTCCTGCGAGATTTCCCACAGCGCAAGTTCCTCCTTGTTGGAGATAGCGGAGAAGCCGATTTGGAGGTGTACACGGAGCTGGCGCTGGCATATCCCGGACGCGTCCTCGCGGTCTTTATTCGCGATGTGACGACGCCCGAAGCCGCAGCATACTTTGAGCCGTCTTTTGACATGACTCGACGGACATTGTCTGGCATGAACCTGAACAACAGCGGCCCTGCAAACAGTCGGCCTGCGGCGCGACAGAACTCGGCGCCGGGACAAGCCAACAGTGCGAAGCCTCCCAACGGCCCAGTGATGGGCACGCTGATTGACTTTTCCGACGAGCCTGAAGAGGCAAAACTGGATGAGGCGGCAGCTCTTGAGCAGGTCCGAAAGTCGAGGCCAGGTCCATCGCTCAGTGCGACAGAGTTGCTCGCTCGCAAACCCCCGCCTCCTCCTCGCCCGGCGAAGCCAGCTGCTCTCGCCAGCACTCCCGCTCTACCAGTTACCAGGAAGCCATCAATTGGCCTGGGGATATCGGGGGCCGGAGCGAATAGCAGCCCCGAGCCGCCGCCAGTGCCAGCAAGGAAGCCCATCGGCAGCAGCAATACGAACCAACCAGTCCATCCTCTGGCCCAGATTCAAAACTCATCCCAGCAGACCATCGAGCCCCCTAAGCCGCCCGCCAAAGACGAGCCCAGAGGGGCCGACAAGCCCCCTCCTCCCCCTCCCCCTCCTCGGCGGAGCACTAGGAATCTCAGCCCGCGAATGCTGTCCCACGGACGCGGCCCCTCGTCCAACTCGGACGTGGACTTTGAACCCCTGCCCCCATCCCTCGCCCCCGCGCCCGCGCCGGCAGCTTCTGCCCTGTCGTTTTACCGTCCCAACAGCAGGTCGGGAAACACGTCGCCGTCGGCATCGCCCACCCTCGGCGCCGTGAACAAGAAACTCGAGCTGTGGAGGCGGAGGCTGCAGAGGGCGCACGAGCAGCTCGATCAGCAGGGCGTGAAGCTGTATACGTGGCGCAAGGGGCAAGATGTCGAGGCGGAGGCTGTGGGGATCGTGAAGCGGTATCTTGCGGAGATGGACAAGGAGCGGAGGAGGGGATGATGGAGATTGTATAGAATAAGGGGAGGGGGGAGGCCGAAGGGGGTAGTAGAGTTTGAAAGGGGGGATGTTCAAATCCTGCTCTTCATTTCTTTTTCTTCTTTTTCTTTGTTTCTCTTCTGTTTATGTGTGTTTGGGGTCTGGATAGGGTTTGGTGTGCTCATCACGATAGACTTGCGTGTTGTACTTGTACTTTTTTTCTCATTCGCATCGGTGTTTCTGTATTGTTGTGGCGATATAAAGGTGTCATAGAATAAGTGAGGGCCGATAAGGTTGGAAGAAGACGGCATTCTGTACACTTACACATGGAACATAGGAACATAATTAAGACAAGCATATATATCTAATACATCATAAGTCCTTTTCTTAAAAGATGGCAGCAGCCCGTAACAAGAAACTCACCTATAATAGATGAGGGCAACAGGGAAAAGGGGGGAGACACACATCACTCATTAAAAGAAACATTCACAGGTTTTGAAAAACAGGCGCGAGAAGCAGGTCAGAAACAAACAAAAAAAAAAAAAGCAAGTGATGAAGGCAACACACGAAAGGGCAAAGGATGAAAGGTAAAAGCGATTCAAAAAATATAACTAGAATAATGTACCCAGTGATTATAACTAGACAAGAAACACACAAAGGCCCAGACAACTCCTCCATGATTTATCCTCTCTTTTTTTGTGTCCCAATGCTCTTACGGATCTAAGAAAGCGGCGTCTTTGTTTCTCAAACACCCCCCCCCCCCCCCCCCCCCCCCATCCATCCCCCCCTTTCTCTTTGTCCCTGCGCTTTATTGCCATCGTCTTTCTCCCTTTCCTACTACACAAGAGAGAACAACGTCGCAACTTAACTCTCAGGGGAATGATGCGTCTCCCCGTTTTACCGTGGGCCAGTGAGATTCATGTGCATCATGGCATCGGCCGTCCAGTCCGTCTCGTCGTTGCCTCCCCAGAAGTCGAGCCCTTCCCGTCCGTCAACGCCCGGGAGCCGGATCTGGGGCGGCCCTTGACTCAACCTGTTTCTCGGCGGCGGCGTATCAGGCACGGAGGCTGAGGTCTCTGGCTCAACAATGGACGGCGCATCTTGTCCTCGAGAGTCCATCGGCCTTGGCTCCTGCTCGTGCTGTTGCGCTGGCTCGTATTGCTGCGCTGGCTCAAAGGCTTGAGATGGTTCAAACTGATGCTGTGACTGCGGCTGGTACTGTTGCTGTGCTTGCACTGGCTCGAATTGCTCGTACTGGTATCCTCCCTGGCTGCTTGGTGGTGGTGGTGGCGGCTGCTGATTATAGCCCTGCATGAAAGCAGCCTCCTGGCCGCCAGCGTAATAGGCCGCCGGCGCCTGCTGCTCCTCTGGAGCGGCCATGGCATGCCTGACCGGCTCCGAATGGGCCATGTGATCCATCTGCTGCGTAAATTCCTCCTGTTCCAGTATCTGCGGCGCCTGTCCAACCATCTTGAAGTTTGGCGGGACGGCGGCGCCCAGGCTACGGAGGCTACCCGTAGAGGTCCTATTGGCATCCGGACCCTCACCCGGCTCGAGCATGCTGGCGTCGAGATCTCTGATGGCGAACTGGGCCATGGTGCGCATCTTGCGCGTAACCCATCCGGCGAGGATCTTTCCTCGCTGCTTCTCTCCCAGGCGAGAGCGTGGGAAGTCGCCCTTGTTGACAAAGGCCACAATATCGGCAACGATCTGATGCTCGCTCAAGATGGCGTTGACAATGACTGGCACCATGGAGGCGAGGTAAGACTTGCGGCTCACCTCTACCAGGACCACGACCAAGCCACCAGCTTGGAATACAGCACTGCACATCACCAACTATTAGTCAAGTAGCATCTCACAGAAGAGTTGGCCCTGTACTTACCAGCCGTTGGGTACAATGTTGCGGTGGCAGCGTTCCACCGACAGCTCAATATCCATGGGGAAGTGACTCAAACCGTTAATTTCAAAAGTCTCGCCGATGCTACCGAGCACAAACAAGACTTGCATCTCCACCAGGGCGCCGTTGGGCCCGATAGGCCGGTTGACATTATACAAAAAGCCCAAGTCACCAGTTCGCACGTATCGCACGTTGGGGTCGCCGTCGACCGTCCGGCCGTCGAAGCGCTCCACGTCAAACGCTTCCTTGGAGCCGTAAAAGGCCTTTACGCACGCCTCGGAGTCGACCCAGATCTCGCCATATTCTCCATCGTAGCAATGCGCGCGGCTCTCGGGGTTGACAATGGCAATCTGGGTAGACACCGGCACCATGCCGGAATCCTGCAGGAGAAGAGCTTGCGGGTTTGAATCGTGATCGACCGGGACGACGAGGCCGCGTCGAAGAGCCTTGGTGTCGAGCCAGAGCTCAATAGGCTCGATGCACATGTAAGACCTCGAAGCAATCATCGGGTTGAGCACATGCGAGTAGACCGTGTTGATGGCCGTCCTATCCAGCCCGGCGCTCGCAAAATGCATCCGTACCTTCTGGAATACATCTACCCGCGGCCGGCCCTCTGCAGTAATCATCATATTCTTCAGTTCGTGCATTGTAAAGCCCTTGGCCTGCATCGACGACATGGCATGGTCAAGCATCTGCGGCGTTGCATAGGTGTCCTTGATCTTGTACCTCGACAACGTAACAAAGAGAGAGATGGGATTTTGGGCGAACTCGACAGGAGACAGCAGGTAGGTGGCGGTGCCAACGTAGATGCCCATCAGGCACGTGTGCACGAAACCAAGTCCCGTTGTGCTTCTTACGCAACCGAGAACGGGCTGGAAGCTCGTCATCTGACAAGTCTCCTTCTGCACTTTGCACATGCCCAGGATGGTATCATGCCCCAGCTGGACGGCGATTCTCCGTTGGTCCGGCGTCCAGTATGTCCAGATGAGGACGGGGTATCCAGGCCTGATCCAGGCGGGATCTATCGTCAGCCCAAGCTCGCGAAGACCGTTGTTCTGCTTAGGTGGCTTCGAAGTGTTGTAGGTATTCGGCATCGAGATCTTCAGGATCTGTGCGGACTGTTTGATGTGGCTCGACACGATCTTGAGCTTCAGCAAATGGTCCACTTCCTGGTTGACCAGGACCGCCTTAACCTTGTAGTCAGCGATCAGGTGCAGGAAAGCAGGGACATCTTCGTTGAGCCGGTTCTGGTCAAGCGGCGCCATGGGAATAATGACTGCGCCAAGGTTGATTCCCGCGTGGACGGCAAAGACAAACTCCTCGGAGTGGGTGTACATGAGGACCAGGTGGTCGCCCGGCCGCACCTTGACTTTGTTCTTCAGATACATGGCCACAGCCGCCACCTTGGAGTCAAACTTCTTCCACGGAATCCCCTTGCCCTCTCTGCCCCTGCCGTCAATGGTACAATAAGCGAGCTCCTCTGGCTGGCGAGCAACACGCCACTGGATCAGATCGGTGATGGTCTTGAAATTGTTGAGCGGTGTAGACGTCCGGTCGTCCATAACAACCTCTCTGCGGTCGATTCCAGAATACTGCTTATCGGCGGGAGCCAGGATATTGATTCTCGAGTCCGAGGCGATTGGTGACCAGATACCACCAATGGGGTCAACGCCAATCGGGAGGTTGAGAACCGCATGTTCGACGCCAAATTTGACATGCACGCATGGGAGGTTGCCAAGGTCAAACTCGCGCCGGCAGAGCATGTTCCCTATTTCCCGTCTTCCGTTCTTGATCACTCGCGGCAGTGCGTTCGGGGCTGTGATCATAACGCAGTAAACCCGAAGATGGTGCTCCTGCATGAGCACCTCCATGCATTTCTCCGCCAGCGAGTCTAACAGAACCGTGTCAGGCTGGACAGGGGGGCCGCCCGAAGTGAGAGGCGCCGTTGATGCTGCGGCAGACTCGAGGACCACGACAGGCAAGTGCTCGTCATTGACAAAGACGTCAAAGGCAGAGCAGTCGTGGATCTTGGGGACATTCTTGACGATGCTCACCACAATGTGCTGAACAAAGAAGTAGCGATACTCGGCGATACCCGCGTGGCCGTGCTCAACCCATTCGACCTTTTGTCGTATCCGATCCTCGTACAATCCTAGCACATAGATCTTGCCCTCGATGACTGTGCCAAGCAGGCCGGTTCGCAGGAATTCCGGCTCCACGGCAGTTGGCGTCGGCTCGCCAGGCTCGAACTTGTACGGACGCGCGTGGAAGATGAGCTCGGTGTTCTTTGGCTGCGCCCAGAAGCCTCCAGAGAGAGACGGAGAGTCAACCCAGATCTCGCCAATCGTGTGCGGCGCTGCCAGGAGGCCAGTCTCAGGGTCCACAACAGCAAGCGTGGCATCTGGGATAGGGTATCCAAAGGCGCCGACCCGGACCATGGTGGGCTCCAGCGACGTCTTCTTCCTAGCTTCGTTGCCATGAGCCAAGACGACAACCTCGTTGGTCTTGAGAGCCTCTCGGTCAAGGATAACCTCGCCCAACTCAATCTTCTCGTCCTGCTCCTTGGTTGTCGCTGCTCCACCACCAAGCAAGCTACCAAATCCGTTTGACGGGGCCGGCTTCTCTTCCTCTTCTTTCTCGTCATCCGACTCCCTGTCAGACTCGTCCAGTTTCAGCGGAACTCCCAGTCGTTCTTCACCGCCGAGCCAGTCTCGAACGCTAATGATCATGCCGCCATGCTCGGGGAGGCAGAGCATCGGCGCCACGACCTCGCGCGCTCGCGGATTTCGCAGGGGCCGCAGCCATCTATCGGCCAGAACTTCATGGAACTCGCTATCAATGGTCAGGGTATCAATCAAGCACAGCTTCACCGCTTGGAAGTTGGGTTCCATCCCCTTTTTGAAGTTTCGTGTCGTCATGGGGTCTTGCTGGTAGTTGTAGGCAGCTCGCTTCAACCCGGGGTAATCCGCAATCATAATCGTCGCTCTGTACTTGGTAATCAGATGCGCGTATAAGCCAGGCGACTCGACGGCTTTGTGATCGAACCAGACGGTAGTGTGGCCGCCGTAAACGGTCAGCAAAACGCCGAGAATCATGCCCACGCCCTGTCGGGGATCCAGATAGGAGAGCAATATCTCGCTGCTGGCTCCGCCGCCGATGAGCTTTCCGTTCTTGTCCCGCAACGTCGAGTTGAAGGTATCGCCGGGGCCGTTGGTGGGAACGGTAGAGATTATGGCACTGAGGCAGGCCATCTGGTGCATGATTGTCCTGTGGCTGAGAACAACGCCCCTCAAGTCGCCGGTTGGTGCTCGCGAAAACTCAATATAGGCCAGGTCGGGAACAGTTAACGGAGGTGCGTCTTCCTTCTTCTTCGGATGGTAACCGCCGAACTCGTTGGTCTTCCACCACTCGACCCCTTTAGGCCACGTGAGCTTCTGCGCAGTAATGTCTCTCTGGAAGGTCTTGAGGTTGTTTTCGGTAGTAAGAGCCAGATGCGCCTGAGTCGAGGTGAGAATATAGTTGAGGCGCTGGTAGTCTTGCAAGTCATTGATCGGGACAGCCACAACTCCAGCAATGAAGCAACCCAGCAAGGCAATGGCGAAGTCAATGATTTCGCTATCACGATAGATCAAGGCAACTCGATCGCCACGGTAAAGAGGACTTTTGTCTCGGATGACTTGTGCAACTTTCTCCGCTCTTGACGCCAGCTTGTCCCATGTAATGGATGCCACCTCCTTGCCCTTGCTGTCCAGGACCCAATATGCAGGTCTTTTGGCAGTGGTGCGGGCACGGTGACGGAGTACCGCAGCCATGTTGTCGAACGAAGACATGGCCGTGTTGTTGTCGTGGGGATCCTGAATGGCAAAGGGGACCTCTCTTGGCTCGAGCGGAGCCTGGTACTCCAATATCTCGGGTGGAGGCATGTCGTTGGCAGTGAGCATCGGAGGAGCCATGGCTGCTGTCGGAGAGAAGGCATCGCCGGAGTATCTAGGGCCACCATAGTCGCCCATCTGGTTCTGTTCGTAGTGCTGCTGGCCCGCGAAGTCAGAAAAGAAGGCTTGGTTGTCAAGCAGCGTCCTAGTCCGGCCGTCGTCCGGCTGTTGGTACGGTTCGGCATATGCGCCGTGTTGATCGGGGTTGAAGGCGTAGTCGCCAGAAACCATGGTTCCGCTCCGCGTAGGAGGATCATTGCTGCCGCCCGGTAAGAAGAGCGAGTCTCGCTGCGGTAACGCGGCATTGTCGATGATTGGCCGTCCAGGACGCAAGAGCTCGGCCGGCGAGGCAGCCGAGACCCCATACGAGGATCCCGGCGGCCCAGCGGTGTAGCTCGAGTCGGGGCGCTGTGAGTAGTCGCCGTAGTTGTTGCTGCTCTGGTCGTGGTAGCCGCCTCCAGCGCCAAACCCGCCTGCGTATCCGCCGCTCGCCGAGGACGTGGGCGTCATCATAATGGAGGCTCGTCGGCCATCGCTCGAAGGATGCGTCGAGGTCTCGGGGGAGTGTATGCTCAGGCCGGAGCGAGACGGCGGAGGGACCGGGGCGGGTGTTGTTGGATGTTGGGCATACTGCGACAGCAGCAAAGCCCGTCGCTTCTGATATCTGCCATGGAGTCTCTGTCAGTTCTCCTCACGATCCGCGTGTCCCCAAAGCGCATGCTTCCGCCGCCGCTGCTTTGGTGCAGCTCGTGAGCTCTGCCGGCACTTGCTCGTGGTCCAGCAAGTCGAGTCAGGTAGACGCTGCTTACCCCTTCTCGGTAATGTCGCCCTCCTGCGTACCGAAATCGTCAGCGCAAAGGTTTGGGGGAGGTTCTGATGCAAGGAGAGGCTCCTGGCGGGTGACAATGACCTACCTCCAGCTCGCGGTCCAGCTCGGCGAGCCTCGCCCGGAGCTCAGCGCTGTAGTCCGCCATGGTGGCCAACGGAACAGCGCGCTGCTTGCTGTCTATGTCCTGTGCGCTGTGCTTGGTTCGTGACTGAGGGCGACCGACTGGCGCTTCGCCATGCCCAGACTCTCCGGTAGCGCGAGTCTCGTGGTGTTGAAGTTTCTTTTGAGGTCTGCCCTGCGTAATGCCGCTCAAAGGCTATGTGCTACTACGAGTACTACTGCATTCAGGCCCAGAGGAGCGAGCGAGGGGCTGCCCCGAGGTCTTTTTAGCGGTTACCCGCTGTGGAGTGGCGCTCTCCAGCAGGTGCTAGCGGCCAGGGCAGAGGCTTTCAAGGTTTCCACCAAGGTTCGCTAGGCAGATGGATTGATGTTGAACCCTCCAGCTGGATGCGAACACGAGGTCTGGACTTATGTAATGTCGTCACGTCGATCAAGAGATACCGGTTTCTGCACGGTTCCTGGTGGTTGCGAGATGTACAGTAATGACTTCAACGGAGAATTACCATGTTCCGATATCCCGATGTTTCCCCCTTGAAGTGCCAAAGAGCCTGATCATGGATGGCTACCTCCATGTAGGTAGGTGAGTAAGTGTAGGTAATCCTCCTCCCAATGAAGCGTCCATCGGTAGATACCCATAAAAGCGATGGTCATTACCTAGATCACCGTCCACAACAGTTTAGTTGTTGGAGAATGAAAGGCAGGGTAACAACGATACAAACGAGGAGCCTTGTCTTCATCGGAGAAGCTGGCCTTTCGAAGTTGATTTCGTGGAACATGGAGAAACCTCTGCATATACGACTTGGGACGGCTTCACATTGCAAGCCCTCCTCGTCTTAGCCATTGCCATACCGTCACATATTGATCCAAACATCAATTCTGTTGCAGATGGGAGAGGTCAAGGCAGCATGCATTTAGCTCTCAACCCTGTCTTCTCACTCCCCTGGACACTTGACTCAAAAGTGATGCACAAAAAAGCCATGTATCAAGACAACACCATAGGGTAGCCCAACCCCAACAACGTATCAGTCTATCTCCCATCTCTACAGGCCAGATCAAAGACTGAACGGAAATAATGAATATAAAGCATACCTCCACTGGTCTCAATATTGAAACACCATCCAGCACAAAACTGATCATTTCGACCTCGTGCTTTACCCCGTCTTGACAAGCGTTCACTACGTGCCTCCTTCAAAACATCCCAGCTTCGAACAAAAACCCCCATTCTACAACAACGTCTTCATTCAGCCCTCCCCCCACCCCCTGAAAACTTTCTTTCATCCCAACTTGAACTCTTCAGCAAGTCTATAAATAACAAAACCTCAAACTCTTCATCAGGGGAAAGCCTTGTCCCGCATTCACCCCATCTTTTTCGCCCTTTCGCACCCCCCTTGCTCTTTGTTCGACTTCTTCAGCAACACACTTAGCCTGCTTCATGTTCTCAATGTTGTTTTGTTCTGCTTCTAGAACAAGATATATGCCCGTGAAGAAACAATGGGACTTGTTCGCTTTTTACTTGTTCTCTATGTTCAAGATGGGATCTCTGCAAAAAGGCTGTAGATGATGGAGTTAAATATGAATTGCGTCGCTGCATCTCCTGGATTTGGGGTTCGGAGCATATCTACACTAGCATCACGCATTCAGAAACGAAGCTTGACTACGACTTACATACTGCTAGTTTTGACCACGGACCATTCGCCTTCATAAGATTCGCTCCCTTTTGACTTTTCATCTGAAGTAGCCGACGAACTATGTCCGATCCCTTCAACTTCCAGTTCACCACTGGTGGTGACTTCACAGACTCATGGCAAGACGACAACTCAGGCACAGATTACTTCGGTAACAATGTCTTTGCAGGTACAGCATTCCCAGGGCTCATGTTTACCGAGGGACATTCAGAGGCAGATCTGGGAACGCTGGATTTTCTAACTGCTACAGATCCCTTCAATCCCGACATGGCCATGACTCAGGGGAATGGAATGGACATTGACCTTTCGCTTGCCTGGAGGATGCCGTAAGTGTCGATGCAACTTTCTGCGTTATCTATTTGTTTGTTTGCTAATATGTCGTTTTAGAGGTACTTTGGTCGATCAATTCTCAAATCCTGGTCTTCATAATGATGCAGTCTTCCCCTCTACCAGCAATGATCTGCTTCTCCCATTTGGTCAACAAGTACAGGCACACAACCTCCAGCAGCATCTAGACCAGAACAGCCAGGATGACCCCTTTTCAATATATGCTCCTCTCGATTCAGTGAACGACACCAGCTCTCTCCCTTTCGGTCAGCAATTTCTCCAGCAGTCCAACCAGTGTGTTCCTTCCACGACAGGTAACCAATTCTTCAGCACCAGCACCTTTGAACTGGCTTCAAATAAAGACCTCCAGTCTGACAACAATCGATGCCAAAGCACAACCACCTCCGAGGCCGCACTCGACGCCCAAAAAGTCAGCCTCAACAGAGCCGCCAAACGAAGAGGAGACCCCAGCTGCGACCCTTCTCGTCGCTACACCGCAAATCTCGTCAACGTGTCTCCGTGGGGCAGCCTGACCTGGAACGGAAACCACCTGTTCAGCTACACTCCAAAGGGCCAGTGGCTGCGCGACCGGTGCTTCAACAAGAAGCAGCTCCAAGAGTACTTCGACAACTGCCCAAAGGAGACCGTCTTCTGGGTCCAGCAGGCTCCCACGCAGTGCAACCACCGACTGGATCCCGAGGACAGGATCTGCCGGTGGGCAAACTGCCCCGTCGCCAACAGGACCATCGCGGCCGGCTGGCTTCGCGTCGCCTTTGACGAGTTTCCTCACCTCACGTCCAACGGGCTCCGCGATCCGCTCAAGTGTGCCGGCTCAATGCATCTCTGGTGCTTTGAGCAGGCATTTGACCCGTTAAAGTTCCATTTGTCGGGCCGTCTGCGTGCTGAAGACAGGGAGTTTCCCTTGGAAGACAAGAGTGTGGTGACGCTGGAGAAGTTGACCGATGCCGGCATTATACGGGATGCCTATCAACCCTGGTTCTTGCAGAGAATGCGTCGGCCCAATCAGCCGCCCCGAGAGTATCGAGACTCTTTGTCCTATCGACTGACCAAGTACCACGTAGACAACCAGACGGCGGCTCGGCAAAAGGCGCGGTCGAAGCGAAACACGGCCAAGTCTGCGGATGAGCGGAGGACCATCGATGTGCACCTGGGAAATCTGAAGCTGTTTGTCGAAATCACAAACAAGGTCAAGAGGTCAAAGAAGGTCAGGAAGCTCCAAAGAGTAAAGGCCGAGGATGATGAAGACTCGAGCACTTCTTCGCAGGCATGGGCAAACGGAGACCAGATGGCCGTGGCAAACTGGTCCCCAGAGCAGACCCAACGGGATTTCCTCTTGCTACAGGGGCTTCCTCCCGGCAGCATTCAGAGCGGAAACATGTGTGCTTCCCGTTCGAATCTTTTGTCGCAGCCAAACGTGAGTAGCATGCCGCCAAGCTATTTCGACCCTTTGAACCCAGGTCGCAATGCCTTGCATTCATCCATTCAAGCACCAGCCGCCACCAAGTTCCAGCAGAACAACCCCCTCGGGCTCCCCCATCAGAACTACGCTCAAATGGTCACAGGGGCAAGATTCAACAGGGCAACCCGAGGCCAACCGCGCCAACCCCCCAGGCCCATCATCACGCAGAACTTACAACAACAATTTTCTCCTCTTGGCACAATGATACCTTGCCAGGCGCAGGCACAGACCAGACGCTCAAGAGATCAGTCAAACTCCAATGTTGTTTCGCAGCCAAATGCCTTCCTCAAGCGCGAACCACTCTGGACGCCGGTCGAGTCATTGCAGTCGCTTGGAGGCAGCAACGGCACGGGCGAGTTCGACTCGCAGCAGGGGAACAGCCTGTACCCACAGGAACTGAATATCAGAGATTTCATTGACCCCAGGCTGTTTGGGGAGGAGCCGGAGGTTGGCCAGCACCATAAGGAAGCCGTTGTCGAGGCAAAGGATAACTCTGCACCACCCCACACCATACTGGAATCCATCGAACTTCAGCCTCAAGGAAGCGCGGACGGCGTTGCGAGCCCGCAAACTGCAGCTCAATCGCAGTGTTGGGATAGCCTCGACAGCCTCATGGAAACAGCCGGATTTGGTGGCTTTGACGACTCGTCTTTCCCCTCTCTCTTCGAAGATCTTACATCCGCCAACGGGGTCGACGACAAAGCCACAGCGCCCACCGGTGTCATCAGCATAAGCAGTTCCGAGGCAGGCGGCTCAAAGCGTAACAGCCTCAGTCACAAGTACGACACACGAAGCCGGCAAAACAGCAGAAGGCGGCGCACAGATGCCTCGTGAATGCACTTGCTGGAGCCCCGCGTACCTTAGATCAGGACATGCGGTTCCCCGGGCGGCGTTGACAGGGAGAGCCCTGGCAGCGCCGATAAGGCCCATGAAAGCTGCATCGGCACTCCCGAGGTGGAGAGCTGCTCGGGCTGGCGTTGACTTGCAGGCACGCGGGCTTAGCTTTGTAGCCAGCTGGCAGGCTAATGAGATCCCCTCTCGCCAAAACGCGGGTGCTCGATCCCTCGGACAGAAGGCGGCAGGCGACAGGTGGTTCTGATCGTTGAGCACGATGCGACGAGTCTCGATTCCGGCTTGGAGGGGGGTGGATCGCAGGTGTAACAGGCACAGTCTGGGCTGACAACAGAGTCTGCGGAACGACCTGTCACACTCGACGAATCGGCAGACAAAATATCGCATCTCTGCTGGTACATGTTTTTGCTCGTCTGATGCCGGATGCTGGGGAAGGGGGTGAACCGAAAGGCGTTGCCGATTCGCTCGTCCTTCCACGCATCTGGAGGCGGACAGCATGGTTAGCGGAGATGTTTCTCGTTACAGCCTGCTGGCCGCATGCCTGTACGATAGACAGGATACTCAAGGCGTTCACTGCTCTGCTGATTCCAAGCCAACGTACGGGACAGCTCTCGGAGGGGGTCAGGGCCCGGCTGGCTTGCATTCCTCGGTGTTGCTGCTGGTCGCAGTCCACGATCAGAGGGGTCTGGTGCTTAGGATTCGGAGCGAGATGCGGCTTCGACCAGGGCCCCTGCCGTCCTATTGCGCTACTGTCCGCCTGCTGGTTGTATCCATTAGCAGCAGTTACCATCATCTTGTCGGTTTTCTGGGCGTATCATTCATTGGGTTGTTGACTTTGCTTCGTGTGGAGTTGTTGGGCGGTTGGAGTTCAGGTTCGGGGTGGCCATGGTCTGATTTTGGAGTTGGGCGTAGCGTGGGATTAGCACGTGCAGATGAATGATGCCTGCTAGGTTAGTAGGTACTACTACATACTTTTACGTAGATAGACGCGCAATTATTGGCAGCGCCCGTGTTCATAGTATATTGTACCCTTAGCTTGTATGGATAGCAAATATCTGGGGTGAAAGTTGTATAGACGAGTAGTACGGTAGGTAGTAATGAGCTTCTTTGCCCGCCATGACTGAAATGACGAGAAACTTCAGATGCCAGAGTCATGAAGCTGGGAGAAGAAGACAACTGCAAGTGCCATCCCTCAGCACGGATCTATTGCGTGCCGTCAGTGCGGGAACACCGCTCTCCGTAGTACATGTCAACTGCTGCAGCTGCAAGGAATGTACGTCTGCCCATGCAAGCTTTGCCATGCTGAAGCTAATGGCAGGGGAGCCCCGTCAAGAAACGACATCTATATCACATACTTGCTTACAGTGGAAGCCTTAGCAGACTGCTAGGTGTTCCGTGCTGTACAACGATGGAGAATACATACCTACGATCCCTGAGACCCAACCAGGGCACCCCCCTCTAAGGACTCGCCGGACGAATCGCGATATCCAGAGAGCTGTTTTTAAGCAGTCCCCAAGAGGACATGCGTCAAACGAAACATGGACAAGGTCTGGGCGCAAGACATGTTGCAGTTCAGCCTCCCCACACGAGCCGGGGGGTGCGGGTGGGTTAATGCACGTTTGGCGTAGCTTCAGCTGTCCTACTGGCTGGGGCGGCATGCGGGAGATCCAAAGGAGGAGGCCAGATCCATCCGTGCTGATCAAACAAGTGATGCCGCAAGACGTCAGTTCTCATGGATCTCACAAGTGGCGCTACTGCTGCCGGAAGCAACCTTGACAGCTTAGATAGTCGGGCTGGTATGTAATACCTAGGTCAGGGTTCCTATCAATCATCCCGGATTACTGTCCAGAGAGTGGAACAGACGTCTCTCGTCGAGGCGCTTCTCTGCGGCCGACGGAGACAACAGGCCGTTTCTCGCAGCCCATCTATGGCGGAATACGCACTCACTTGTACCAAGACGTGCATTTGTCAGTATCTACCTAGGTAGTCGCCCTGTTCCGGATGTCGCCATCATGCGCCGGTGTATAGAGTTCGTACGGTACAGTAGGCTGCTGAGGCGGGCGCGTGCCGTGATGTCGGATCTTCCACAGGCTAACAGACGCCGCACTGGAACTAGAGGGCTTGAGGATTGAAGATCCCAGATGCTGTGACAGGTGCAGAGAGTAAATTGTCTGCTTACCTACCTAATCAGGCCATCCGTGCCTCGGTGAGGCCTCTTGGTGCCAATTTGACACCAGCTGGCAACTTTGGAAGTTGAATCTGATGTTACCTTACCTTTATGTTGTCTCGCTATCAGACAAGTGGGGAGCCGTGGTGTGTCGGATGGCTGCAGTTGAAGAAGAATGAGGAGAATAACTGCCGTCTACCTGGATCACTTGTGCGAGTGTCACTTGATGAGGTGCGAGAGGTAGCGAATCGAGCGCTGCATCTTGGTAAGGTAGGTAAACAACAGCTTGACGTCGTACCTATTAGAGCCCAAGCCGATGAACCTGAAGTGAACAGCCAGCGCATCGGGATGCTGTTGAGTCGAGTCTCTCCGCAGCCCGAGCTGAGTGGTCCAGTCCAGTTTCTGCTATGGCCCTTTCGGACTGTCGACTACCTTGTCATTCAGCAATTACGGACATGAGTAAAGCATGGGGTTAATCATGAGGTAGTCATGTCTCGATCTCGTGTCCTGGTGATGCGACTTGTCTCTCTGTCGTCGCTTTTGTACCTCAAGTAAGGTATGACAAGCAGCGTCTGCCATACCTATGTAATGGTCATGTGCGGCAGTACTCAGTACATGCGGCGCGCATCACGCTGTGGCCGCGTCCGCCCTGATGCTGAAACAGCCGCAAGGTACTCGGTACAGCTGCCTCTGTGTGTGTTCGCCTGTCCTCCTCCAAGCCCAGCCGTCACACTCTCTCACACAGTTCGTTCAGTCTCTGCACACGCCCCTCCACCCACCGCACCCAAGCCCCTTGCAACAGCATCGCGGCGACGCCGACACTAGACGCGCTACGAGGTGACAATGGCGACGCTAATCCGACGGCGGCCTGTGGACGGACGGGCCTGTGCTGCGTTGCGTTGCGTTGCGTTGCTGCACCGCGATTTCGGGGACCCGGGGGTGGATTCAAAAGGCGAGTCGTGATGCTGCGTGTCGGCCGTCGACGGACCACTGAGCAAGCATCCAGTAGCAGTAGCAGCAGCAGCATCAGCGGCATCAGTGCCGGTATCAGCGCCGGCACGAGACGACAAAGACAACGACCAAGACGACAACGACCAAGACGACAACGACGACGACCACGGCCACGACGACGAGAACGAAGACGCACGCGACGCTCAGTTCCTCCCGCGATCCAGATCTCCAAATCACACGCCGGCGGGAGCACGATCCTGCAGCACTTCTGGGTGCTGCCCGGCGCCGTGCCACGTAGAGTCAGACGGCGGCTCCGTGGGTCGACTCGACGGCGTTTTGGCCACCGTTCCCCCATACAGTATTTACAACTGCATCTCCGCCTGCCTGCTCGTCTGGTGTGCTGCCGCTGCTCCCCCAGATTCGTGTCAGTCTGGCTCGACGAGGAGACGAAAAAGCAGGATTCCCAGCTACCTACATGAACTAGCCTGCCTGCCACAACACGCACCTGCGCGCATACATACATATGCACCTCACATATCTTGGGCCACTGCACACCTACTTTACCTACATGCACCTTACCTGGCCTTGCCTGCTGCACGAGGTAGTATTACCAACTGAAGGCGCTACTACATGTACATGCATGCACAGCGTCATCACAGCTGCCACTGCATTTTCCTTCTCGGCGCTTTTTAGGCACAGATCGCCCACCTTGCCTGCTTTACACCTGTGGTATCACGGCGACGTATTACTTTGTACCAGCGAACCAAGCAACGCCAGAGCAAAGATCCTTGGCGCCGGGGGAGCATCGACTATTTGGGGAGCCTGAGATAATTTCCCATCGTTTCCCATAATATTTTAGACCCTTTCCTCCCCTCGGCAAGACGAGAGGCAGAGCCACGGTGCTTCTCCCCCACGCGCCGAGGGAATAAGAGTGTGTCGGCCAGCATCGACAAAGAGTGCCGTCATCACCTCCATTCGCCTCCCTCTCTCTCTCCGTCCCTCCCTCACATCCGCTTCGCACACCTCGCATCTCGCTCCATCTCACTAGCATTTCCTTTCTTCAGCGAACCGGCTAGTCAGGGCCAGATCCAAGCCCAGGCAGCGCCTCGTGGGGGAAACAAGACGGTCACGTGGGAGCCTTCGCTGTCCGGCAGCGCCACTGGGCGACTTTGGACGAGAAGCCGGGATCGAGACTCCCTTTGAATCTTTCTGCCCTTTTCTAATCACCGGCTCGCGACACGCTGCTTCTGTTCTCGTCTCCTATAGTCTCGTCTCGTTTGGGGAACATTGGAACATCCTTGGAGCGCGGCATTGGAGATCGGCGTCTGCATTGAACGTTGCGCGCAACCTGCGAACTGACTCGACAGCATCACGGCATAACAGGTTGGTGGTTCGCGACTCGGCAATTGAGACAGAATCCAAGCGGCGATTTCAAAGACGATGACGGAGACGGTGTCGTCACCTGCGTTGCAGGTCATTATACTGGTATGTTCGTTTTCGTATGGCGTCCAATTTTCGTTTCTTTCTTCATTGTCTCCTGCGCTCTTCTTTTCTTTGTCCCGGGCTCTGTCTGTGTGCCGAACCAACCCCCCATGGCTTCTCGTGGGATTTCATTTCCCACCACCTCCTCAGAGAGGCGACGCTCCGTTGGACTCGAAATTGAGAGCGTCAGATCGGGTAATTTGGCCGTGGCAATTCCGATCGGGATGCGTCTGCCGCCAGGGGGGGCCAACGACCCCAGGCCCAGGGACAAACACCCCCCCCAAAACCCCCCTCTCTTCCCTCCCCTCTTGGCTCTGCATGAAGCGTCTAGCCGCGTTGTGCTATGAGTTCCATTGGCACAGCTTATCGTGGGGCAGCCTCGCCCCTCTGACGGCTCAGCTTACTTACACATGCCATGGCCTTGCGTTGTCTGCTTCGCGCTCATGATTGGGAGCCAGCCTGAGTCTGGCCACGCAGATGAATCAGACTTGACTCGAGTATAAGTGCTAACCACCCACGGACAGGGCTCGGGAGGCGGCCCCCAAGAGTCAAATACAACAGCGTTTCTCGTCCGTTCGGTGCCCCTGAACTGGCGCAAAGGCTCAATAGTGGCTGTCGACGGGGGCGTCCACTTGTCTGCCATCACTCGCCTGATTGAGGAGGCCTTACCAGAGTCACCACCGCCGACGCCGACGCCATCGTCGGTCCCTACTCGTCAGATCCTGACCACCGGGCCCTTTGCTGGCCTGGAATTGCCGTTCACCACGGCCGCGGCGAACGCTGCCTATGTTACGCGCACTCTCGTCGATACCTATCTCATCACGCATCCGCATCTAGACCACATCTCCGCCTTTGTCATCAACACAGCAGGCTTGCCCGGCACTCGTCCCAAGAAACTTGCCGGCCTTCCGGGTACCATCAAGGCTCTCAAGGACCACATCTTCAACAATGTCATATGGCCGAATCTCAGCGACGAGAACAACGGAGCTGGTCTCCTGACGTATCTCAGACTGGTTGAGGGTGGAAGCCCTGCACTGGGCGAGGGATACCTGGAGGTGTGTGATGGGTTGTTGGTCAAGACGTGGAGCGTGAGCCATGGCCACTGCATGGAGAAGCACACGCATCGTGGATCCTTCTGTAACCCGGCACCGACGCGCCACGGTAGTCGCCACGGTAGTCAAGACGGATCGAGCATACCATCAAGCATACCGCTCCGGCGCGACACATACTACCCTCACGTTCATGACTTTGCCACCCAATTTGCCCGTCGCGAAACCTTTAACCATCTTTATCCCACATCCTTCTCACGGCGGCAGAGCCTGATGCCCCAGGCTGCGCTGGGCATCGCCTCGCCTGCCCTCGGGCCCGGCGACTTTGAGCCACGGCCATGCGTCAACGACTCGAGTGCGTACTTTATCCGGGAGGAGACGTACGAGCGCGAGGTGCTCATCTTTGGAGACGTGGAGCCGGATAGCCTTTCTCTCAGCCCGCGGAATCTAATGATCTGGCAGGAGGCGGCGCCCAAGATTGCTTCCGGAAAGCTGGCAGCTATCTTTGTCGAATGCAGCTACACCGACGCACAGCCGGACGAGCGGCTGTTCGGCCATCTGAAGCCCGCCTATCTCATAGAGGAGATGCAGGTCCTGGCCGGCGAAGTAGAGGTCGCGCGAAAGGCACGTTCCCTTGAGACTAAGAAACGCAAGCGGGACGCCGAGGAGGAGCAGCAGATGCAGCGGAAGAAGGCCCCGGTCGTCGCCATGCAGAGTCCTGGATCCGACGACCCGGTGTCGCCCAAATCTGCCAACCCGCTCAATGGCGATTACTTCTTCAACTCGGCGTCTGATTCCGAGACGCCACACATTGCCACCCCTACCGGCGAGCTGTCGCTCGATGAGTTTGCGGTTCCCGGCCCGGGATTGCCGCCGCCCACCCCGGCCGTCACTACCGCCGCTGATTCTGGCGTCAAGAAGCCCCTCGAAGGCCTCAAGGTTGTCATCATCCACGTCAAGGAGACGCTCGCGGATGGGCCGCAGGCCGGCGACTCAATACTACAGCAGCTGCTGGAGCATGAGCGGGAAGCGCAGCTAGGCTGTGAGTTTATCATTTCCAAACCTGGGCAGAGCTTCTACTTCTAAACATCTCTCGCACATTGCGCTTCTTTCTCTGTTTCATTCTTTTTTCTCTTTTCTCTCCTCATCTTCTCATTCTCCTTTGCATGACTAGCATTCTGCGATTTCCTCCATCTGGATATGGTTATGGGGAGTCCTGGTCCTGGGAATGGCGGCGGCGGCGGGGGAGTCTTTGCTTGTGGCTTTGGCAAGGCCGTTTGGCCAACAGTATGATTGATATGATGAACATGTTTTGTATACCACCGCGTTTGAATACCACGCCTTTTTCTTCTTTCAATTCTATTGACCGCTGGCTTGCTGTTTGTGTTTGTTTCGATGTGACCATACCTGTCTCATGGATTACTCGCAGTTGATTCATTTCTTTCCATTGGAGAGCTTCTCATAGCCCTCGAAACCGCCAAGGTCAGTTTCAAACTGCGGCCTAGGCAGCTGCAGGAGCTCCGTTGTCTTGGAGTAGATGGTCCCTCCCATGCGGCCAATCGGTCTCAAAACCTACTCTTCTCGTTAGTCAACCCCTTCCCCCTTTCGCGTCGCAGAGTTCCTGATGGAACATTTACCTCGGGAGCCACATAATCCTGCTTCTCACCGAGCGCATCATCCCTGACCCAGAACCTCGTGCCCTCCAGCACCACCAACCAGGTCGAGATCCTCCCCGGCTGGGCCCTGCTCTCAATCTCCTTGATAGACTCGAGCTTTGCCTCGACGCTAAAGACGGCCTCCTTGACCCTCGGCGGCTTGACAGTCTCGCACGAGTACTCGGCCGTCAAGCCGGCGATGCCCCATTCCGACACCCCGTAGGGGGCGTCGATGCTCGTCGAGTTGGCGGCCTCGATGTAGTGCTCCGAGATGATGTTGATGACGCACTCGCCCGAGTCGCGGATGTTGACGAAGGAGTCGCGGGGACCGCTGGACGGGTGGGCGAAGCCGACGACAAAGGTGGGCGGGTCGTGGGTGAAGACGTTGAAGTAGCTGAAGGGGGCGAGGTTGGCCTTTTTGCCGTCCGGGGAGAGGGTGCTGAGGAAGGCGATGGGGCGGGGGGTGATTGCTGAGATGAGGAGCTGGTAGTTGAGCCAGGAGGGGCGGGAGGGGGATTGGGGGTCGATGACGGTGTGGTGCTGCTGCTGGTGGGATTTGTCGTTGGGGTCTGCTGGGGAGGAGGAGGAGGACTTGTCGAGGTGGTTGCTGCCTTGGCCAAAGGTCCAGTTTGGGTCGGGGACGGGGACGATGCGGATTTGGTTGGGGGGTGTTGGGGAGGTTGCTGAGGGGGCCATTTTGTTTTGGTGATGCTATGGGATGGATGGTGTAAGTGAGTTTGGGTGTTATCTACGACTTGGGCTTTTCCGTCATGATTTGGACACGACTGGCACCCTCTTTATAGTCAATCTCATCATCAAGGTGGACTTGATTTCGGCCAGATATAGTGGTTTGGTGGAGCCGTGGGGGTTTGGACGGCGTCTAAGTCGCCTCTCAACCTATCATGCCGGCAAGGTCCCCTACTCGATATCCACGGACGATGGATGTTGCAGCGATGCGACTCCATTCTTTGATTCATAAGCAGGGGGAGGGGGGAAAGGATATGATTGCATACCGGTTTGGGGAGGAAAATGCAGGTATGGCGTAAGTTAGTAGATGCAGATTAGACATGCATGACGAAGGCAGAGCTGCATGAGCAATCCATGACTGCGGATTACGGAGGGTTGATTGCAGGGATTTTACAGGTTTTGGGTGTTGGTTTGGTTTGTTTCTCGTCTGAGGACGCGATGGAGCTTCAGCAGTGGTGAGGAATCAGTTGGTACACAATCGATCTTGGCATCTGGATTGTACCAGCCTCAGCATCAGCGAAGAGCTCCGGTAAGAGGCCGGATATTATTTGAACAACAGGGCTTGCCCTGCAATATCGATGCTCTGATGCGCTACCTTGTGACTGAGTTCTCAGTCAACTATGGAGTCTATGAGTATGCAAAAGACGGGCAACTGGAAGATGGAGTATGTAGCGCAATTATGCAATGCTTATACTCGTAGGTGGGTTACCAGATAAGGACTACACATGGGCATCTCACATATTAACACCTGAACAGTTCTAAAGCCACATCTTGTAAATTATCTTTGCCAGTTGTATACAAGCACATGTAAAGTCTACCCAATCGAAAATGGTATCAAAGAATCAAAGAGGACTCGGAGCATATTGATTACATAAGCGCTCGGCGTAGAGTCACGGCCCCACCATTTCCATCTAAACTGCATCCAGCTTATCGATTCCAGCGCAAGCAAAAAAGTTCGTGAGCTGTTGCTTCACCAGAGCTGCACATGCAGACGACAGCGCCTGTCGTCTCCTCGTCCTCCTTTTTTTCTCTCTCCCGCTGATGGAACAATGCGCATCTCGGCGCTTCGTCTGCTCTGTATCTGCTCCGCTCCGAACTCTCTCCTCTCCGGCCGGTAGACGAACCCGGCAGCTCTCGAGCCTTGCCATTTCAAGACACTCTTCATCTATATTGAAGCATCGCCGTCTTGACAGCTCGCTATACACATTATATCCGCCACCTCACAGCTCTGTACGATTCTATTCCAAAATCTTCAAAAGCGTCCACGGCGACACAACCACCATGACGACCACCGTCGAGCTCGCCTGCGTCCCCTCGGCTGACACGCCTGGCACCTGCATCTACATGCACCACGACAAGCGCTCCTACGTCTTTGGCCGCGTCTCAGAGGGCACGCAGCGAGCATTCGGCAGCCGAAAGGTGCACCTGGGAGGCACCGAACACGTCTTCCTCAGCGGCAGCGTCAACTGGGAGCAGCTGGGCGGCCTGTGCGGCTACCTGCTGAGCGTCGGCGGCTCTGTCGAGTCGGCCAAGGAGTACAAGATGCAGGAGAACACCAAGCGGGAGCAAAAGGGCCAGAAGCTGCTGAACAAGACCAAGCACGCTGGAATCGCCGTGCACGGGGCGGAGAACCTGTGCCACACGCTGGCGTCATGCCGGCCCGTCATCTTTCGACAGCCCATTTGCGTCAAGACGTTTGAGCACAGGACGGACCCGCGAGCGACAGACGCGGCAAACCTCGAGCCGGACTGGTCAGACGATGCCATCAAGGTCTGGAAGATACCCGTCCGACGAGCACGATCTAGCAGTCCCCGGAAACGACGACACAGCGATCTGGCTCAAGATGGGGTGGTGGACGCCATGTCCGAGAGTGCGTCTTCAGAAGAAGCCAATAACTTCCAGCCACGAGCGGCGGTATCCGATCCCGACGTCGCAAGTGCAATAGTCGAGCGCATCATGTTCAACGGCAGCCTCAAGAATCGATCCGTCCTGATACCGAAGAAGATTCGCGACCTGAAGCCTACAGACATTGCTGCCGTTGTAAGAGGCGGCACGATGAAGCTGTACAAGGGCCCATACATGACTGCTGGCGTCGAGGTGCCCAATCCCGATGACACGGTGTGGCATTTCCCAGAAATTGGAGAGACTGGCGTTGATGAAAGGGGCGACAACGTCCTGCAAATCAACCATTACCCGCTTCCCAGGACGGCATACAGTGAGATGTCGATGAGCTACATCGTCAAGTCTCACGGCCGCCGAGGAAAGTTCAACGCACCCATGGCCAAGTCGCTTGGTGTAGAGCCTCGAGACTTCAAACTGTTAACCGCAGGGGAGAGCGTCCAGGGCAAAGACGGCCTGGTAACGCCCGAAATGGTGCTCGGAGAGCCGCAGCCCGGAAGAGGGTTGATCGTGGCGGATATCGCTAGTCAGGATCTCGTCGAACCCTTCATGGCGCGACCCGAGTGGAAAAGCGCCGAGCTGATGGACAACATCGCCGTCATGTACTGGATCTTGGGACCGAACCTGAGCGGGGACGCGAGGATCCAGCAGTTTATCCAAGAGCATGCCACCATCAAGCACATTTTCTGCGCCGACGACACTTGCCCCAACATGATTACGCATCCCGGCGCTGCTGCGATCCAGGCCAAGCTGCGTCGGATCGACCCCGAGCGGTTCCCCCTTCTCAAGTTTGAGAACACGGTCCAGTATCCCGCCCCTTCAGAAGGCTCTCCGATCGAGCTGGGCCGGGCTGGGCACAAGTTCCAGTTCATGCCTCGCCTTGTGTACGACGACCAGGCCATCGCCCCTTTTCCTGACTTGGTCGAGGCCTACGAATCAGTAGATGACGAGGTCCTCAAGATGGCCGAAGAGGCTCGCTCTGAAGCCACGGACCCCAAGTTCGTAGAGCGTATTGAGCAGGAGGAGGTGGACATTCCCAACCGCGACGCCGAGATCATCCCTCTCGGCACAGGCTCGTCAGTCCCCAGCAAATACCGCAACGTCTCTGCCACCCTGATCCGAGTCCCGGGCATCGGAAACTACCTGTTCGACTGCGGTGAGGGCACGCTGGGCCAGATCAAACGGCTCTTTGGCGCCGAGGAGGCCGCAGATGTCTTGCGCAACATGCGCTGCATCGTCATCAGCCATGTCCACGCCGACCATCACATGGGAACGGTCTCACTGATCAAGGCTTGGTACGAGCAGACCCTCAAGGACGGCAGCAACGCAACGCTCGCCATATCCTGCATCGGACGCTATCGGATCATGCTGGAGGAGCTGTCCCAGGTTGAGGACATTGGCTACCACAGGCTGCGCTTCCCCAGCTGCCCCTATCCCAAGGAGAAGGACCGAGACCTGACGACGCGCGAGGACCTGCTGGGCGACGACGAGAATAACAACTTTGGCCTGGCCTCGATCAAGCGCGTCCCCGTCCCTCACTGCTGGCGCTCGTACGCGACGCAGCTGGAGCTGACGTCGGGCCTCAAGATTGCGTACTCGGGCGACTGCCGGCCGTCCAAGTCGTTCGCCCAGGAGTGCCGCGGCGCGCACCTGCTCATCCACGAGTGCACCTTTGGCGACGACAAGCAGGACCACGCAAAGGCCAAGAAGCACAGCACCATGGGCGAGGCGCTCGGGGTGGCGCGCGAGATGGCGGCCAGGCGCACGCTGCTGACGCACTTTTCGCAGCGCTACTCAAAGTCGGACTCGCTGAGGAGGGAGCGCGTCGAGGGCGTCGAGCACGACGTGCTGCTGGCGTTTGACTTCATGGCCGTGAGGCTCGGGGATTTCCAGAAGGCGGCGTGTTACCTGCCGTCTGTGCAGCGGTTCATGGAGAAGTTGGCGGATTGATGCCTCTACTTTATATATAGATACCTAGTATATAACGAACGTTCTGTCACAAAACAACATTATTGCCGCTTCTGTATTTTATGTTAGACATGCCCAGGCCCAAAGTCCCATCCTCTTCGGCTCGACAAAGGACAACTCTCTTTCTTTACACTCAACTCTCCTCCCTTATTAAACTCCCGTATGGTCTCATAGATGGTTGCATATACCTCTTGATATCAATCATTCTCGCGGGGCGAACCTGCTCTATCCGAAGCCTCTCCTCAAACTTCAAAGACAGGCAAGCTTCCATAAGTTCTTCCCAGCCCTTTTCTTTCCCACATCATATCTCCAACAGGGTGGAAAGGAAACACCGCCGGTTCAAGTCACTATAGAATAAAAATAGACCCAGGAAGTAGTTATCTAGCACCTTCGGTTTGGAAAATACAGGCTCTGAACCCAAGTTTGAGACTTATTTATTTTATATGGTTCATTTATTAACAAAGATTGAGATACTGAGTAGCTTATACTAGGACTGTATTGACATAGCGATAGGTAGTAGCAGCGAGTAGAGAATATAGAGTCTTCTGCTAGACAGCCACTCTCAGTCTAGGGAGTTTGTATCTATTAATGAGCGATGGGCGGCGGTGTTGATTTTCGCCCCCCCTTGATCTTCTACTAGTCAACTATTCAGTCAGTCAGACAGACAGACCAACCACATTTCCAATCCTCGTCGACATTTACTTCCATCTTTAAGAAAAACACTTCACACACATAACATCTGGAAAAGCCTGATACGACATTTGAAGAGGGTATATTAAGACTCCTGAGAGAAGAAACAAAAAGAGAAAGGAGAAAATATCTTTTTAGCACACTCTCAAGTCACCAAAAGCGAAATCCCCCACCACCCTTTCCCCCCATCGTCTCCCTGAGCTTCCCCCCCCCCCCCCCCCCCCTATCGTTTGTTATAGTGTTCACGGAACCCCCCCGTGTGTGCTTTAACCACTCCTTGATTCCGTTGACTGTGTTTGACGCCGACCCTTCCAGACGCGCTGAACCATTCGAGATCGATCCCTTGGTACGCTAAAATAGGAAAAAAACGAAGAAAGGAGAAAACCACACAAAGAGAAAAGAGAGAGAAAGGAGATGAGAATGAACGTTGGAACAGCAACAGTTCAAAGCGCTAGAGTACAATGACAATGCCACTGGAGGGGGGGGGGTGAGGGAGAGAGAAAAGAGGTCACGCCAATGTCTCCCTTGTGGAAAAAAATAAAAGGTAGGCTTTCCACCACTATACACATCCAGTGTGCGCGCGCTACCATGAATCCTCGTCATGCTTATGTAGTCATTATAAAACGAAATGTGTCGAAACCTGTTCTCTCGGCGAGGGCTCATCCAACGTAGTGGGCGTGCTGCCTCGCCTTGTCGATCTCGAGTCGTCGTCGCTCGAATCGAATCTTGGCGGCCTCGGTTCCGTCGTCGGGCTGGGCCATTTCCTTGAACCACGGGTGATTCAGGGCCTGCTTGGCCGTGATCCGGTGGGCAGGGTCATAGACAAAGATCTTCCTCAGCAAGTCGAGGAAGTTCTTGAAGAACGTCGTATTCGAAGGGATGATATCCTAAGCCTGTGTCAGTGACGTGTCGCTGATTCTAGATGATGTGTGCTCGTAACATACGCTCAAATGCTTCATGGCCTTGACGAATCGTCGCGAGCCCCTTGTCGTCTCAGGGGTCGGGTAGTCAAGCTTGAGACGCTTAAAGTATCTGCAGACATCAATGTCAGCAAAGCGGGCTCTTGCGGACTTGTGATGGTCGACGCGAGTGGTAGCGCTTACTTAGAAGCAGGGTTCCCTCCACTCCGAGTCGACATCTTGTTCACGGCCGAAACGAGATGGCTATCGATGCGAGAGCCAACGACAGCCTCCATCATGGCGAGGTGTTCCAGGTTGTCGTGAGTCTGGAACAGGGCATCGCCAGTGAAGAACTCAACCAAGATGCAGCCAATGCTCCATATGTCGCAAGGAAAAGACCAGCCAAGGCCGAGAATGATTTCCGGGGCTCGATAATGGCGAGTGCTAACAACAGAGGAATGATATTCATCTTGGAAGGTAGCCGATCCAAAGTCGATCAGCCGGATCTCGGTATCGAGAAGCACACGCCGCTGCGATGCCTGCCTGTTGATTGTGGTCGAGGACGAGGGAATTTTCCTGTTGTAGGTGAATGTTTGATACGAGTTGTCACACAACAGGATGTTTTCCGGCTTGAGATCTGTGTGGATCAAGTTGAGGTCGTGAAGAACTAGAGAATTCCAGTCAGCTTTGCCGCAGTCAAGACGATCGTTCCTCCTGCACTCACATGCTACGCTGGTAAAGAGTTGCCTGGCAAAGTTCTGGATCTGGCTGTTAGGAAAGGGGACAAAGCCATTGCCCTTGAGGAAGTCGAAAACGCTCTGCCCCAAGAGGTCCATCACGATGCAGATGTGGCCGCGGTAGTCGAAGCAGTCCCGCAAGTGGATGCATCGATTCCTGTTCTCCTCGTCGTTGGCCTTGAGCGTGTTCAAGACGCGAAGCTCAATCCTGGAGGCGTCGCGATACTTTTGGACAGATCGAATGATCTTGACAGCCACAGGCTTGCCCCTCTTGACGTCGCGAGCCTCGACGACTTTGCCAAAGGTTCCCTGTCCGAGGAGACGAACGATTTGATCTGATGATGATGCCGTTTAGTCACCACTGACCCAATTCCATTTTCACGGGGGGCATCAGGGTTGTACATACATTTATCAGTGAGCTCTGCGTCCGGAACGACAATATAATGACCGTCGTCATCATCGACTTTGGCATTCTTGTTATAGTGTCGCTATGACGAAGGATGAAGCAATTAGTGTCGAGTCCTTTACACTGCTGCTCGTTGTAGAGAGGGCAAAGATTCAAATAATGGAGGAATCAAAGAAACGGTTGGACTTACGTCATTAACGACTCTGACGGGAACCTCAGCAGACTTCTTGGGCGGAAAGGGAGGAGGCTTGTAGGCCATAAAGGCGCCGCCCAGGCCGTCGACGTCCCTCCGCTTGGCCTCGTTGGCGACCTGCTGGCGGGTGGTACGCTTGCGCTTGAGAGGCGCGGCGAGCTCGTCGTACTGGCTGTTGGAAGACAGAGACGTGGGCGCCGTGGTGTTCAATGCCGAGTTTGTGCGGTCGCTGGAGAGCGTTGAGCCGCCCGGCGTGGTGTTGGGCCGGGGCGTGTTTGTGTGCGAAGCTGTGTGCGAGCCGCCCACGTACTGGACGTGGTAGCCCAGCGGCTGATCGTCTCGCCTTCGCTTCTTGGCCGACGACTGGGCAGCAGCCGTGGCGGCCGAGTCGGGCACGACGGCGGTCCCATTCGCAATCTTGCGGCCCGTGTTGGCCTCGGGCTCGGGGGTGTCGTCGATGACGATGATCTCCTTGGGGAGGCCGTTGCGGTAAAAGGTATTCCAGTCGGGCTCCCGCGAGCGCCGACGCTTCCTGCTGGAGGACGAGGGCTGGTGGTCCTCGGCGGCGGTCCGAGCAGGGGCGGGCACAGCGCCAGAGGCGGTGGTCGAAGAAGTCGGCATGGCGGAGGCGTAGCTGCTGTCGTCAAGGCGAGCCGTCGCGGACGAGTCGGCGTCGTGATGGCTGTAGTGGTGGCCGTGGGGAGGGGGACGAGGCGCGGATTGCGAGGGCTGGGCTACGCCATCCGTCAGACTGTAGCCCGCGTTGGCAGCAGGCGGATGGTGGTGATAGTAACTCTGGGGGCGAGCCGGAGTCTGCAGGGCCGGCTGGTGGTCCACGGCTGCCGTTGGGGGCAGCAGTGCGTTCGCGGTGGTTGTTGTGCGATAGTTGGAGGAGTACGAGGGCGGGTGGTGGAGGTAGCGGTAGTGAGGGAGCGTTATGGCTACCTGAGCCGTGGTAGGCGTCGACATTGCCTCCAGTGTCTGGCAGCCGCCCGGTTTGACGAGCACACACGCGCGCGCTGGCGATCTGGCGGCGGGCTGGCGGTTCGTGGGCGAGGCTATCGCGGTTCAGGCGGGAGGGCTCTGCTCTGCTCCTGTTGAGGTGTTGAGATTGGGAGTTGAAGTTAGTTGCAGAGATTTGAGCGAGGCCTTTCGTGGGCGTCTGGGGCGGCAACTCGAAGGCGGATGACCAGCTCGCAGCGAAGAGGCCGCTGACTGGCGAACTGGAGCAGCGCACTTTTAGGCTTTTTAGCACTGGCTGGACGCCCTTTGCTGAGACACGGTTGACCCTAAGTTTAGGTATAGAACAGGCAGAGGCGCTCCACTGCTTATCGGCGGGACGGCGGGAAGAGAAAAAAAAAAGGATGGATCGGATTGGGTTTTGTTTTGAACGAGAAGAAGAACGAGAAGAAGAAAGAGAAAAAAAAGGCTCGTCTTCTTTTCCCCTTTAGTGTTCGAGGCCAGGCTCGGAGGTGAAAAAGGGCTGGGGCTTCACATCTGGCGTCACTCGTCGGCGGGTGAGGAAGAAGTGAGAATCGCAATCGAATTGGGCTGGAATTGACTTGCTCTGAGGCCAAAAGGGCTCCGGCCAAAGCATGGAAGCCCTGGAGCCGGCGGATGGCGTGTTTGAGGGACCGACCGCAATGGAACTCACTCACCTCGCTCACACTGGCCCAGAGGCGAGTGCGTGAGGATCTCTGGGTGCGTGAGGCTCACCGTGCGGCTGCGGGCGAGGTCCACTGTGTTTCCGCCTCTGTAGTACTCTGCTTCGCGCCAGTTGGTGCCAGCAGCAAGCACTGCCCTGCGCACTGCGGAGCACCGACCCCAGGGCTCCAGGCCGCTAAACCGGCGCGCTAATTCGGGGACTCGTAGCGCTGCACGCAGCCAGATCCTGGGCTGCAGGGGGAGGCGAGAGGGACCCCGTGGTGGACTTTTGGTGGACATGGTCGGCCTTGACACGACATGAACGAGCCCTCAATTTGTTCTGCTCAACGGGCGTTTATATGACCAGAGATTAATCACAATATTCACTCGTCCTTGGGCATTTACTGTTTCCCGTCACAGAAGAGTGCAGTCAAAGGCTCTACAATCGCCCGACTGGCTCGACATGCAATACATTGTGCTTGTACCTCGATTTACCGAGCCTCCGCCCATTCTCACCTGCGCATTAGGCCGTGGCTTCTGGTCACCTCCACTAAGCTGAAGGGGTGCGGGCGGGTTCCCCGTAGCAGAATAGCCACGACTCGGAACAAGTCGAGGCCAACGTTTGCCACAAAGCCATTTGATGATACGCAAACGACGCAAGGCCAAAAGTCTGAATCCCACAGGTTTCCTGCAGATGGGGAAATGGGGGCTTGATGGAGACGAGACTTTTCGAAGTTGGTCTTGATGGGGGAAAAAGATGAGGATGAACGTTGAGTCTTACCGATGAGTGCTGCACAAAACAAACCGTCTGTGCCCGTTTCAAACTACCATCAGATGATTAATACCTACATACTAGCAGGACAAGGGAAAGAAGACCAAGCTGCCGGAATCAGATCCAAGCACCTCCATTGACTGATGAGAAATGCAAGCCATTTTTGGGTCGGTACCCCGTCCAGGGCTTACATACCTTACAACATGAAGTACCCGGCCGCTAGAAACTGGCGGCATGGTGCTAAGGCTGCATCCAATGTATTACGGATTGGATGGAGTGCAAACCTCATATGATGGAAAAGGGACCCCGACCGTCGCAACCTCAGCCAAGCGCGCGCAGGGTCGAATGCAGAAGGCAATGAAACATGACGGCAGCACGGCTGCAACGTTTACCTCGGAGCCGTGGATTATTATTCTCATTCTCCCTCTTCCTTGCGAAGAGTTCAAGGTTATTTATTACGCCGAGCGGCCAACACGGCTGCTGTCGATTTCCATCAGTTTTTTGGGCTGTTGGGGCAAAACCGAGAAGAGAAAAATGACACGGGGATGGGTGGAGTCTGAAGTGTATTCCTGTAGAAACTGTGAGAGGGAAGTATGGATACAATACAGACGGCATCGAGGCCTGGTGCGGTTCCGCTCTCAGAGCTGCAGACAGATTGTGCAGCGTGTGATGGGCACGGCATGATTATTCACGCTCGTATCGTACATGTACTTGCATCGTACACAAGCGATCCATTCTCGCCAGACAACTGTGATGCTCTCTGTACTTGTTTCTCTTCTCTCTCTGTCTCTGTCTCTCTCTCGCATCAACCCTGGTAAGGTACGATATTTATACTCGGTAGGTAGTGGAAAGTGCTTGTATTACGCCTCCGAGCAAGCAGAGATCGATGGAAGGCGCCCAGAGAAGCACTTAACATGCACCACAGAGAAGCCCGGCCCGCCGCTCTCCGGCCGGCCTGCCCTGGCTGTCCGCGTCGCACAAAGATCCTCAGCAATCCAAAGCGCTTCATTTGTATGAAGTCAATCGCCGTCATAATCAAACACCCCTTGTACGGAAAGAAAACGCCTAACAAAAAGAAAAGAAGGAAAGCGAAAAAAAAGAAAAAAAAAATCTTCAGCGCGAGTTTATAATAAGCGCGGCCCATCCTGTCATCTCCGCTGCCGCAGGCCCTCGTCTCTCTCTCTCTCTCTCTGTCTCTCCCCTCCAGTCGTGTCGTGCACCGCCTAGAGGGTTTCATCCAACCATGAATCAAATTTCTTGACTCGCCCGCGCGACACAAATGACAAAAGACAAAGACGGGATAACATTCGACAAAAGAAAGAACAGCCTCCCTCACGCCGAGTCAAGCCCTCTCAGCCGCTCTGCTCCCTAATCCCGAAACCCTCACAGCGCCGCATCTCGTGCTGTCTCTCTTGCACGTCACACGTAGAATCATACATACCTAACCTGCCAATTGATCCTCCTCTCTACCTGCATCTCTCCGACAGTCGTTCTCGTCTCTCACTGGGTTCCGCCCGCGCATTATAAATCCCATCAAAGCCACGTAGATACATGTACCGATCGTCCCCCGCGCCTTTCCCCCTTTGAATCTCCTAGATCTCCTAGCTCCTCCAACGACAGCCCGGAGCGTGGCTCTTGATATTGAGCACCCAGGGCGATTTCCCATTCATCCTCACCTGCAGCGTGGCCGAGCCGACGAGTTCACCAAGGTAGGCACCTACATGTCAGGTAGGTATGGAGCCTGTCCGACATCTTGCGTGTAAAACAGCGAATTCGCCCTGCAGCAGCAGCAGCAACAGCAGTCTCTCGTCTCTGCTTCCTCCATTTTCCGTCGACGAGTACCTTTTCCGCACTCCGCACCCTCGCACGAGTTATCTATAGGGAGCGGCTAGCCAGTACCCCGTCTTGGCTGTCCGGCACCCCAAATAGATACTAGGTAGGTCAATATAATAGGTAGAGTTGGAGGTTTACCTTACTATGTACATGTATTCTAAGAGCAGTTGCTATAATATCTAGAAAGAGAAGCATCAAATGTATAAGTACCTACCTAATACTAAGACTAGATATACCTTATATAGCGATAGTAACAGAGGCCTAATCTGTAATCTATTATATATGTAAGCTATGCTGCGGTAGGAAAGAAATATACATACATATAGCAATTACTTCCTCTATCTACCTTCCAGGTTGCCTTTCCTACCCATTTGATCGTACCTAGGTAGGGGGTGATAGATAGCTGTGGTAGAGGTAGATTGCTCTGCTGGGACGCTGGATACCAGCCAATAGGTATGGGGTGCTGGCTAGCCGCTCCCTCAGGTACAACACAAAACCACCAGCCTGTTTCTTTCAACCCACAAACTTGGAAGATTCTTGGCTGGCCGATGGTCGTTGTCGATTTCGCCACCCCAAAACTCTAGTTGTGCGTCAACCGCATTCTCAGGAGAAATCAACGGCGCCCCAAGGCTCCATGCCGCACAGTACATACGGCTACTATACAGTATTACCGACTTGACTGCAACCTCACCGATGCGTGTGTGTATGTACATACTGTACTATTCTCCCGGCCTGCAGTTGGTCTCGCCCGTTCAGCTCGCCTTCACAAGAAGCCTTGGCCGCTTTCTCCTCGTGTCTCCTCCCCATTAACCTGCCTGGGTCCCCACACGCATTATGTCACCTTCGTCGATACCCATCTTCAGCACGGCTCTCGTCCCTTCACAAAAAGGCGTCACTCGAATAAGCATCGGAAGCCCAAGTGAGGCTTTCTCGACATGCAACCCCCCTCCCCTAACCGCGGTGCTCTTGTTCGTCACACTAGGAGGCTAAATAGGTAGGTAGGCAAAAGTTGGACATTCATGCCTCCCGCCTGGGAATGCAACGAGAGCAGATGCCTATGCTTCCCTCTCTTCTCCTCTCTGGAAGGCCAGGTGAAGCGTGCCCGATTCGCGTTGAGAAAACTCCATTAACTGAAAGTAGCGGTGCCGGTGAATCTAAGTACCTAGGTAAAACAGGCATCAAGTCCTTGTACAAGCACTCTGCCTCCCTTGCCTTGATACCCCGTGCAAAGCAAAGCACCTACCTACCCCATCTACTACCACCTCTACCCATCTATCCGTACAAGCCACCGACACGCCATCAACTTTCACATGTGAACCAGCCCCTCCTTTCCAATCATTCAATCACATCACCAGCAATCATGGTTCGATTCGTCAATCCCGGACAGGGTCAACAATTGTTCCTTACCTGTTCACTCCCCGTCCTCGCATACTAGTACATGTACCTACTTTATAGACACATACGCTGCAAATGTAAGGTTGCGTCACGCACGGGAATTGAATGCCCTGCATATTCACGCTCTCCACCACCCCGTTTGCCCGGCCCCAATGTTCGAGCGGCATCTTACGCGAGCAGAAACAGAAGTCACAATAATACCATGTCGGTCCAAGGTCCCAATGCTCCTCCTTCTTTCCCGTGGGCTCCCATCTCGGCCAATAATCGGGGGAGCAGAATAGTTACATACTGTAAGGTATTCACGAATGCGCGGCAAAAGAAGAAAACAGTGCTGCTGATTGCACTTGGCATTTCTCCTTATCGCACATTGCAAGTTTGTTGTAATTCATCATCCCACTTTGATATGCACGCTGATCATGTGGCAACCGTGAGCTGCTGCTGAGGGGGGGACCAAGACTGTTTCTTCGTGCCTCTATTGCATCATGGGGGGGTCCAGTCAAGCCGGCGTTTCCCCCAACTCGTCTCAGAACAACAGATAACAGGAGGTTCCTAAGCAATTAATAGTCACCTATCAAAGGATGTTTGTTTGATCAATCCGCAGCTACAGCAAAGTATGTAGTGAACACAGACGCGTTCGCTCATTCATTCAAGTGTTTCCCTTTGAGATAAGGTAACCCATGCCTGCATGTACATACAATTTGAAAGACCTATCGTGGACCTTGTTCCCTGACCCTGCACGCCGAGTCCATCCCCAATCCTTCCATCTATATAAGGTATATACAATTCCCCTTTCGGCTGAGAGGATGGGAGAAGCACACGCATCGCTAGCAGAATGGCTGCACTTCCAATGTTGCTTATCGAGTCGCCGCTGGCAGGATCTGCAACTACCTCCTGGAGAATATAATCGTTCCCCAACATGTAAGCCACCTTAGGTGCTTGTAGACACTGACATAATCTTCTAATCTCAGCCTCAATATGCGGACTGAGGAGCTCCATCACTGCCTCGGAACACGTGGGATTCAGGGAAGTTGAGCATGGTATGCGGATACTATTGATATCAAGGATTCCGATTCATCAATTCTCTTTGCGTTTCTCTCCTGATATCGCCCACGGAAACAAGTTCTTATGCTCGCTCTGTAGAAAACTATCTATAAAATACTCTTCTTGATATCTTTTCTACTTCTTTCGCATAACAAAAGCCAACAAAGCACAAGCAAAGATCCCGTATAAACATGATCGTGCATGTCTAAGGGTCGGAGGCATTGATGCTACGCGCTCAGCCTTGCGCCGCTTACCAAAACCCAAAACGCCGCTCTTCTCAGAAGGTCAAGCATCCTCAGTCGGTAACAGGCCCCCAAGCCTCGCTCCTCTACGCCTAATACGACCCCCCCCCCCCCCCCCCTTTCGTCTATGTCTTGTCTTGATGTGTATTCGTAGATGGCCGAGTGTATATTCGCGGGTGTGCTCGAATAGGGCGCCAAGTCGTTGATCAAACGAGCCCAGGCCCAACGGTGTACGCTCGAGCAAGTACGATCAAAAATCACAAATGCTGGCATCTCGTCGATCCAGGTTGCTGCTAAAGATCCGGACAGTGAAGCCACGTCGCCCTTCACTCACAGACCACGGTTGAACCAGACTTTTCCGCCGTTACCACCCTTGCCATGGAACTCGGGCTCTAGGCTATCAGCGCTAATCTCCTGCTTCTGGGGGAACACCGCCAGGGCTAGAGGGAGAGCCACGAAGCCGACCGCCGCAATCAGTCCCAGGTTGATGCCGATAGGGATGGTCTGGGCAAGACGCGGCCGAGCCTTGAGCCACTCCTTTTCCATCAGGTTCTTGTACCACGCCTGCTTGTACTGGATGTGGTAGAGCGTCATGGCAGGGATGATCATAATCGGGGTGTTGTTGATAACTCGGCTGGCGGCCGTTTCGTAGACGGCGATCTTGGCGGCCTTGCGACTCCGGCCTAGCGAGGGGACGTCGGCCTCGGATTTGCCCTCCTCGGTCAGCTTCTTCTTCTCCTCTTCAGAGAGAACCGGGCGGACGTCGATGCCCGTCACAATCTCTCCTCGTCGCATCAGATATGCGTTGAGAGCTCCGGCAGTGGCCACGGCGGCGAACGGCACCAGTCTGCTCAGGACATTCCTCGTGCTGGGAGTGACCTTCAGCCTCGGCACCAATGCGTTGAGTCCCAGAGCCACCGAGCACGAAGCCGTGACGGCGATTCCGTACGATTTGGCAAGCGTCTCGGTCGTCATCGGAGAGGACTTGTTCGCATTCGAGCTGTTGATGGCGACGTTGAGCGATTGGTTGGCAATCTGCCATGCCACGGTGCCTGCTGTTCCCAGCCCGGGCTGCAGCATGCCGGCCGTGACAATCAGGTTCGAAAGAACGAAGCATGACATTCGGAACGGCAGGAAAACTGGTTCTCCGGTGTCTAACCACACACGTTAGCTCTGCCTCTTCTTCCTTCTCCGGACGCAGCATCTGCCTCCTATGCCATACCTGGGTGAAGAGTCGAGTCGACAATCTTCTTCGCCTTCCACAGCTCCGGCGTCATGTGTTGCAGCTTTCCCGTCTTATACTCCGTCACCAGTCGTTTGGCATTTTCGAGACCACTCGAGCCGGCCAACAAGGTGCTGGAAGCAGTGCCCTCGTCAGCATACTCTGCTTTGGTAGCCAATTCGAGATCCAGTCACCTAGGAGACTCACCTTGGATCCGTGATGCTCATCGTGTGCCTCACCCGGCCATAGTACGTCGACAAGTCATACTGCGACGACGGCAAGTCTCGCGAACCCGGCAGAGAGGCGGACATGGTTGGCTAGAAACCCTGCAGGGAAGCTCAAGCTCGGAATTGGGCCTTCTCTGCGAATGGCTCTGCTGTCTCAGAGCAGAGTTGCTGAAGCACGCAGTTCCCCAGATGCAACTCTCCAAGAGATTCCGTCCGCCTGCGGGGTGCCGTAAGGCTTTTGGCCCAGGGAGGTTCGAGCCAAAATCTTGTGCCGAGTGTCGAGACGACGATAAGCGCAGCCAACTGAAATTTGGCAACGCGGGAAGCCCGATCTCGGCTCTTACGTTGGTCATGAGTTTTGGTTTGCTCTTAGTGGCCCGGACAGCGACCAACCCCCACTAGGTTGACACATCAAGGACAAAGAAACGGGCTGCACAGACGCGGTCGGACAGTAATAGCAGATAAGCATTTGCGGGCAGTTGGAGAAACTGAGTCGTTGGAGGGCTGCGGATGCCGTCAGATGGAAGGCGTTTTGCTGTACTGATGGTCTGTCTCGGGGCAGTTTTTGTTTTGGGGGCGTAATTCAGGAACAGCCATCGCATCATTACAGACGGTCTGTGCCTGGCTTGATTAATCCGCTGATGCTCTTGATTACTCCAGGGCAGCCAATGGCAAACAAGAAGCGGCCAGGGTCTCTCTGCACGTGGCTTAATTGAATTTGACCTGTTAGAAACGACCAACTTCTTCATCCGCAAAAAGAAAGAAAGAAACGAGGCATGAACGCATAACAAAAAAAACTCCATAGAATCGAACAAAAAAAGAAATGGAATGCTTTGAAGCGACCACGCCAGGAGTCGAACCTGGAATCTCTAGAGGAGGTGATTCTCAACCGAAATCTAGCGCCTTAGCCATTAGGCCACGCGGCCCATCTGATGTTTGAATCGCTGCAACTCTGCTATACTGAGGCTTCGCAATGACATCTCTTTTCACGCACTGTTGCTGCCATGTGAGATTGGCCGGTAACTACAGTACGTAAGCTATTACAGCACTGTGATTGTCACCAGCCGACAGCATCGTGATGCCGCCGTGGGTATCTCTCGCACTGGAAGAAGCTATCAGACTCCCATGTTCGATTCGAACTGGGCTCGATTCATTCTGTCCTCTACGTTGCACTACCTAGGTAAGAGTTAGCAGGTGAAAGATGACACGCCAAGGATATAGGTGGCTCACCGAGTCTCGACGTTCAGGTCCACCACGAAGGAGGACTGTAGGTCTGGTTTCGGGCGGGGAATGAATGAATTGCTTGTGAGATGGTTGAATGGTAATCTAGGTAAAACTCGGGCATACTTGTCTGAGCTTTGCCGTCTTGATCTAACAGTGGTCAGATGGGCAAGCTCCTCAAATCAGAGCAACGCCGCATTTCCATCTCCGTATACATACTTCTTCGGGGGGCTCTCTAAAGCAGAGATGAAGAAGCAAATCTCGTGAACAGGTAAAATAGTCCATCTACCCATTGAAGCCGTCTTCGGATGGCTGCTAAAGCCTCAGAATGCCTGCAGCTGTCAGGGCACGTGAGTTGCTCTGCTCCTGACAACTCGAGCTGCCAACTGGCAAGCACTCCTCCTGCAGTTGCTTCGCACAGCTCCCGTTTGCACACTTCTTTGCACCTGCAACTTCACCCGATTCTATCTATCACTTCCTCCACGCACGATAGAGCCTCGACAGTGTATCATCAAGAGTTTGCTTGCTCCAACATCGGTCTCCTGCGTCTCGGGCCGCCAGTTTAGCAGGACAAAAGGTATCGCAGCACTTGTTTCACTATATATCTCATCGACAGGTTACTAACGAGAGTCTCAAGTCGAAAAATGGACCTGACTCCAAGGTCCGAAAGGGCTGCCCATGCCTCTGGCGATGATGGAAAAGTCCTTGGGAGATTCACTGCCCTGAAAGAATGGCTCTATCGCGATCCCGCGAGCCCCAAGGCGCTGCAGACGCCCACGACACCTAGGAGCCCTGATCTCCCCAAACATTCTGAACCATCTGCTCTGAAGCATGTCGCAATTCAAGACAACGTCGCTGTAATCACTGAGCATCCCAGTTCCGTTCTGGCCAAGACATCTACCAACGCCTCCATACGCAACACCGATAATCCCACCACGCACCCAAGTGCGACTGGCGTATCGGAAACAACCCATCAAGATCAAGAAGCAGCTTTCAACTCTTCTGAGGGAGGAGCAAAAATCTCGGAAAGTCCTAAGCCGAACAACCTTGAGCCAGAGACTCGGGCTGGAGAGCCACCGAACACGCCCGAGGACATGCCAGTCGATCCATCCCAAAGAACGGATGGATTCGCTGAATTCGAAGTACAATCGCAGCGGAGCAGGGCCTCGTGGGACGTCAGCGATGGCCTCTCCGATGGTGACAACCAGAACGAGCCGCAGCAAAATTCGGTGCCTGACGGATTCAGAGTGTCGCGAACCATGCTCTGGCTACGGTCAACCTCTGAACCACCTGCTCTTGCTCACTCGCTGGAATCTATGGCTGGAATCCACCATTACACAAGAGATATCGACACTGAAACTGGATACTTTTTGCCAGAAATCACATATCCAGACACCCTCAAAACTCTTCACGAAGGCCCGTCTCGTGATCAAAGAGACATCGCTTGGCGACAGGCCAACATGACTGCAGAGTTACAGATCAACAGAGAAATCAGAAGCCGAGAGTTGCTTGCACTGAAGCTCAAGTCACAAATCAAGCCGCAACTTGACCCTGTAGCTTTCAAACGCGAGGTTACTCCAAGGGCCAACTGTGTTGTGCGACCTGCTACGCCCCAGGATTTCGCGGCCATTGCAGCCATCATCAACATGGAAAGCCGGACGAAGGGCATCCCACAGGTCATGGAATGGAAAGAGGTCACGGGTGCTGATGTGCAGAGGATATTCGACAATTGCCGCGATAATTTGCAGCCGTTTGTCGTCGCTACGACTGCAGACCCCTTAATGGACCTTGCCAACTGGCCTATTGATTCCTCGGATCTCTATGAAGAGTACCTCGCCTTTCGTTCAGCTCAAGCAAAGGTTGTGCCAAAGGTTCTCGGCTTCGCCTATGTGATGGAAGCCAGAGTTGGCATGCTCGGAGGCTCATGCCCAGGATCAAGGCACACTGGTCAGGTCAAGATCATCGTCCATCCCAACCATCGAGGCAAGCTGTATGGCTCAGCCTTGCTGGACAGGATCCTTGTTTGCACTGCGCCGTTCCATCGGAGAGTTCTGGAGTACGGCTGGCGGTGCCAAGACTCCTCCGGCGTGTATGAAGAAAATCCCGTCTTCAATCGCCGCAAGTACGCTTGGATCTATATCGAGAGGTTCTGCGACGGAAGAGATGACGCTACACTGAAAAAGGCGATCAGGTTCTTCGAAAAGTTTGAGTTCCAGGAGGCGTGCTACCTGCGCTGCGCTGTCAAGACAGATCGATACTACGAGAGCCAATGGCTTGACCTGGTGCTGTGGGCACGCGAAGCGCAGCCGCGCTCCAACATCGCGGACCTCTTGCCTGGCGCCCAGAATCTGTGAGAAAGGGGCTAGACAGCGGTTTGGGTGATGAAGGCACTCATATAAGACGATCTAGGTATTTATGTTTCGCGTCATCTCCCAGGTTCGTCCGAGCTTAATCAAGACATTGGCTTATCTTTGTTTACTGATTCGACAATAGCTATAGATTTGCCATCAAAAAGACATTCAAAAGAGCAAAATGCGCAGTTGAATCCGCGGCATCTGTATGCGAATCTTGTGTGAATTCGTTGGCTGATGAAAAGGAGAAGAAAAGGGCGGGAAAAGTATGGGGAATGCGTTCTGCATCACGTGTGCACACTGTGCTCTTGACAGCACCAGATGGTTTCGTAGCTTCCCGTCAGGCAGACAGATAGATTGAATTCGCTGTATCTTGACGCTTTGTTGCCTAAACGTGATATCCCCAGTCACAGTCACTTAAATACTCAGCTCGCTCAAGCTGAGGCAGTCTCGGGTTTCAAGTGACAAAGCTCGTTGCCAAACAAAAGACAAAGTCGCGATCGACATTCCTTGGGCATCATGTTGTCCATCTTGCGCAAAGCACGTCTCAAGGACAAAGAGATGCGAATTCTGATGTTGTGCGTACAAATCAGATGTTTTCACGACTGGATTTGAGTAGCCTAACCCATTGCAAGGGGACTTGATAATGCCGGAAAGACGACTATAGTCAAGCAGATTATGGGTGAGGACGTGAACACGGTCAGCCCAACGCTGGGCTTCATCATCAAGACGATCGATTACGAAGGGTAAGTCTCCTATATCACTCTCAAATGCGGTACAGAGCTGATACAACGACAGATACAAATTAAACATATGTATGGCAGCCCTGATGCTCGCTAGGGACGATATCTGTTAATCTCAGTGTATCTCAGGGGACGTGGGAGGCCAGAAGACGCTGCGATCGTACTGGCGAAATTACTTTGAAAAGACCGACGCCCTGATATGGGTCGTGGACACGACAGACCGGCTACGCATCGACGACTGTAGAGAAGAGCTCCACGGGCTCTTGGAGGAAGAGGTTTGTCGGCATCACAGCTTTTGGCGTGCAGTTTCCGTGGTTTGGTGAGGGCTAACGTGTAGGGTAGCGTCTTGCGGGAGCCTGCCTGCTGATATTCGCCAACAAGACGGATGTGGATGGGTGCATGACGGAAGAAGAAATTGTTACGGTGAGGATCCTTTTCCCCTCTCCCCTTTTATAGTTTATTTACCTATGTCATGGCGACGGGTTCGTGGGTGGCTAATGAGTTGTGTTTTGACATAGTTGTTGAGGTTGAACGATATTCGGACGCATCAGTGGCATGTGCTGCCGTGCAGTGCGATGACGGGCAAGAATCTCAAGGAGGGCCTGTCCTGGGTGGTGGAAGACGCGAAGAAGCGGCTGTTTCTCTACTAGGCGAGAGAGTACATACTACCTACTCACATGGGTATTATTGTTCGCTCGTATGTAATACTCTTTCGAAGCATCGCATTTTACGTACAGATTCGGCCGTGGCACGGAGCACAAGCATCTGCTGCAATGCTGTGCCACCACGCGCCCTCCTTGACCTGACTCCATTGCCGGCGATCGGTGATACGGAAGCACGGGGCTGGACGCAGATTCCACACCGGCACACACAGACACAACAGCAACGGTGATAGTAGTCCTGGTTGTGGACCAGTTGTCAAGGGCGATGTCGAGTGGTTGTGGAAACTGTGGATAGGTAGGCTTCATCGGAGCAGCTCGCCTGACTGCCGTGTTTGAGGCCTGATTGGGCTTGCAGTCGTGAGGGCTGAATCAGTTTCAGTTCCAAGACAAGACGCAGCTAGAAAAGTGAACTATCATAAAACAAGAAGAGATCACTCGCAACCTCTAAAACGACTCGCGAAGAAAAGAGAGTTTTCGACATTGTTGGCGGTTCATGCACTAGCCATCTCGTGTTTCGTATTGGGTGTTTACTGTTTATCTGGGGCCCCAAGTAATACTACTCGTAAACAAAGCAAAGGGCAGAGAGGCCAGCCCAAGCCCTTACCCCTTCAATCGCTGGAGACTATCGTGGCAGAGAACATGGTAGAACCTGGCACCAGAGCGAGCAGTTGCGTGAGCACCTCTGCCCGCTATTCAGGAGACGCCGGGATGGAGCGTCTGGCGTCTGGCGTGTGCGAGTGTGCGATTTCGCCAAAGAAAGGAGATGCTTGCCCTGCGCTCACCGTATTGGCCGTGGATGGACTCGGAGGTGCTGCTGATGGTTGTTCAATGAGAGAAATGCCGGCCCCCTTGCAGGCGTCACTCAAGGTCGGGTGTCTGGTTCCAGTCGCTGCTGCGCTCCCACGCCGGGCATCCCCTGGGCCGGGCGGGTTTACAGGGGGCGCCTCAGCGGTGGATCAGCACCTGGGCATGACGGTCCCCCCAAAGACCGCCCTGAACAGCCCCGAATTGGCGGGCCGCCGCCCACAGCGATGCGCTAGAGCGAATAGGGCGGCCAGTGGATTAGCAGGTGCTGGTGCCTCTTAGCAGCTGGGAGCCCCCCCCGAATGATGCCGCCCATCGTCACGACCTTTGCTTGCATTGCTCCCAGAGGCCACTAGAGCTGGATCCTGATCCATCCCATGAACTCCAGTTTCTTTAGTCCTGGACATAATAGCGAGGCGACGGAACCTGAAGCAACACAACACAGGCGGAAACCCCCCTCCCACCGCCTGAAAGCGACATAAACATTCACCAGGTCCCTCCGGAATCCTCGATTCTCGACCCTCGAGCCCTCCTTTTTGCTACGCCGTGCCATGCCCTTGCCAGCAGCCGTCCACACGCACCGGTAGACAAGTCGACCACAAACGCCCAACCATGTCGGACGAAGTATCCCAGTTCCTCGAGCAGGTCGAGCGCCTGCGCGGGCAGCAGATTGAGGACGATGAGATGCGAGCTCGGGAGCGCGAGGAGTTTCTCGCCGCCAAGCGAGAGCGCCAGGCTAGGAGAGAGGGTGAGTCGCCTTGGTTCCTTGGTTATCTTGCTGTTGCGCGCGCCTGTCACGAGTCCGCCGAGAGGAGAGAGAGGTGAGAGGAGAGGCGTCAGACGGGTGTAGCACCTTGTTGCCAGGTAGCTACCCGCTTGGCGTGGCGTGGTGTGTGTGGTGTGGTGTGAAGCTCTCAGGGTTGGCTTGTTGCCATGGTGTTCGTTTGGCAAAGCCTCTCACTCATCGTTTATTTACTTTCTCACTTTTTGCTTTCCTACGGCCCTCGTCCAATTAACCCCCCCTATACATGTGCCCATCTGTGCTGCTACAAGGGCCGGCCCTGCGCAGCGAGCATTCTCCTAGATAAAAGCCTTGGGCTGCTTCACTGCTGAAACGACGCTGACCCGCCTTATTGCAAAAGAACGCGCCCGATCCATCTCACCGCAGAAATCATCGCCTGCCAACACGCCGTCCCCGCGTCTGAACCGGCGAACTGTCAACCTCTCCGACGCGCTGAGACTCGACTCAAACGTCGCCGAGTCCTTGGACAAGCTGCGTGACCGACCGACCGACTCAGAGAAGCCCCTGGACACGGATGCACAAGCCGATGCCATGTCATACTCCACCTCGACGATGAAGGAAAACGAGGCCCCTGAGGATCTCGACGCAAAGCGGGGCGACGATGCCGCAGCTACCTCCAGAGCTTCGCCTCTCGCATGGCAGCGCCGGACGAACCGGTCAAACAGCCGCCCACTGAGCGTCGTCGCCGCTCAGAACGCAGCTCAGAGCGCTACGCACAGGTCGGGTGTCGAGGGCCAGGAGGAGCCTCCATCCCCTACACAGCCTCTCTCCAAGGATCAGATCGCCAGGAGCCTCGGGTCCAAGGATGCCTCGTGGTTTCGTCAGACCGCCGACCGAGGCGCAGACTCCTCAGCTTACCGACGGAACCAGGTCGAGGACGACGATCGGCTCGACATGTCGTCTCTCAGCGCCCAGCTGCCGGGCATGGCCGATAGTAGTTCCGCAGAGCGCCCTACTTCGAGGTCTGGCGAGAGCGCCGTTGGCAAGCTGGCAACCCCATTTACGCTGAACCCCCCCAGCTTCGACAATCCCACCTCGGAGAAGCGTGAGGCGGACTCGATTGCCCCCACGGCGACCGGTCGGACCTCTCCTCTGCGCACAACCTCGCCGACGAAGGGGATGGGTGGGTTTGTCCAGAGCGCAATGATGAAGAGGAGCGACAGCGTGAAGCGTTGGTCCGTTGTCAGCCCGCCCGGACTGACTCGCCCTGAGAACATGGCGGCGCATCGTGGCTCGATTGACAGGGGCGTGCCATCAAGACCGCAAAGCATGTTCATCCGGGACCCGCCAGCAATGACAACAACGCCGGGGACGAGCAGGCCTGCGTCGCGGCCCTCTTCTCGGCCAACGTCCCGACACGGCGAAAAGGACGGCAAGGCATCCGAGACGAGTCCTCGAGAAAAACGTCCCAAGACACCCACGTCCACGAGTCCTCCTCAGCTCCAAAGGCAAGAGAGGCAGGAGCTTGATGATGCAGCTCTTCCCATGTCTCCATCCAAGACAATGGAACCCCGCCGCTGGAGTCCGACCAAATCAAGCTGGCTCGAGAGCGCCCTGAACAAACCAGACTCGCCCAAGGTTCCCCCGAAGCCGGCATCGTCGCAACAGCCTGCCTGGATGGTCGAGCTCAGCAAGAACAAGGCTGGGCGTCCGGGAAATCCCACTGCAGAGCCTAGTAAACCCGCGGGCCCCTCTCACAAGCACCAAGTTAGTATTGATGGGCTTATGAGGTCCACGCCCATGGGCTCGAGACTGAACCTCAACACTACTGGGCTCGGCGGCATCTACTCACCCCCTGGAATACAGTCGGTCACTACTCGCTCGTCGGTTCAGAACTTTTCAACAGCGAGCCCCATGTCTCCTGGACCGGAAAGGCCGAGGTCCAAGTCAAGGGGCGCCCTCGATCAAGTGAGAGAGAGGCGAGCCGAATCCCTGAGCTCTACTATCAACCCGCTGGCCGCCAAGGTCAAGCCCGATGCTCCGCCAAAGAAGGACCTAGATTTCCGCGCAAACCTCAAGCCGCGCGCTGCTGAAGCACCCACCCCCAAGACCCAGGAGCCAGAATTCAAGAGCGTCTTTGGCACTCTTCGCAGGACCAAGACCCAGAACTTCAAAGCTCCGGATGAGCTAAAGGACAACATCCTCCGCGGCAAGGCGGCTCTCAACGCGACTGACGGGCCACAGAAGTCGGTGATTAGGGACGAGTTCAAGGACGCCATTCAAAAGAAGAGAGACGATTTCAGGAAGTCGCAAGCCGAGGGATTAGGAGTCGCCACCTCGACGCGCATCGACAAGCCCAAGGCTCCCCTCCCCGAAGGACTCGCCATGAGGGCTGAGCTGGGCAAGTCGGCGGCGGTGCTCCCGCAAGATGCACCTCCAGAGAGTCGCACTCCATCCGGTCAGTCGAAGAAGCCCGAGTCGTCAAGACCAGATCCTCCACAGAGAAAGTCAAGTCAAGTGAACTTGGCCAGACAGTCCAGCCCATCCTTGACTCCCGCGAACTTGACTGAGAAGACCAGCCTAGAGAATGCGGAACCCGATACGCCCTCCCGGACCGAAACATTACAGAGCTCCTTGCCCAACTTGCTGAAGAAGAAGAGCGCTCCAGGAAAACTCGGCGGTCTGGCCGACCGATTCAACCCTGCCCTTGCCGGGATGCTGGCGCGAGGACCACCGCCAGCATCTTCTGGCAGTGGAAACCGAGCTGAAGAGTCTGGACGAGGCGATGGAGACGTCCAGCCTACACAGCCAGGCCCTCAGCTAACCCACATGACTAAGAGTCGAGCGCGTGGCCCGAGGAGAAAGGCCCCGTCCAACGTGGGCAACTCTACCGCCAGTCCCGCAAATGCGCCGGCAGAGTCGTCTACAGCGAGCCGGCAAGCCGCCCCTTTCAGAAAGCAGAGTTTCTCTGCGCCCATGGAAGAGAAGAAGTCTGCTTTTCCACCCCTTCAGGGTTCTAAGCCCGACGTGCCTTTTAAGCTAAAGCCTGTCGAGGCGAGGAAGACTGAACTGGATACTCGACCTGCAGAGCAGCATGTACCTCCCTTGACTCTTCGCAGACGGCCAACGGCGCCTGAGATGCCGATCAACAAGATATTCCAATCACAGTCACCGCAGAAGCCGGAGCCAGAGGCGCCAAAGAAGCTTGATTTGAAGCGCGTATCCAAGATCTTTGAGCAAGGGAGCAACACGACAGCGGCGGCTGAGCCTCCCAAGACGCCGGGCAAGCTCTCACCCCAGAAGACTGGCACATGGTCGCCGGTCAAGGCTGGTGCTTCCGAGCCTGTCAAGGAGCCAGCAAAGCTGACCCAGCAGAAGACGGGTCCGGCGAAGCTGACGCAGCAAAAGACTGGTCCATGGTCTCAGCCGAAGAATGTCGATGTGCGGTCGTCTGCCGTAGAGACAAAGGCCTCGACAGTGAATGCTGCTCCTGAGCCTGTATCGGCTGCCGTGAAAGCCCCAGTGCCTGGACCTAAGCCGTCCGCCTTTAATGGGCCACCTAAAGAAATTGATACACCACCGGCATCGTTGCCGCCTGTAGCCGCCTTGCCCCCTTCGCTACCCCGGGCACAGGCTGAGCCACCTATGGCCTCGCCTACGCGCCCTCAGACAGGCCACGGCAGCGATGTATCAGCCATACTCCACGACTTCTTTGGGCCCCCATACGAGAAGGTGCAGTGTAATATCGATCCCGCGGACATCTTGACCAACTACCCCAAGTCTGGCGCCAAGGGCAAGACGCTGTCGTTCCACATGTTCCAGATCGATGGAGACGGCAAGCAGATGATTGTGCCCGCTTACCGCGAGCGGATCCTGTTTGAGGAAGAGATGTACGTTGCCGGGCACAACTTCACCAACGACGCGGGGTGGAAGGTGCGCGAGGTCTACTTTTGGATCGGCGACGAGGTCCCAGATGACGAGGAGGACGTCGCCGAGGCTGTGGCCCAGCAAGAGGCAAAGCAGCTGGGCGGCAAGCTGATTAAGATCAGGCAGGGCAAGGAAACGCCCGAGTTCCTGCAGGCACTTGGCGGCGTGGTGATTGTCCGGAGGGGCTCGAGCACCAAATTCGACTCGCATGCGCCGTCCATGCTGTGCGGCCGACGGTATCAGGGCCAGGTGGCCTTTGACGAGGTGGACTTTACAACGGCCAGCCTCTGCTCCGGCTTTGCCTATCTGATTACCCATTCGGGCAACTGCTATCTGTGGAAGGGCAAGGGCAGCGACGTGGATGAGCTCGGCTGCGCACGCCTTATCGGTATGGACTTGACGGCGACTGGGCAGCTTATTGAATACGACGAGGGCAGCGAGCCTGCGTCCTTCTGGGCGATGCTGGGCGGCGAGTCGAAGCCTCACTCGGCGGATCACTGGAGACTGAAGCCTAGCTATGGCAAGTACAACAGCAGACTCTTTTGCGCCGATGTAGAGTCTAGGCAACAGGTGAGCAGCCGCCTCCGTGGCCGTTGTGTTACCTGCACTATGACTGACAAAGTTTGTTTAGATCTATGAGATTAGCCCGTTCAACCAGGCCGACATGTCAACGTTCAACATCTACATCCTCGACGCCTTCTTCGAGATGTACATCATTGTCGGCTCGCAGGCCCAGTCGCAGTACGCCTCCTTCCGCACCGCCCTCGACTTCGCCCAGGAATACGCTGTCCTGGCGGCCAGCATGGAGGACCGTCCCTTTATCCCCATCTCGACGGTCGTCCTCGAGGGCGTGCCCCGGGATCTGAAGCGCGTGTTCCGCAAGTGGACGGACGAGCGGTGCCCGACGCTCCTGCAGAATACCTCGACGGAGCCCGGGCTGCGGAGAGGGCGCAGTCTGAGGGTTGTGCCTCTTACCCAGGCCATCTTGGCTTTGAAGGAGTAAATACTTTGCGTGTCTCCCATTGATGAGTGTATAAAGGACTGGTTAATGTGGTACTGTTGGCTGTGTATATGAGGCTTGGGCTGTTCAATGTAGGAAGGACTCGAGAGCCATGTTTTTTTTCCTGGTCATGGATAATGTGGTTGAGGTAGAATAAAAGGGGGGCGGGGCTGGGCAAAAGACGAAAAAGAAGTCGGCAGCATCCGGAGTCTAGCAGCTTCGTTGTTTCAAAAGGAGAGGCGTACGGGATAAAGCGCATGTACCAGCGTTTTTTTCTTTTATTTTTAGACACATACAATATTTCCTTTCATTTCTCCCAAATTTTTTTCCTCTTGTCTTTTGATTGAGGAGGTTCAGTAGGTAGACGGACGGTTGAAAGTTTTTGGACTGTACTCGGATGAGGGCCTCGGACGAGTTTCTATGTGCTGATGAAAGAAGGATTGGGAAATAGGTAGTAATGCAGAAAGTACGAAGGTTACCAAAGGAATATATGCAAAGTATAGGTGCTACAGGTGTCGTTTTGGCGCGTTTCTCGTAGGTAGGAATCGACTCGGAATTGACCTCGTATGTCAGACCAGCGCCGTCTTTTTGTCGTTCCTCCTCCTCCTCCTCCTCCTTCACCTTGCTCTACTCTCAACGTCTTTGTCCTTTAGCTAGGCTGTTTCCTGGGGTCGCTATGTAGAGTCTCCGTCCAGCAGCCTTGCCATATCTATTCTAAGGTGGAGAGAAAAAAAAAAGAAATAACAAAGATCCCATCCCATCGCGATCCATCTCCTTACCCCGTCTTATCGTCTTGGTCATCAAATACACCTTGTTTTCCCATCTATCGTTCATTGCATCAACCCTTCATGTTCTATCAAGATTTCATTAACGCTTTCATGATCTAATGACCGTGCTTCCGAGCGCGTCGTCCCCCCCTCCCCTCCCCTCTCATCAGTCTATTTACTAGCATCAACGGCAGTGCTCCTCCCCGTCGCGGCGCCGTTCAGAGACGCAGGAACGGCAATGGGTTGCCCGCGGGCCTTTTCCGTGAGGCTGATGAGTTCCTTGAGCATGAGCTCGCGGGTGGACTGGGTGAGTTCGTCGACGTCGGCGGAGGTGAGGTTTTTGGTTTCGATGGGGGGCAGAACTGAAAGATGCGGTGTTAGCCAAATGTGATTATTATTGTCGAGAGATGAAAAGAAGGGAGAGACTGAGGAGAAGGAACATACCCTTGACGGGAATCTTGCCCGCGTTAAAGACCATGCCCCGAATGTACAGGATATGGCTGTAGTTGGCCACGACGACGGGCACAATGGGGACGCCCGACTGGACGGCGAGATGAAAGGCGCCCTTTTTAAAGGGCAGCAGCGTGGGCTCCTTGGCGTAGCTGCGGGTGCCCTCGGGGAAGATGTAGACGCTCTGGCGCTTCGTCTTGATCTCCGCGGCGGCGCCGTCCATGGCGGAGCGGGCGTCCTTGCTGTTCTTGCGATCGATGAAGATGGTGCCGCTGAGGGTCATGAACCAGCCGAGGAAGGGCATGCGCTTGAGCTGGGCCTTTGCGGTGACGCTGCAGTACTTGGGGAAGATGGCGCCGAGCATGAGGACGTCGAGCTCCGTCTGGTGGTTGCCGATGAAGACGGCCGGGCGGGTCGAGCCGAGGTAGTCGTTGGGGTCGTCGACGTCGAACTCGACGCCCGTGGTGAGGCGCATGGAGTAGTGGAACGCGCGGGCGACGGCCCACTGGGCGATCTGCTGCTTGCCGAGCAGGGTGAGGACGAGGGAGGCGAACACGCCGTAGAGGGCGCAGGCGACGAGCGTCATGTACGAGGCGAGAGAGCGGGCCACAAAGGCCGCCTTGGGGACGGCGAGGGACAGCATGTAGGAGGCTGCTGTGAGGACGACGTAGCCGGCGAGGAACTTGGCGATGGCGCCGAGGAAGAGCACCATGGTTGTTGGTTGCTGTGATGCTGCTGCTGCTGCTGCTGCTGCTGCTGCTTAGGTAGGCAGAGGAAGAGAGAGGTGGGGAGAGAACGACCGGTTCGGGGGGAGAGCGGCTGCGACGAAGACTTGGTCGAGAGCTGGAGACAAGAGTCGAGAGGATGGATGGTGAACTGATGACGAGGAGGAAGAGGGTCGAGGGCTTGGTTTGGTCCTGCTACTATTCCATGCTATGGTGTTGTTGTTGAGGCCGAGCTTGTGTTGTCTTGCCAAAGAAGAAGAAGAGGGAGAAGAATACTAAAAGAAAGGAAGAAGCGTGGAGAAGGCCGGCGAAAGAAGAGGCGTGACCCAGGCGGACGGAGGACAGCCGAGGGAATCACAAGCGCAAGCCAAAGTGGTGACGGCACGGGAACTAAAAAGAGACAAAATGTGAAGAATCGGCCAGGAGCATTATCTTCCTCTTCTTCGTTTTTTTATCTTTGATTGGAGAAAAAGAAAACGGTAGCTTTTGGCTTCAAGCGGGTTGTTTCTTGAATTGAAAGAGGTATCCGCTACCTGCAGAGTGAGGCGTCGCTGGGCGGCGGCGGCAGGTACTCGTGAACCGAGGAGGGTGGTGGGATGGATGGGTGGGATTTTGAGCCAATGACGTTGGGGGAGGGACCGGTTTACAAGGAGTGATTGGTTGGGGAAAGGGGAGACGATTGGACGACGTGGGGGAAGAGAGGCTGTTGGATTTTTTTTTTTGGGGGGGGGGGGGGGGATGAACCACGTTTCTTGCAGCTTGTTGCAGTTGTCTGATGATACCTTACTTGTACTTGCAATCCTCGAGATAGTAGGTAGTTTCGGATGGTGTGCTCTTTGTTCGTCCAGACATCATCTACCTATTATCACTGATTGTTCATAAGCTAGCTAGATCATCCATTTATGCCATTCTACTACCTAGTTGGCTACGAGTTAGTATAGCGAAGCAGCGCCATCTTCTCACACCAACTCCATCACGTGATCGCCTAACCTGGAGCAACCCGGTCGAGAATAGACTCCATATGTCTGCTCTGATCCACCCTCGGCTCAGTCAAGCTGCATCCCTGTCAGTCCTCATTCCCATCTGTCTGCCCAACCCGCAACAATGGCGACGCCCGGCTTCTGAACTGCAATTGTCCCTCTCTCGGCACCGGCAGCTCGACCGAATCGTGCGCGGCCTGTCGAAACCGCTGCGGCACACCTGGGCTGAACCATCAAAACCACTTTAGGCATCAAGACCATCTGCTGCTGCGTCTCTCTCCATCAGTCCACTTTTTGCCTCCAACACCACCTTGCGTCCAATACGGATACTGTACTTCATATGTACATACAGACAGCTCCATTCGACCGCATTGCATGAGCCAGGGAGGTACTGATTGCCTGCCGACGCAGCTCTGCTCCATCCGCCGCGGCCTCTCGTCTGCCATTCCCAGCCTCTCGCATGAGCTCCGTCCCTCGACTCCGTCCCTCGACTCCGTCCCTCGACTCCGTCCAATCCATATCATGCTCTGAGCTGTTGATCCATCCGACAGCCATATTCAGCAATCGCCATGGCTCCAGCTCGCCGAGCCCATCCCTCGTCCCTCTCCGTCCCTCCTCCTCCTGGCGCCCTCGTTGATCTTCCGCCCATTGCCGCCCTGTTTCTCATCGACTTCGATGTCAAGGCCGGCTATACGATTGTCTGGAAGCGGGCTGCTCCGGGGCTCGAGCTCGAGGGCGTTGTCGAGTACAAGTCGCTGCCGTCGGGCCTGCATACAGTGTCTGACGACCTCATCTACTTTGTCCACGATGGCACGCATGCTGGTCTGAGCGCATTCGTCAACGAGCCGTGTGAAGAGGAGGAGGCCCGCCATGCGCGCATGATTGCCGTGGGCATCCTCGTCCCTCTCAGCTATGGACGGCTGGGCCGCGCATGGAGACATGCCGAAAATCTAAAGCAGATGGCGGCGTAAGTAGACCTGTATGCGAATCTGTGTGTTGCCCAAGGCTGTATTGACAAGTCGCTTGTACAAGGACCCTCGCCAAGGATCGCAACCAGACCGAAATCTTAGAAAAGTACTGGGACGCCAACAAGGCAAAAGAAGGAGAGACCTTTTCGACCGTCAACACGCCCATCTCACCTGTCCCAGACCAGTTCCGCAAGACGCACGGCAGAAACTCGTCCCTCACCGACGGCGTCTCTCTGTTCCAGCCCGAGCACAAACTATCGCCCTACCATCCCGCCTGGAGCTTGGCCGAGCTGCTGGACAGGTTCGGCCCCCTGATCTTCCCCATCCAGCGGGCCGCCTTGCTTCGACAGCGCATATTGATCTCTTGTCACGCGCCGGTACATGAGATCTGCAACTTTGGTATGTCGCCCTGGGATGCAGAAGAAACACCCATGACGGGAAGCTGACGGACTGCCTCAAGTATACGACATCTCCATCTTATCCAACATCCCCCACTCCATTGCAGACGCGCTGCCCCAACCCTCTCCTCCTCAGCGTCTCCGACCCCTCTTCAACATTGGCGTGCATGACATATCCTTTCTCATGGACGACCTCAAGGCCTCCAAGCGAGACCGCAGCGACGCGAGTGCCGTAGACGATGCCGACGAGTCGGGCTCTGGCTGGATTGCCTGTACCACTGACAGCATCCTCGCAACCAAGGACGCCCTCTGGGACATGCTCATCACGATGCCGCCAGACCACTCAGAAAACGCAAAGGAAAAGGCCTGGCCAGTCGTCGAGTACGCTGGCAGGAAAGTCGTCAAGGCCACGCAGCGTGATCTCCGCCGCTTCAATGCCCTGCGGACGGGTCTCGCACGCCTTGCCGCACTCGCGCCCACCACTCCAGGCCAAGGCCCTCCGTCTCCCGCATCCGAGACATCACAAGTCAGGCTATCGACCAGCCATTCCGCGCGAGTCGTCAAAGACGAACCGTACGGCGGCGCCGACAACCTGGTCGAGCCCGTCACCTGGGCTGCCTTTGCCTACAACGGCTTCATGTGGTGGGCCAGCGCGGGCGAGCAGATCCGCTCCGAAGAACAGGAAGAATCGACACGCGATGCCGCCCTCCTCGCCGACCTGTTGTCGCCCACCAGCCCTCGCGTCGCCTCCATGTCGTTTCCACCAGGCCCGTCATCGCCTCCCCTAGGAGAGCCCCTCAGCAACTCCATCGCCTCGCTCGCCGGCCGTCGCGCGGGCGTCGACGGCGAAGCCAACATTGAGCTCGCCATCATCACATACTTCCACCGCCTCACCACGCAGATGCTCTCCGTCATGATTGACATTGTCGACGCCGCGGACGAACCATACCACGACGACGACGACAACACCACCGACGGCGAAGACGACGGCAACAACGACGACGAAAACCAAGGGCTGATTCCCAACGGCAGCGACGAATCCGACCTCCCCACCATCACGATAGACAGTCGGTCCATTGAAGAGATGGGCCTCGACGTCTGGAGCGCCAGCGACGCCCTCTTTGTGCAGGAGCTCGCGGCCGTGTACTTTGGCAGACGGGCTGTCATTGAGGGCAAAGGCGTCGAAGTCTGCGGCGTGCGGGTATGTTGAGAGCTTGGTTGCTTATTCAACTCTTGCCCTTCTCCTCATCTCTTCTTTTTTTTTGCTTTTCTTTCTTGGCCCTTACTTTTGACTTCTTGTTGAGCTCATGTCTCGTTTGGCGAAGACGGTGTGTTTTTGATGATTATATGTAACCGATGAATGAAACGAGGTGGAATCATGGAAAACTGTTGATATAGCTTTCTTTCTTTCTTTTTTTCTCAAGTCTTTTTTGTCCTGATAATGATGCGAGAATGCATACGTAGTACATAGATGTAGTACAGACAGTGTTCACACACCACACACACACACACACATACACACAAACAAACACACATACAAACAAACAATCAACTTCACACTCGAGCCATTACCTACCTGACCTACCTTCACACTCTGAAGCAACCCCTTCAACGACAACACTCCATCATCTTGATACTTCAATATTTCACTCTCGAGCAATTGCACAAGAGGAACCTCGTGATTAATGAATTCATCGTCAATTCAATTTCCCCCCCATCAATAGCAATGTGTAGTTCCAATACCACCATCATGAATCTACGTTACGAAACCACAACAGAAAAAAGGGGGGATAAACTAGGTAATACAAAATATAAGACTCAACAACCCAACACGACCCAGGTCCCATAAGCCGCTGGAAAAAACAAACAAACAAAAAAAAAATCATAAAAGACAAAACTCCATGCCGGCAAGGCCTCCCGAGCCAATCAGTTCCCTCGTGTTGCCTGTGGCTTCCCCAGTATCGCGCAGAACGCAAATCAGCTTGCGCTTCACTATGCAAGTACGCAGGTTGCTTAAGCCAAATTTTCTCCTGTTTTTTTTCTCTTCTCTTTCTTTCTTTTCTCAAAACGTCGCCAAGAATACTTGGCTTTGTGGTTCGTGTTGGTTTTCCCTTTCCAGTCTAATAAAACATGCTCCTTGACGTATTTTCCATCAGCGCCAGGGAGGGCTTTCAGCTCTCGTCTTCCGTGTCAGTGTTGGTGTCGCTCGTGTCATCCTCTTCCTCGTCTGTGCCCGACTCTTCATCGGAGCTCTCCTGTTTCCGCTTGGGCTTGGTGCTCTGGCCAACAGGTTGTCCAGTCTTTAGCGCTCGCATCTGTCCAGCAATGGAGTCTGCAATCACATGTTAGCGTTGAATTGAATTCTTGAGGCAGTGAACGGCTGTCTTACCTTCTTCGGGCTCGCTGATATCATCCTCGGCATCCATCTGGGCCGCCTTACTGGCATCTTCGACGACGAGGGTAACCTCCATCTTGGTATCAAAACCGACGTAGGAATCGCAGATGACGTGCATGCAGAAGGTGTAGTGGCCGGGTTGCGGGGGAGCGGCGAACTGGGCCTTGAGAGTCTGCATGTTGAACGTGGGCTTGCCCTCCTCATCAAAGATGGGCTGGTCAAACTTGTCAAATGTGAAGGGGGGCACCGCCATCTTGTCTTGCTTGGAATCGCTGAGGAACGCGTACCACTTGGGAGAGTGTTCGCGAGCGTAGTGAGGGGCAAAGGTCAGGGGTGGCAAAACAGAGTTCTCTTCAACCGAGACAGGCTTTCCATCAGGGCCCTTGATCGTCTTCTTCTTGCGTCCCATTAGCGCATCCAGATCGTCTTCGGCGGGGTCAATGTCCTCCAGGGACAGCTCGTCAATAGGCGGGATCGACTCGGTGCCGGGGGGGATGAAGCGGCCCTTGATGACCAGGGTAACCAGAGATGAAGGAATGATGACCTTTTCGCCGGTCACCTTGAAGAATGCCTTGGCAACGCGGAAGTAAGGGAGCTGCTTGCCGACCTTGATGGCCTCGTTGTACTGCTCTTCGGTGAGGAGATCCTTGCCAACAGCAAGTCGTCTTCGTTCGGCGTCGGGAAGGTCCATGAATTGCTGCACGGTCAGGTGAATCTTCGAGTCGCCTTCAATAGCCGCGGCAACCTTGTCGGTGATGTACGGGAGCTGGAGCAGAGGGGAAGACTTGGGGGAGAGAGCCTGGATGAGATGCTGGTTCGCCTTGAAGGACCCTGCGATGGGGCCAATGCTGCCAAATGCCAACGCAATCGCGGCGAAGGACTGGTTCAGTGTCCGGGCAATCGCGCCGACCTCGTACTTGGCCTTGGTCAGCGCAGGGTCGTCGAGCTCGACACGGCCGAGGTACGCCCACAGCAAGGCAAGCACCTTGCGCCGCACGCCGCTGTCCAGATCCTCAAGCTTCTCCTTGTCCTTGACAGAGAAGCCACAGGCAAATGGTGCGGTTTCCCCGGGGGCCGTGATGCGAGACTCGACCTTGGACAGCCCGGATTCGGCCTGGTCTCCCTTGAGAATGTTTTCGAATTCCTTGCCGGTGCTGAGGGCGGTAATGATGCCACCTTCGTCGATTTCCTCGTTGTAGTGTCTGAACAGGCGGTTGGCGCTTTCCATCAAGACGCCCTCCTTCGACATCCGCTTGGTTCCGTACCACCATGAGCCGACCAGATAAGGCAGCAGAATGCCCATGAGCCCAGTGTAGAGCAGAATCAGGTATTTGCCGTTGCCCTCTGCGATGATGAACTGAGGCAGCGCAATGCCGATGCTGAAGCTCTGCTTGCCATCGGGGTGACCGTATTGGATATAGTTGTTTCGTACTTCTTCGTCCGTGAGGGCTTGGTATGCTTTGGTGAGCTCAACGTATCGGTCGTTGAGCATCTCCAGCGTCTCGTTCTTGGAGGGATCGGGTCGGACCTTGTCGGGGTGGAATTTGACGGACAGCCTCTTGTAGTGAGACTTGATTTGTTTTTCGGTAGCCGACTGCGTTTGGTTCGAATGTTAGCTCTCGGTCTCCGCGCCACCCGTCCCTGCCTGTTCCTCATCGTGCTTACCTCTGAAATTCCCAAGATATCATATGGATTCCAAATCTTAGGAATGATCTTTTGTGTCGTCACGATCAGATACACCATGCCCGCCATGAGAGCCCACCCCAGGACGACGAAGATGGCCCGCTTGATCTTGCGCTGCTTCCTCTTCTGCGCCGCCCGCAGCGACGCTACAACGTCGCCATGCTTGATGGTGTAATCCGACGAGATGCGCGGCGCAAGCGCATCGTTGTCGGTGCTCTTCCGGAAGAGGCTGTATGTCAAGGGAAGGGTGACCAGGCCGGTGACGGTCAGGATGAAGAAGGGGAAAAACTGGCCCTGTAGTAGAGAGAAAAGAAACAGGTTAACCACCAAACATCAGCCCCATGGCCAGCCATGATGCTCGAGATGCTCAAGCCCACCCACGCCACGCCATGCCGCACCGGGAAAAGGAAGGGAACAGCGAACATGTCCAACATACCTGTTCGTCGTACGAGTAGTCTGAGCTCATCTTGGCGGCCGCGTCGAGCTCAGCCTGCCCGAGAAAGCGTGGAGTCGCAGGATGAACAAGAAAAGAAATACCCGGCGAGCGATTGCTTGAAGCTGCCCTTCTTTTCGAAAAGTTGTCCTGCTGTCCTCTGTTAAGCAATGGCGAAGGCGCGCGAGCGGCGGGCGAGGCTCGGGCCAACTGGATAATCCGGCTCCCCCACAAATTCGGTTCCGCCACCGTGTTCAAAAGGAACGTTGGAGGGTGGAAGGTGGAAGCGCCACCAGGCCAGCGGCAATAAGCCCGCCAGAATAGCGGCCACGCTGACGGCACAGGCACGCTGCTGCCGCCCTGGGGCGCTAACGCTGACCTGTGCGTTAGTGGGTTTACTGCTGGAATTAGTGACGCCAGTTTCTCCGGCAGCGGTGATCAGTCCAAATAGGCATCTCGTAGAATCACATGGATGGATGCAACCAAGCAACAGGGTACGTTGTATTATTACATGTACAGACCATACCTATCTTCTCACTTCCCGCACCAAGCCAACATGTGTCCTTATCACTGGCAACGCTTTCTGGAACGCTACTCGCTAAATGTACTGCACAGCTTATACTGATGATGTCTATCATGCCTCAGTTCACTCAGTCCGCCTCTCTCTGGCCCTTTCACATGCGAGCCTCATCCTTCTCGTCACCATCTTGCGACGGTGTAGCTCCAATCTCAGTAGTCATAGTCTCGCCATCCAGCTCCGAGTCCTCCTCCGTCGCCGAGGCCGCTGAAGACGTCACAGCCATCTCCTCCAGCAGGATGCTCCTCAAGTCGTCGTCGCTGTAGATCCTCTGCATGCTCCCTCTTCTCGCCCATGGCCTGGTCTCTCGCCTTCCCTGCTCTATCAGTCTCTCTATCTTGAGGCGGTTCGATAAGAATTTGAGCTTCGGGAATGTGCTCTGCTGGCCCTCGTGTATCATTCGCGCCAGTCGATCCGCGTCAGGATCTGTCAAGATGTGCCAGTAGTCGGAAGGAATGGACTTGGGCCAGATGGTGATGGTGCCGCCAAAGTCCTGCAGCCAGAGCTGGCTCCAGTCCTGCCCCAGAGGGCGAGGCAGCAGCTCTGCGTGCCGGATAAACTTGAGCCACTTGTTCATGTCGAGTTTGAGATAGTGCTCAATGGCCGACATGAGGTAGCCGCCACGCCAGCCTCGCCCTTTGCGGTGCGTGACGGGGTGGCCAACGGTCCCTCTTGAGGAGAAGAAGAAGAGGTTGATGTGCGGGTTCACTTGGCTGACGACGGTGAAGTTGACGTTGAAGTGCGTGTTCAGCGCCTTGATGGGAATGTCCGTTCTCAAGCTGCCGTCCTTCCACTTGTGCCCAAAGGAGTACGGCGCCAGAGTGCCATCGCGCATCTTCATCATGAGCACGACTGGGTTCAGGATTCCGGGGACGGCCGCCGACGCAAGCACAGCCGACCAAATGACGCAGTCGGGGCTCGTCAGGTAGTTGCACAGAATGGTCGGAGAATGAGGGTCCGCCGGGACACAGCTGACGTTGAGGATACGGCCGGTCCGCTCATACGCCTCCCTAAATGTCATTGAGCCCCTCGTGAACCATGAGCACCGTTTGGCCCAGTCAACCGAGTCGAAGCGGGCGCCCGTCTTCCACCATCTGGGGAACCACGTCGTCATTGATTCGCCGCAGGCAGTGATTCGATGAGCGAGTGCGGGTATCAGAAGCTGTTTCAGCTCATCGTTCGTATGGGTAGCCACGAGACCGGCTATGAGTGCGCCTCCACTCGTTCCAGTGATAACGTCGGGCAGCAGGTCGGCGTCGAGCATCGCCTTGACAACGCCAATATGATAATAGGCAAACGTAGCGCCCCCGGACAGGCAGAGGGCGGTTCGTCCGTAATTGGCGTGTATGTGCTTGAACAGTATGCGCTTCTCGTCGGCTTCGAGGTGTTCCGTCTTGAGCAGGAATCGGAGACTTTTCTCAACTAAGCCAGGCCGTTAATGACCATGTTCATTGTCTGTCAAAATCAGAAAGGCAGCTTACCGTCGTCGACAAAATTCTGCACCAGGTTCTTGGTCCCATAGTATGTTTGGCTATACAGCTTTGGGTTTTCCACGCCAACAAAGTTATTCTTGACGCAGGCCTCCATCAGCGCCCTCAAGTCGTCGACGGCCTTCTTCAGCTCCTGTCGGTCGCCCTCCAGTTCAAGCGACTCTGCCTTGAGGCGTGTCTTTCGGATCTGCGTCCACACCCGCTTCACAGTCTTGGAATCGTAGTAAGCAAAGTCGTCAACTTCCCTCCAACTCTTTCGGCCCAAGTAGTCGTCCAGTTCTTTCGCGGCCGCGACCCAGCCGTTATAGCTGGAGGTTCTCCGCATGTTCTTGCGCAGGATTTCGCGTCGACCTCGCCAAGTGAAGAAATGCTCGTAGAACCAGATGTACCATCTCGTAGATAGGTATGCAATGCTCAGTCCGATGAGCCACGAGAAGACGAAGAAGAGCAGAGGCCACTTTGAGAGTAGGTATAGATATCCTTCTCGGGTCTCGTCCTTTGTTCGAGTTCCCAGCAGGCCCTCCACCGCGCCTCTGCCTTTCTTCTTCTTCTTGGCCCCTCGCTTGCTGCGGTATTTGCCCGGGTTTACGGGCGCCCAGTCGTTTTGCGCTGTGACAAACGTCCCCATGCTCGGCGTTGGAGGCACAGGCAGGTCTCCTCCGGCAGCACCGGCCGCTGCTGCGACGGCGGCGACATCTTCTTCCAGGACGCTGCCAGCCTGCGAGTCTCTCTTGGTCAAGTTGACAGAGCTGACGCTCCGGGGCGACTTCAGGCTGGACGTGTCATCGATGGGGCTCTGCAAGGGATCAGGCGCTTGTAACGCCGTCTCAAACGCATTCAGGTCTTCGGAGTCGAGATATTCGCAGTCGATGTTCGGCAAGGCTGATGGATCAAACAAATCGCGCGAGAAGCCATACGAGGCATCGTAGGGAGCGAGCTGGGGATAGGGCTTCGTTGCCTTGTCGTCCGACATGGTGACGCAAGTGAGTTGTCACTGTTGAAGCGCTCAATCACGTCCAAAAAGGCGCGGGAGAGGATATGTAGTCAGCGCAACTCATATATGGCGAGACGCGGGCTCCATGTGATTTCGGTCAGCGGTGGTAAGATTGCAACGCAGAGGTCAAGAGCAGTAATGGCGTGTATGCGAGATTCGTTGTCACGACGCCGCAAACGAAAAGTTCAAGTTGACCCTTTTGCGCCTCTGGGAGCCGGTCGAACGCATGACGTCTTTGGTGGCTGATTTGCTCCCAAGCCGGGCTACTGCGGTTTTGTTGGGGCGGGTGAGTGGGGGACTGGGCCCTGAAGGCCTCCCTAAATCTTAGCGGGGGAAGCAATTAAGCAGCCCTGGAGATGCATGGCGGCGCCCCACCTCGAGAACGTGGAACTTGCCAGAACGAGCAGGACGAGATGCCTGTGAATAAATATCACGAGATGAGTATCTTACGTGTGTAAGGTAGGTGAAGATGGGGCGAGAAACACTCTCCCATGGTGTAATGTTCGGTTGACACGAGATTGATTACCTTATGGCGATCCGATACTCACATGCAAAGTCAGTGCTTTCAGCTTCATCTTGGACGACCACAGCCTCATCCAGCCTTCATCTGCTGACCCATAAATAGTACCTTGGCCGTGGTAGAAGCGCATCAGGGGCTCTTGCAATCACCACCTTGATGCAGCCGAACCCATTTGGTCCCTGGCCACCTCCTGCACGCCGGTCATTCAGGTGATGCAAGCACTACCGAGAAATGAGTAACGCTAAATCAGGATTCTTGGAGTTTGGCGTTTTCAAAGCTACTGAGGCAAGGCTTTCTGGATGGCGTGGGTGCTTAATGAGGTGGTATAAGCTCGGGATACCCGGCTCAAGATATCAGGTAGATCGTATTCGAAGTCATTTGAAACTGATCGTATTAGTACAGTAGGTACAAAGAAGCTACTCTAGTCTTTGGCCTTTTGATGAATCCTCCTTCTCAATAATCTGGGCATACATATATGACTATACCTATATGTGCCTACCTACCTCAGGTGGCCAGTAGTACCATGGGGATCTTCATCTGTGCGCAAGTCGCCAAGATGCTTAGATGTCAAGCATTGGTAAAGACCCTGTGGACAAAGTGCTGAATGTCAAACGATAGCAGTTTAGTCGGCATCTTCTGGTAATGTAGACGAGTGCTGCCCCAGCGTAACAACCCGCAAATGCTCGCCCTAGCATATGAGAGCTATGATCGCCATGAGATTCGAGGTAAGAGCAAGATGTGTTTCTGATGTCTTGCCATAATTAGGTAGGGCAGCTTCGTGCTAGGGTTATGGTCCCTGCAGTCTTCAAAAAACCCAACCAAAGCAGAACAATGGTGATCGCGAGCTGGCCTGTCCATGCCCACCACAATCGCCTTGCTGAACAGGTCGAGGTGCAGTGCTTTGCACATCGTTCCAGTCATCTGTTCATCTGATGTCCAAGGGAAAATGCCATATCAAGTCCCTTGTCGCATCCGATTGGCCCGGCAACTCGCAGCTCGCACCGTCGCTGCATGCGTTTTACAAAGCATGATGCCGTGATTCGTCACACGAGGAACCCGCGACGGGTTTACAGTGTCCGCAGTGGGGAAGGGCAATAAGGTACTGTAGCTCGCTCGGCCCGTAGAAAGCTAGGTCAAGTATCACGAGGGAACAAGGGCGATTGCAGGCGCGGGCACAAGAAACCCATTGGCACGCCAGGCTGGGTGGCGGCGCTTTGTCAGACCTTGTTCGACGGCTGTTCACGACGAACGCTTGCGGGTGATGTCGACGCTGCTGAATCGCCGCAGATGCCGATGGTGACAAAGGGGGGGTCGAAGAAGCTCGAGACGCAGCTTGTTGGGTGCTGCTTGTGCTGTTGATGCTGATGGGGTGCGGGCACGGTTGCTGCGTCTTTGCTTCCTGTGCAGGATTAGTATGTCCCTATGTGTGTTGCGAGGCTGCATGTCCACGGGTCCCTTGTGATAGTAAAATCACCCGTCCTTTGGAGAGTACCGATGCCGATATCCTTGTAGAAGCCATTCTTCAAGGGCTCGCAGGCCAGCGCACGTCCCTCGTCTTTCACTTGTCATGTCGAAACGCCGCAGTTTCACGCGAGACGATGTGCGTCAAAGGGGAAAAAGAAAAGTCAAAAGGAGGTCAGGAGGGGGGTTTTTCTGGTCGTGAGAACCTTGATAGTGCTGCCACATCCCGCCAGTTGTGCGACCCCCCGGAGAGAACCTGGATGGCCTGACAGATCCTGCGAGTTGCAGCCTGGTGGTGGTTTTGAGTTCCAAGGTTGTCATGCGGTACCGCTGGGCACTTGGCAGTCAGCAGCAGACAACACTTTCAGCTCACAAACCACGAGAGAGAGAACAAAGCCACCAAAAGAGTCACGGCGCTTTGGCCAGGGCAGGTGTTCACTCATTGGTTCGCTGATGGAGGGAGATCCAGTGCAAAATACAGTTTGTAGGTAGAGCTGAATGAGCATCAAGTGTGTTGCAGAGGACCAACAGCCGCCAAGCTCAAAATAGAACCTGAGGTGGACTTCGGGTCTGGTAGCTGTTCAGTTGTGTTCTGCCCTGCCAGGTACTTGAGGCGCTGTAAAAAGAAACCTGGAAGGGCTATAAGAGAACGCCCCTCCTACGTCAGCGACCTGCTAGAGCGTCAAGCCTGCCTCTATTTGATAAGCCCTGCCGAGTCTCTTCCTCTGCATCATAAAACAATTTCGACTCTGCCTTCCACGTCACACATCAACCGTACATGAACGCCCGAAAGCGTCGATCGTGATTCGAGATTTGGATATCGAGGACGGCGTTCTATCCTCCAGCATCCAGCAACACCTCATTTTTCGACTCTATCTCCAGATCGACGGACACTTCACGCAAACCGCTGGATGACGCTGCCGCAGTAGCCGAGCTGCATCTTGTTCGCGGAGAGAGAGAGAGAGAGAGAGAGAGAGAGTGGAAGAGAGTAGAGCCGCCATGTCGTGGGCGGCAATGACCGTCAACAATGACACCCGCGGGTGGATCCTGGCCGTGGTGAGCGGCATTGGTACGTGATGCCTCGACGAAGCCGTCCCATCTTGCTGAGGACAGGCTGCTAACAGTGAGAGGTGAAGCCTGCGTCTTGGGCGCGTCCATCATCTGCGTTGATGTATTGGTGCGCCTGCTTCCGGGAAAGTCCAACTTTCGCATTCAAGAGAGCAACGTCTTTCTTGCATGCTCGCTGAGCTTGAGCTTCGGCGTCATGGTCAGCATCAACGTCCCATTGTCTCCTGACTTGAGTGCAGCAGATGGCTGACTCCTGCTCAACTTCTACAGCTCTTCTCTTCGCTCTACAGCATGCTCCCCGAGTCAAAAGAGTACTTTGAACAAGAGGGTTGGTCTGACCAAGCTGCTGGCCTGGTCATGATGCTCTTCTTCGCCTTGGGATTCCTCGGCATCCAAGCTGTGTCGCGATTTCTCCACCAATTCATGCCTTCCCACGTCGTCGACTGCGATCATACCCATGGCGGCAGAGTGTCTCATGACGGCCATTCCCACCATGCCTCTCTCGACCGAGCGCATTCACGACCGAGCCGCGCGAGACGGCGGCTCTCCCGACCACCTGACAACAAGATATCAGATATTACAGAGGGCAGTGAGGGCCAACCCCTCATGACCGAGTCGACCCCTTTGCTCAGCTCCGAGCGTAGTCGCCCCAACCCCTTATTACCTGCCCGCGACTCGATAAGAGACGAGCCGGTGCGGCGGAACGGCAGCCCTCTGTCACCCACCCGCAGTCGTGCTACCACCGGCGCCGATGCCGTGACTTCCAGCAGGCGCTCTTCCGCATTCGAGGTCCCGAGGCGGGTCTTGTCCTTTGTCAAGGACACGAAGCGCGATTGTAGCGAGTCCGGACCCTGCTACGGATACTCTGACCCTTGCGGCCAAGAGTGCTTCAAGCACCTCAGCAGTCGCGCAGCGAGTAATGCGCGCCAGCCCTCCTCCGTGCGGTCCTTTACGGGACACTTCCAAGCCCACCACTCGTTCCACGCCACTCATGATCCCGCCAATGGCGATCCCAACGACCTACCCATCAGCCCGAGTCGGGTGGCCTCTCGCGACTCTACAACTCTCACTGGCGAGGACACCAGCAGTAGCGAGAACGCCTTTCCGTGCTCGCAGATGGATGAGGGCGACGCCGAAGCCCAACATCACCACCACGTCCCAACCAACGCCTTCCTTTCCATCGGGCTGCAGACGTCCATCGCCATCGCCCTCCACAAGCTTCCGGAAGGCTTCATCACCTACGCCACGAACCACGCCAACCCCACGCTGGGGTTCAACGTCTTCATGGCCCTGTTCGTCCACAACATCTCCGAGGGTTTTGCCATGGCCCTGCCCCTTTACATGGCCCTCGGGTCCCGCTGGCGGGCCATGGCCTGGTCGGCTGTCCTGGGTGGCTTGTCGCAGCCGTGCGGCGCGGGCATCGCGGCTCTGTGGTTCAAGCTTGCCAACAGGACCAACGTGACGCCGAGCGCGGTTGCGTATGCGTGCCTGTTTGCGCTGACGTCGGGCATCATGGTCAGTGTTGGGCTACAGCTGTTTGTCGAGAGCCTGAGCTTCAACCATAACCAGAACCTTTGCATGTTTTTTGCCTTCTTGGGCATGTGTTTGCTGGGGTTCAGCAACGCCATGTTGGCGGAACACTGAAAACTGCCGACTCCGTCCATACGTTGGATTCTTCGTTGGATATGAGGCCCTGGCAGTTTAATCAGGAACTTTCATTTTACGTTCAAGAGGAGAACCTGTTTATCTTTGCATTGCATCAAGTATTTCCTTCTTCGCTGCGAGCACATTAGAGAGTTATGGTCAGGGCGCATTTGGCCGCTTGTGGATATCCTTTTTGTTCTGAGGGACCTGGGCGTCAGGGGTTTCGACTTTGCATAGTATCGGACATTGGAACTTAGAGGCGGTGATGGAAGCGTCTTATTTTGTATCTTTTACCACCCTCTTGATTTGCCAGCGTTTGGGAGAAACACGCATAGAATCTACACATTTGGTACTTATGGCTTATGAATTGTTCTTTGTCATTAATGTCGTGACGCCCTTTTGACGCTGTAAATATATATATGCCATGACTGCCTCGTAGTGGTTTGTTGTCTAGCTTCACCCAGATCAACCCAGATATTTACCCCTTCCACGAGACTGTAGCAGAGATCATGTCACCCCAACCTTTCGAAAGAATAGACGCCAGATTTGCTCAAAATCTAAAAGCCTCCCAGTGTGGGATCGATAGATGCCCCATCTAAGCCTGCCTCCCCACGCGCCAACATCAAGAGCGTCGCATCGTCCTCCATCCACCCCTCCTGCCCCGTCCCAAACGACATTTGCGCAGAGAAAATGTCATCCTGGGCAAACTCCCCTGTCCAAGGGTGCTGCTCGAGAGGGTTCCCCTGCCCATGAGCAAAGATGGACGGGTCAGTGTAGGATGCTGCTGCTGAATCGACGGCGTGGTCGTCAACGGCGGGGTTCGACTCATGCGCAAACGCAATGTGGGCGTTGAGGTCGAAATACCGAATGAAGCCCTCGCCGCACTGGGGGCAGCGCAGCTTCTGCTTCTTGATGTTGGCCACGCCGGATATCTCGTCGATGAGGTCCGTCGTCGGGGGTTTCTCCGCCTTGGAGAGCTTTGGGCGTTCTTGGCCCAGGTGTATGAAGCGGATGTGGTCTTCCAGGCGGACCTTTGTGCTGAACTTGTCGCCGCAGCCTTGGTCGTTGGTCCAGCTCTCGAGCCCGGGGCCGGAGAATTCGACTTGGCCGCAGATGAAGCGGAAGCCTTCGTGCGCCGTGCGGATGTGGACGTTGAGGTTGGATTTTTTGGTGAATCTCTTGTCGCAGCCCGCGTGGGGGCAGGCCACCGTCTTGCGGTCCTCGACCGTCTTTCCGGAATGGTGAATCTCAATGTGCGTCTCCAGCTCCCATAGCGAGCTGGACTTGTAGTCGCAGAACATGCAATTCTGGTGTTCCTGCCGCATGTGCGACTGCAGCTGCGTGTCCGTCGTGAAGCCTACCCTGTACGTCGTGCCGTCCTCGCGCATCTGCGGAGGGCATTCCATGCACCAATACTTGAGCGGCCCGTGCTCCCTCTCGCGATGCCGGTTCAGCGCCCCCTTGGAGTCGAACGCCGACGAGCAGGTGGGCTCCGGGCATTGATGCGCCGGCAAGCCTTGGTGCTCCTTGCGCACGTGCTTGTTGAGTGTCTCCTTTTTCCGGAAGCTCTGGCCGCAATCCTGGCAGCGGAACCGGTCGGCTCCCTCGTGGACGAGCTGGTGGCGCTTGAGCCTCGTGCCGGTCACGAAGCTCTTTCCGCAGCCTTCTCGCTGGCAGACATATTTCCGGTCGTTGGTGTGGACGGCCTTGATGTGTTGCTTCAGGTGCTTGTCTTCGATGTAGTCCTTTGTGCAGCCGTCGTAGGGGCACTTATGGGGGCGGGAGTTGGTGTGGGAGTTCATGTGGTCCCTCAACCGAGCCGGACGGTTGAAGCTCTTGGTGCATCCTGGCCATGAGCATGCCAGCGTCTTGTAGTCTGACGGGAACTTCGTCCGGGGGGTCGTCGCGGCTGTGATGGTGGAATCGACCTCTGCGCTCGAGGCCCGGCTTGAACTCGGGGTGTAGTCGTCATCCCCATCGTCCATGTCGAGATCTGTTGAGATATATCGATTAGCCGTGTTTCAAAGGGGGGTTCGATGGCTAGCGAGCTCCAAGTCGTACGTGAGGCCCCAATGCTGCCGCTATTCAGTCTCTTGCGAGGCGACGCTCCAGGCGCCTCCTCTGCGGCCACCCGTTTGCTCATGGCGGTCCGTCAATCGCTGCAGAAGCTGTTGCATGTCGTCGAGCTTGGAATATTGACGGGAGATTTTGGGAAACTTTTAGGTGGGTCACGGGAAGATAAGATAAGGACCTGCCAATGACGAAAATAGCAATAGCGACAGTGAATTGCACCTGCGCCCCAGCCCAGCAAGCAGGGGAAGGCGCTAGAGAGAGATCCACACGGGGTGCGCTAGGCACTATCGCCGGAGAATCTACGGATACTCTCGAAGGTTCGTCGACTTTGGAACAACATTTTTTTTTCGCGAGGCTGAAGGTTGGTTGAGTGGCGTGCAACTTGTTCCAGGAACCAAACTTTCTGTATCAACGCATATTCTTTTGCATCTGATTATCTCTTTCACAATGTCTGACTTTGGCGATGACGATGTTAGCGTTGGAGGGTAAGTGAAGCGCCGAGAAAGAAGAGAGAGAAAAGAAGAGGAAATGGCGGCTGGATGGAGGCTGATCCCCCCCTGTGCGCGCAGCGACGAGCCCGTGTTGGAAGAGGACGAGATCACCGAATTCTACGAGCCCGAAGTTCCCGAGGACGAGGATGCCGAGCACTTGAACGGCGACGACCAGGACAACGTGGTCATCTCTGGAGATCCATCTGCAGCCGCAAACGCCTCCAAGGACAAGTCCGTCAAGAACAAGAAGATTCCCGACGACCAGCGCACGACAACGCCGTACATGACGAAATACGAGAGAGCGCGCATCCTGGGCACGCGCGCCCTGCAAATCAGGTGGGCAATTGACGGACTGGGACAAGAAAGAGAGGGTAGTAGCATGCGGATCTGCTAACTGGTTTGGTGCAGCATGAACGCGCCGGTGCTGGTTGACCTCGAGGGTGAGACGGATCCTTTGCAGATTGCGATCAAGGAGCTGCGCGAGAAGAAGATTCCCTTGATTGTGCGACGATATATGCCTGATGGATAGTAAGTTTGTGTTCCGGTTGGGACGGAGGAGAAGGAGGCGGTGGTCTAACATTTGGATCACAGCTACGAGGACTGGACCTGCGAAGAGCTCCTTCAGTAGACGATGCCCGGCATAGAGGACGAAGGTGGCCAAGATGAGCCTCGATTCATGCCGACCATGTCGAATGCTGCGGAAGAAGAAGATGGCGGATTCGACGGCCCGGCTCATCAGACCTACCTATGATCTGTCGACAAGAGAAACTGGTTCATCAGCGTGGCGTTTCGAGATTCGATTGATTTCAGCTCTCGGTTACCAACTCAAGATGGCATGTTTGGCTCGACACTGCGCCATTCCGTCTTTGGTGTGATGCGATCTGATTTTCGCCAAGGATCAAACACAGGTCGGTCATCATGCTGTGGCTCGCCAATGTTTGGTACCACTAAGGAGCCACTGCATGCCTAGGAGATCCCAAGGACTGCGCCGAACAACATACGGGCGACATGGGAGCAGCATGCGAGGCCGAGAGCGCTTAGACTTGGTTCAGGTTCAAGACTGTACAAGATTGATTTTGCATTGACAGGATAAAAGCTACGTTTATACAGACGTCTGCAAAGTATACCAATTCAATAATAAGATGAAAGAATAAGCAATAAGAATGGCACTTTCATATCTTTGTCTTTACTCAACAGAACGAGTCGGATATCTGGGTTGCAGATTCAGAGGCATCTATACTAGCAGACTCCTGGTCATCAGCTCCTCAATGCTCATTGCTCCAAGTTAAGCGAAGAGGGCTGTTTGCCACTCACACAGCTGCAGTGGTTTTATTCGGACGGAAAGAGCACATGCTCTCTTGGTGGCATCAGGGCTGCTACGTTACATGACCATCTCAAGGTTGTTGTAACAGCAGAGGATGTTAACAAACATTGTCGGCATGCCTCTTACATGTACTTTAGCATTTGACATCGGGTCCTCGGCAGTCGTCCTGAGCGCTAAGCCTAAGGCGCCATGCCGCTCCCTAAAATAGGTACATTGGACTGGATGTACCTTGGGTGAACAGTTGGCCGGATGACATCACAGCAACCAGAGACGACAAAGAAGTTCTCGTACATTTACCTAGGTACCCAATAGAAGGAGCCGCATCCAGTAAACACTGTTTTCTCAATTGTCGACATAGGTGTCATCACAGGACATTCAGAGTATCCAACGCCGTCTCTTCATGTCGCTGAGATGCTACCGCCAGAGACCATGGAGGAGCGTCATTCAACAGCCGGCAGCGGAGGATAAGGGCTGTTACATAGTACATGTAGTGCCGTTCCTGCATGCATTAGCTGTCCATCCTCAATGCTACCTAGGTAGGTACACTCTTGTTTGTTGGCCTGCTGTACCTTATGTAGGAGCGAAAGGGCTCAACAAGGCGGGTTGATTCTCGTCAGGGTTGTGCTTTGTAACTACAGAATAAGTACCTATCTACAGTAGACAGTCGCACAAGACTGAATGAATGTCTTGGGGGTTATCTCAGCACCTTTGTCCCAGAACCGATGACAGTTTGCTACGCACTCGCAGCTGTCAAGCCGAATTGGATTCCATCCACAGCCCAAGCCGGTATAACGGCCCCAATATGACGTGTCCTGCTCCCTTTCGCACAAAGGAAAAAACAAACCGAGTCCACCGAAAAGAAAGAAGAATAACACAGCCCTCCCGTTCCCCATTCCTCCTCCTCGTATTATTTGCCCAGCCCACGACGATCGCGGCTCGTCTTTCGTCGGCCAAGCCATCCGTATGACGTCGAGCCCAATCCCACGACAAACAGCCCGAACCAGGATCGACAGCGTTCTGTCTCAGCGCCCATTTCCCATTCCGGCCGCACCCTTTTTTAGGGGACTTCGTACATAAACGTGCTAGCAACACTACAGCACAGTATGTACGAAGGATTGGGCTTAACATTACTTGGACTTCTCTGTATTTGCCTTATTACGAGCCTGCTCTTCGGGATCTCGGGTCGGGCGGTGGCTGCTTAGCTAGCATGCTATTACTGGGGAGACAATACGGGGACAAGACGTCAGAATCTTGCTGCGGCTTCATTATGGGGCAAAAATATCGTAACCAGAACATGATGCTAGTGGTATAGCACGGAGTGGTGTTAGCAGTTGAGAAATGAACAAAAAAAGAGGGCAATTTGTGGGCGCTGCATTACGTCGGTCAGCGATGCAAGGGAAACACGAGAGAAGGAGATGGAGCAGCAGCAGGCTCTGTGTAATTCCGTAGATATATAATGAGTGGCTTGGTTCCACGAGAGAGAGAGAAAGAGAGAGGCCGAGACAAACAGAACATCATCAGCCCTTTATTACCGCAATCTGCCTGCCAACCTATAAGACATCTGTGATTTAATTCTTATTCCGTCTTGGTTCTTACATATACTATATCTTACTGCTACCAAATCAGCTGCCTACACATCATATCCAAGCACATCGTATCAATCAAGATGAAGTTTAGCAGCATCGTCACCGCCATCGTCTCCTCGGCCATTGCCGTCTCCAGCACTCCCATCCACAAGCGCGAAATCGGCGGCGTACGTCCTCCTCTCCCCTCTGCTCTCTCTCTCACGATATCTCACGATATCTCATAATCATCACCACCACCATCATTCTCATCATCATCTTTACTGACTTGATCAAAAACAAAAACAGGTCCTCCTCTGCACCGGCGCCAACGCAACCGGCTCCTGCAACTACTCCGTCTACGCCCTCGACACATGCCACCAGCTGCCCGCGCCCTTCCACCACAACACGAGCACCTTTGCCCCGGACGGCGAGGCCTTTGAGTGCTTCCCCCGGATCGGCGACTGCGGCTCGATCTGCACGAGCCCGACGGGGTGCACCTTTGGGGCCGTCGACTTTGACTATGCGCACAAGTTCGACCTGGGGGCGATTCAGTGGAATACCTTGATTTCCAGCTTTGACTGCTCCTTGAAGAGGACGGCTAGTGGTACCTCTTCATGATGGGCTGATGAAAGAAGCAACATGTCGAGAATGTAACTGAAAATGGAGGGCTGCATCTCGTCCTTTTTTTTCTGAAGCACTGCAATCGACTGCTTCAAGCACACAATACGGCATCAAATCATGACTTATGGGTACTGATCCAACACTCGACGGACAGTCTCTCTTTTTTTTTTTTTTTTCCTTTTTTGCTTTTGGTTTGGCAATATGGCAGGGCGTTTATACAATTACCCGATGCCTTCTTAGATCTCTTAATGTAATGCTGCTGTTTCGGACATAGTTCGGGCGTCATCATGATGGAAATGGAACAAAATACCCAGAGCGTGATGGAGGGGTTCCTTTCCTGGTGGTGGGGTAAAATGATCCATAAGATGCTATCCGCGTCTCAACGAACAATCAATAAGACGGCTTCTTCTGTCACCTAAACTCTTTGCTTCCTTAGCTCTTTCATGAGACCCTTCTTCTGCTCTTCCCCTCTTGTCCATAGGTACATGTAGTCAGAGCATCACCGCTCACCTCAATCCAACCCCGTCTCCGGCATCATCACCACACTCGTAAACCCTCCCCCCTTCCTCGATCATCACCACCAAAAACCCATCACCACCATGGCGAGCATCACCACAAACGCCTCCATCGCCTCCTTCGGCGGCCGCTTCCTCAAGCTCACCCACACCTCGGCCCTCACCGGCGGGCCCATGAACTTCACCCTCTTTCTCCCCGCCGGCATCTCCGAGGCCTCACCCGCCCCCTTGCTCATCTACCTCTCCGGCCTGACCTGCACCCCGGACAACGTCACCGAGAAGGGCTTCCTGCACGCCCACGCCGCGCCCCTCAAGCTGGCGCTGCTCTACCCGGACACGTCGCCCCGTGGCTCCGACCACCCGGGCGAGCACGACGCCTGGGACTTTGGCAGCGGCGCGTCGTTCTACGTGGACGCCACGCAGGAGCCCTGGGCCAGCAACTACAAGATGGAGTCGTACATCACCAAGGAGCTCCCCGACGTGGTCTTTTCCAACTTCAAGCAGCTCGACCCGACGCGCGTGTCCATTGCGGGACATTCCATGGGCGGCCATGGAGCGCTGACGCTCTATCTCAAGAACCCGGGCAAGTACCAGAGCGTGAGCGCCTGGTCGCCCATCTCGAACCCGAGCGGGTGTCCCTGGGGCGAGAAGGCGTTTACGGGGTATCTCGGTGGGAATCGGGAGGAGTGGAAGAAGCATGATGCGACGGAGCTGGTGAAGCACTGGAGGGGGCCTTTGAACGCCCTTCTCGACGTGGTATGTTTTTTTTTTTTCGATTTTCTACCTCATGAGATGAAGAAGAGGAGATGAGAGTGGAGGTTTGAAACGAAAAGAAAAGAGGATTCAAGTTGCTGACATACGGATGATGGGATAGGGTACTGCGGACAACTTTTACAAGCAGCGGCAGCTTTTGCCAGAGAACTTTGTCGAGGCGGCCAAGGCGGCGGGTGTCGAGGGCTTGGAGCTGCGATACCAGGAGGTAATGTTTCAACCCTCTCCCTGTTGAGATTCTTGTGAAATGGCGATGGTATGCTTTCGTGTGGCTGACAATTGCGCGTTGTGTGTGTGTTGTAGGGATATGACCATTCGTACTTTTTCATTTCGACGTTTGGTGAGGATCATGTGAGGCATCATGCTAAGCACCTGGGCTTGTTGTAAAGGTTCAATGGTAAGTTGCGCGGGGGGAATGGGTTTGTTTGCTTGGCTTGTTGTTGGAGTGAAAGAAGCATGGGATATTGGCATTGAGCGGGTGAACGAAGAGGGAAAGGAGACGATGGAGGTGAGCATTGTGAAAGATTGTCATCTATTGTAACAAGAAGAATTGGCTCGGATTTGAATTGCAAATAGCGCCCAAGTCAAAGATTGAACTGAAATTTGAAAACGTACGTTGCAGAAGCTCTTTGCAACGACATCTCTTGAACTGGTATGATTGTCTACCTCATAGGGCCCTTATATCCTCTTGATAATTACGTTCAATATAGGAAGTATACGAGAAATCCTATAACCAGAGACCATGTCGGCTACAATTTCTCTAGCAGCAGACGTCGACCTCTGCCTCCAAGATGTGGTTTCGCAGAACAGAAGTAAAGGTCTCGTCATATCAGTATCCGTGTCGATTCCTTTCGCTCCCTCTCAACAACGCCCGCCCCTAGAAAGCCATGACAACTGATGACCGCAGCAGATATTCCATACAGATAGGTGACCCGCGAATATTCCTCCCTCCCCATCATCGCTTGCTGATAATCATGTATACTCTCAAACCAGAAACGTGTGCGCGCTATCATCAATATTTCCCACCCCAAATAGAAACCCCATATAAAGACCATAATACCATCACTTATCTTTGTACTCTTCTTCTCTCAGTCGGAGCACCGCTCAGCTCAGCTCAGCTCAGCATCCTCTCCATAACAGGGCTGAGAACAAAGCCCGCCGCCTCCTTCTCAGGCGTCTTGGACTTGGTGCTGTCCGCCTCGGCCTCGCGCTTAATCCGCTTGTACGCCAGCTTCTCAAACTGGCTGAGGCTCTTCCACCAGTGCTGCCCGGCCTCGTGCTCCGAGATGCGCTCCAGCAGGTCCGCCGTCTTGAAGCGCACCTCGCGGTCCTTGTGGAAGAGGCCCAGCGCAATGTAGAAGAGGCCCGCCTGCGACTCGGGCGCCACGTCCAGCAGCAGGCAAATCTCCTCGTACGAGTGGATGTGCTTGGCCAGCGTCAGGTAAATGTCCTTGCTCTGCGATGGCGTCAGGCGCTGCATGCGGAGCCGGTCGTGCATGTGCGCGAGGTCCAGCCCCTTGAGCGGGCGCACGGCGTATATTCGTGCGAGGTCCTAACATTTCAGTTGTCAGCCTGATTAACCAAACAAGTCAAGCCTTGAGGGAGACAGGTGAGTGAGTCCTTACCTGGATATAGCTGTAGTAGCTGCGCGTGTTCCGCCATCCCTCGATCCTCGTCACGTTGCCAGCCAGCTCCTTAAACTTTGCAGTGTCGTCCGGCCAGACGTATCCGTGGCCGCTGGCCCCCGGTAGCGCCAGGTCCTGGTCGTGGCCCCCAATGTACAGAGCAGACGTGCTGTACACGCTCTCCTCGAACTGGGCCGCGATCCTCGTAAACTTGTTGACCCAGCCGCGCCACTTGGCCCGGATGACCCGCTCGCCATGCCGGGCGGCGATGCTCCTCAGGATGTCCGACATGAAGGCCGCGTCCCCCGTCAGGTCCTGCGTGTTGTTGGAGACGCCGCTGGCGATGTTGGCGAGGTTGGGGTGCTGCTGCTGGAAGTAAATCAGGCCTTCCGTCACCGGCGCCATCTCAATCTTGCTGCTGATCTTGACGCGGCCGCTGGGCAGGTCGCACAGCACGTCCCACCATTCCGGGTGCAGCTCAAAGGTAGGGTTGGTGACGCCCGCAATGAACCCCGGCACGTTGAGCAGATCGTCCACCTTGGTCAAGTCGGTGTAGGGAAAGGCGTGGCGGGTGAAGCCCCGGAGGATACCGCCGGACACGAGAGCACACGCCGCGAGCACCGCCTCGGCCACGTCGCCCGAGGGCATGTTGTGGCCCAGGAAGATGACCCTCTTCTGCGTCAGGAGCCCGTTGACCAGCACAATGATTGGGTGCGTGTTGACGCCGTTGGTCGTCAGATGCGGGTGCAGCGGGAACGGCTGCGGCGACTTGGCATGGGCCTCTGAGAAGTTCTGGATCAACTTGATGAGCGAGAAGTCGCCCACCGTCTCGGGCATGACCGCCGTTGGCACCTTTATGGGGATGGGGATCCCCTTGTACATGACTTTGCTCTCGAACTCGTGCGTGTCTCGGGCCACGGAATACGTCGACTGCCCCCCCTCGAAATGCGCCTTGGTGCCGGCCCTCGAGATGCCGCCTGTGTACTGCGGGCTCTGGCTCCTCTCGCCAGACCCCTCGGTCGCCGTCTCTGCTCTGTCCTCTGCCATGCGCATCTGGATGATGCGCTCAAACTTCTCCACGAACAGATCCTTGTTGTCGCTCGCTAGCAGCAGGTTCCTCTCGAGGAAGCTGAGCTTGGGCATCAGAGACAGGTCCATCGCATTGACGGAGTCGTACAGCATGGAAAGAGTCTCGGGCACTGGCGATTTAAAGTACTCTTCTAGTGCGAGGAGCAAAAGCGGCTGCACAAGATTATTAGTCTTGATAAGATTAACGCAGGAACAGCATGGCTTACCTTGTAGATGTGCAAAAAGGGATGTCTGGTGCAGATGGCCATGGCCTTGACAATGGCTCCTCGCTTCACAGACTTGTCGTGCTTGGTGTTGACCAAGTTGAGCACGTAGATGAGCGGCGCGCCCTCTTCGCCATCGGGCTCGCCGTCAGAGGACTCGTCATCCGTTAAGTCGTCATCCAAGTCGTCGTCGTCGTCCCTGTCGTCTTCTTCGTCCTCTCTGCCCTCTGCGCCGTCCTCGGGGAGCAGTCCCGCCGCCCTATCCCGCCGTCTCTGTCTTCGAGCTTTCCGTTCGGCCTTTGCCTTCCGCTCTTCGTCTTCGTCCTCGGGCGACGAGTCCTTGTGCAAGAAGAACATGGTCCAATCTTGATTACGCGCGTGCGCCTGGTCCGGAAGCATCAACTCGGCCAGCATGTTCTCGTCCCCGGTGATGGCGACGGGGTATTGGTGCTCCATCACCGGGCCGCGGTCAATGTCAAATGACGCCACCAGGATATACTCGACATGGTTGGCGTAGGATCCGCGAGGATACTGGGCGCGAGGCCTCTTTTGCGAATGCGTATGATCCTCATTCGTCCGCCGCGGTGCAGACAGAGACGAGTGCTGAGAGGATGGTTCGATGGAGGAAGTCTTGGACTTGGAGCTCGGGTCCGACGTCCGGTCTGTCTCGGCCATGGGCGGGTGCGGCGACCTTGATGGGCGCGAGTGGTAGGAGATTTGCGACGGAGTGCGAGATGGAGGGAACGAGGACAGAGACGTCCGGCGATGGTGAGGCAGCGAGACGTTGGAGTTGCTGGCCCCGTTGGAGCGCGAGGCGTAGGGGAGAGCCGCCGCCATTGTTCAATTGCCTCCCCCGCGGATCAATTCGCTGTAGAACCGCTAGACGTTGTACACAAAAGTCGTTGTAGGTCTAGGACTCGTGTCTGTTTGCTTCACGTGTATCTTTCTTCGAGGGTTTCCCTGTCACTTTCAAACGAGATGTCGCCTCGGTCGGGACGAAGTCGGCGCAGGTCCGGATTTGCAGCCCGGTCCTTGCGCAGGAGCAGCTCTGGGACTGCTCTCTGGCTCGAGCGGTCTATGCGTGTCGTCTCTGAGAGGGTCGTCTGCGACGTCTGGTGGTGTTGACACTACCTAGGTAGGTATCTACACCGTCAGTCAGCCGCGGCAGCGCAGCAACGACAGACAAATGGAAAAGCAATGACACAACTAGCGGGCGGTAGAGAAGGAGGCCAATGGACGGATGCGGGAGCCAGAGAGCCTTGGAGGCATCGTCGGCGGCGGTTTGCGACGATTTCTCATGGGCAGACAGTCGAGACAGGGGCATCTTTGTGCCATGGGTGTGGAACTCCGTATTTGCCTTAGTGTCCTAGTGTCACCGAATGAGGAAATGTGGTGTAGGGGCCTCGAGCTTGCGGCGGACCCCTGAAAAGCCTCTGAGACGTCAAGCGGTTACAGCGCCAGTGCCGGCGCTCACAGCGCGTCGCCGGCTCTGGACAACGCCCACTCAGGGCCCCTTCGTGGGCTGCTCTCAGCGCCAAAGCGCCTGGAGCGAACCACCTGGGCAACCTTTGGTGACGCCACTGCCATTGGAGGTCTGTGCTACTATCTGTGGCTGTGGTTGTTTCATCCTTCCTATCTTGCAAACAGCGCCACAGAAACACCAGCCACACCACCTCAGGTTGTCGGGTCAGACAGCATTGATTGTTTACTTTCGCTGTCGCGATCGATATGAGGCCAGATGCGATTGTTGCATCAACTCCCCACCAAGCCAGACCGTCGGCAGCACCCCTCGGACCGGACATCCCCCCAGCATCGTCTGCATTCTGCATCGCCTTGAGCTGCCAGCAACTCATGCGTCATACTGTCATCCATACAGACATACGCACATAGTTGTAATAGGTACTCGTTACATACTGCACCTACATACATACAGACGGCTCCGCTTGCTGCTCGCTGGCCAACCGATTGCGGACGCAGTCCCAGCACAGATCCCTTCCCAGTTGCATCATGGTACGTACGAGCCGCCGCCCCGTTCATTGCCGTCTCGCTTATCTGCTAAACCGCTATTTCTTCTCCGTACCGTCCCAGTCTTTGTCCACAACGTTCAAGCCCTCTCCCCTGGGTTACGGTTCTCCCCCCAGCGTTCGAAACTCGCCGTTCCGCCGGGTCGACTCACCGTCATCGCCCTCGCCGCTCCGACAAATAACGCCCACGAGCTCGCCAACCAAAGCCAGCGCCACCACACCCAGCAGAAGCTCGAGGCTTGCGAGACCAACGACGCCGACCGCCACCGACGAGCAGGACGAAACCGCAGAGCGAAACAAGACACCGGAGATGACGACTCCCACAAGGACATCTCCGCCGTCGTGGAGGGCTACATCGAAGCTGGCAGTGGGCGGCTCTTTGGGCGGTAGCAGCGCCCTTTCACAGCTTCAGCCTACTCAGGTTAGGACATTGAGGGATGGGTTCCAGATTCTGGATCGAGACTGTGACGGGGTCGTCAATAGAGAGGACGTCGCCGACATGCTCGGCCAACTGGGTGCGTTTCTGCCGCGTTTGTTGCTCGAGGCAAAAGGTGCTGGATGGGCCCCCCCAATTACGAGATGCTAACTCCCAGCAAAGGCCTTCCCGCAGGCTCCTCCGACATAGGACGCTTCTTCCCCCCTTCGAAACCACAGACCATGACATTGGCCGCCTTCCTCAACTCGCTGGCAGAGTCCCTGGCGGTGCTGTCGCCCAGCACCGAGCTCTTATCTGCGTTCTCGGCGTTTGACGAGGACGACAGCGGTCAGATTGACTGGGCGGAGCTGAGGGATGCTCTGCTCAACACACCGCCGGAAGCCGGGCAGTCGGCCCTCAGCGCTGCGGAGGTCGACAAGGTGGTTGAGGGGTTCACGGGCCGTCGAGCCTTCAACCGCAACATGAATGCGCACTTATCGGCAAGAAGGGGCGAGGTGTTTAGATATCAGGAGTTTGTCCACTCCATCATGGGTTCCAACGGCGGGTCCGAGGGAGGGTCTCACGACAGAGCCGACGAGTAGTGACGGAGTGGGTTTGGCCTGCTGTCATTCTGCATTCTGCTCACATGGCGATTCGTGCTGGGAGGGGTCTTTGGTTTGTTTTGCGGGTTGACACGAGTGACACGATGCAATTAATACTGGGTGTGCCCACTGGACAGGCGCAGGTACCGGGGCAGGGCCTGGCTTGGCCTGGCTTGGCTCCCATGTGGCCCTGTAAAGGAGGACGACTGGATTCATCGGTCCGGGCTGCGGTTTTGTCTTTTCTGCATGTCTCTCTCTTTTGTTTTTCATCAAGAGTCTTTTTTGCTGCTGTTGTTTCTGCTTCCTTTGGGTATGATACTGCACACGTGTACGAGGTATATGGGATGAGTTACGATCCATGTCTGCATAATTGATATACACATACATAATACTACCTTACCTACCTACCTACCTATCACATACATACCCATCTTGGCATGAGTGACCTTGAACCGATTCCGAGGAGGTCAAGCTCCGTGTGATGGACGCGGTTGAGACTTTGGAAATGATCTGCCAGCCGCCCCGTTGCGTGTATCAGACTAATGAACAAGCTGGTAGGACGAGAGCCAACAATGAAGTTGTCTCTCTGCTCGATTTCGTAATAATATCCCGGTGCAACGAGAGAACTGAGCCTGTAACTTTACTCCATAATATATGTTTCGATGACCGTTCAATCACAGCACCGCAAAGATAAGCCGGCCGTTGAGCATTCGCTGAGCAATGGCGGCGGGGTGACGAAATGAAATTGAATGGAGACCTGGGCGGCAGATTGCAAACACAGAAAACGAAAAAAAAGAGCCCCGGGATGGCCAATGGCACCCGTGAAGCGCGTGCCAGGATGCTGGGATTTCCGGGCGGCTGGGGGGGTTGGGTTGGGAACAAAGGTGCGGAGAAAGGGCGAGGGCCAAGGAGGTTAAGCCTTGTTTTCTCCTTTGGCTGGCGGCAGCCGGGATGTGATGAGCTGTGATTCGAGAGATGAAGTTTACCCTACGCGATGTGTCAAGTGTTTGGCGGATAGGTAGTGAGTGCTGTAGGGAGGTGGGAAGTACCAAAGTATGTACATGCTCGTAGTATGCAGGAGCAGGAGCAGGAGGAGGAGCAGGAGGAGGAGCAGGAGGACGGGGGATAAGCATATAATTTTAGTAGCAGGGCATGGGAGGGAGGTTTCGAGCCGGATATTGCAGCACGGCTCGGTAGGTACATACGTGGTGGTTGCCTTGACAGTCGACTTGGTACGAGTATGGGAGTCTTCCAGCCATTGAACCCCAATCTAGGTCAACACCCTCAAACAGAGACATGCGTGAATCAACAGTCCACTCGTGCGATGCCGTATTCACTCGCAGACACTGATGCAGTTCAGCGCAGTTGAGCACGCTCCCTCCCGGGCCGCCAATCCATGACTAATACCGGCCTCATACCCCAGCCGCCCTCTGGCAGCAGCTGCATCCTCACACAGGCGCTGACCGCGTGCGCAAGTGATGCATTCACCGGCCTGCACGCGAGGGTGGCGCCAGTCCAGGCCTCAGTCGGTTCGCTGGGACTGGGACTTGGCCATCACCCATCATCCACCATCATCGCCTCGGAGCCCTCCATCCATTCACTCCATTCCAGTCCATATCCAACCATCCATCCCATTATCAGACAGCCATCCAATTCTCTGCCGTTCTCCCCCAGCCTCTATAATTTCCATCAACTACAGCACCCGTCACGGCGGGATCGCGCCCCACTGAATCTTCTAGAACCACTAAGCCGCCATCATCCGCTTAACTGCAATCCCCCGATAGCCTCCGCTATCTTTGTCGTCGTCGTCGTCGCCGTCGTCGTCGTCGTGGCAGGTTTGCACTGTATTACCCGATGCTCCTCCGTGCCGCTGTGGCGCGCAAAGATGCTGGCACATAATAATCCAACAGTGCCTCCCATCCGACGCTCAACCCCCCCGGAGACGTCGAGTTGAGTTGAGCGTCGAGTCCACACTGCGTCGACCCCCCGTCCGCGTCGCCCCGAAGTGGCACAAAAGCTGAGTGGCCGGGCTGGAAACCGGGGGTTTGCAGCGCTGTGTTCCGCGGGCACATGTAAATAAACACGGCGAATGGCGGCCTGGAGCTGCATGTGCTTTGGCCCGGCAGCCAATGGCCTGCAGCTCTGCCCGCGCGCTGCAGCGTCGATTGGCCTCTCTGCCCGTCTTGCGTCTCTCTGCAAATGCAAAGGCGACTCGTAATACATACGCGCCCTGCACTGCGTGGCTGGAGCAGAGCGAAAGTGCCTTGCCTTGCCTGTCTGGTCCCGTCTGGTCCTGTCAGGTCTGGTCAGGTCTGGTCTGGTCTGTCTTGGTGGGGAGCCCCCCCAGCGCCAGACGTGCGGCCCGCTTCCCGCGACAGCGCCGTGCCAAAAACGCAGCTCGCGGCGCAGCGTCAAGGTGGCAGCACCGCGGCCCAGCACAGTGGCGAGGGAGCGTGCCTGGACGGTGTGCCCGGCGCTGCCTGTTGGGGCGTTAGTTGCCTGTGAGGTCGCCTGTGATCTGGGCTGGTTGGCCCCGGTACAGGTACCGCCGCGCGCAGCTGATGCCGCTGACGTCTGCTGCCTGTGCGCCCTGCGGCCGTCGTAGTTGTACCTCCCTCCTACCTGCGGCTGCCACAGCCCTTTCGTTCGCACCATCGTCACTGACTGGCCCGGTCCCATGGATGTTCAGGTTCTGCTTCCCACCTTGAACCTTGGCTCGCCACGGCTCCGGCCATTGAAATCTCTGACGTGCCCCCCAGCTCATCAAAAAGCGCCTTTGTCCCTTTTGCTGATTGCGTCCTGGCGGAACGTGAACCTGGGTTGGAGACTAAAAGCCTACTACTACGTCTTGATTGATACCTACCTTTCCATACCTTGCCTTGCCTTGCCTTGCCCTGCCCTGCCCTGCCTTGCCTCGCCTTACATTACCTCCGTTACCTTGCCTGCCACCTACCTACCAACCTGCTACCTACCTCTACCTGCTACCTACACCTTCATCCTACTTCACTAGCCTTCACAGTGCCGCTGATAAATCGAGGGCGGGCTTGTCGCTTGGCTCTTGCTCCTGGTCCGACCTCGTCAAAAGGTCCCAAAGCCGCAGCGCATCGCATCGCGCACTCTTCCCACTCCATCCTTCCCACCTCCGCCAGCCTCTGCCAGGAAAAAAAACCCGGGAAAACGGCCATTTCTACAGTGAACGGCCACAGTGCACCGACAGCCTGTGGCGCCTAGCCCCCTAGACCGGCCGGCACTGGACTTTCTTAATGCCCGTTTATTGCCTAGGCCTCTGTACCCTCCTCTGCAAGTCCCCAATATCCGGCATAACCTTGTGTCGGGACAGCCTTTTTCCTCCCCCAAGATTTCGACAGCCTTGGCCCCAATGAAGTTCTTCGGCGGCAATAAGAAACCGGCCTCGAAGAAGAACGCTTCTGCTTCCAGCGCCAGTGTCGACGACGACGCTCCAGGTCCTCATCCGCACCCGCAGAGCGCCAGCGTCCCCTCCGACCCCCCGCCGGCCTACTCCTCCACCTCGCCGTCGCCTACCAAGCGCTCCTCGCGGCCCGTCTCCCACCACAAGGACGCAAACGCTGCCGCAAAGCCGCCCTCGTCGTCGAGGTCCTCCCGCCTGTCGCGCCACTCGACCGACGCAGGCTTCTCGTCGTCGCGCCGCAGCAGCAAGTACGACTCGGACATCCATCCGCTGAATCTGCCCCCTGAGGAGCGAGAGCGCAAGCGCCTCTCTGCCCTGTCAGCCAAGATGGACGTCGACCCCCAGCCCGTCAACGGCGCTGCATCACCGCCGCCGCCTCCCAAGGCCGCCTCGAATCCCTCGGCCCAGAAGAACTTTCCTGTGCCCATCCCGAACGGCAGCGTGCCCAACGGCAACGGCAACGGCAACGATGAGGCCCCAGCGCCGCCGCCGCACAAGTCCAACCCGTCCAGCCCTGTGCCCTCGCCCATTGAGGATGCCGAGTCTTACAAGACGGCCGGAAACCGCTTCTTCAAGGAGAAGAATTACGCAAAGGCCATTGAGCAGTACAGCAAAGGTATGACGCAGTTGGATCCAAGGACGTCGATGACTATTCTTTTCATGGTCTTTCCTATATTACTGCAATTTTTTTTTTTCATCGCCTCAAACCTTGTCGCTCCGCTCTCTCACCATCGCTGCTCTGTTTTTTCTTCCTTTCTTTCTTTTTTTTTCTTTCCTTGCCTCATCTTGTTGCGAAGAGGAAAGACAACGATAAAATAAACTGGGCTAACTTTTTTTTTTTTTTGTTTTCTCTGTCGTGCAGCTGTGGATCTGTTCCCCAACTCGGCAACATATCTGAGCAACCGAGCGGCTGCCTACATGTCAAATGGCCAGTATGAGGCTGCCCTGGATGACTGCAGCCGCGCCGCGGAACTCGACCCTAACAACGCAAAGGTGCTGCTGCGCCTAGCAAGGATCTACACCGGTCTGGGAAGGCCGGACGAGGCCATGGCCATCTTCTCCCGCATCGTCCCGCCGCCCTCTGCTAAGGACATGGCCCCCACCCGGGAGATGCTGCACCACATCAAGTCGGCCAAGGACACGCTCCAGCGAGGCTCCGCCATGTCCATGGTGCTACACGCGCTGGATCAGGCCGAGCGCGGCCTCGGCCCCGGCGTGAGCAAGCCCCGTAAGTGGCAGCTGATGCGAGGCGAGGCGTACCTCAAGATGGGCCGCGAAAACTCCCTGGGAGAGGCCCAGGGCATTGCCATGTCGCTGCTCCGCCAGAACAACCAGGACCCCGAGGCTCTGGTTCTGCGTGGCCGCGTGCTCTACGGCCAGGGCGAGAATGAAAAGGCCATCCAGTACTTCCGAATGGCTTGCAGCTGCGACCCCGACTTCCGGGATGCCGTCAAGTGGCTGAGGATCGTCCAGAAGCTTGACCGCATGAAGGAGGAGGGCAACGCCGAGTTCAAGGCGGGCCGATGGCAGGCCGCCATCCAGAAATACAGTGACGCCCTGGACATTGACCCCTCAAACAAGAGCATGAACGCCAAGCTGCTGCAGAACCGTGCCCAGTGCAAGATCAAGCTGCACCAGTACGAAGAGGCCATTGCCGACTCGGACCGGGCCGTCAGCCTAGACCCCAGCTACACAAAGGCACGCAAGACAAAGGCCAATGCCCTCGGAAAGACTGGCAAATGGGAAGAATGCGTCCGCGAGTGGAAGGCCATTCAGGAGCTTGACCCGACCGACAACTCTGTCCGCCAGGAGATTCGCAGAGCAGAGCTTGAGATGAAGAAGAGCTTGCGGAAGGACTACTACAAGATTATGGGATTGGATAAGAATGCCGATGCCAACGACATCAAGAAAGCGTACCGCAAGATGGCCGTCAAGCTGCATCCTGACAAGAACCCAGGCGACGCTGAAGCTGAAGCCAAGTTCAAGGATATGCAGGAAGCCTACGAGACGCTAAGCGACCCTCAGTACGTTTTTGCCTCTTCCGAATTTTGAGAGATGAAGATGTGCTAACACGCCTTGCAGAAAGAGAGCCCGCTATGACAATGGCGACGACCTCATCGACCCGGCTGACATGTTCAGCTCCGGCGGCATGGGCGGTGGCATGGGTGGCATCGACCCGGAGATCCTCTTCAGCATGATGGGCAATCAGGGTGGTTTCGGAGGCGGCGGATTCCGTTCTGGAGGCTTCCCCGGTGGTGCTGGCGGCTTCCCCGGCGCCGGAGGCTTCCCCGGAGGGGCGAGCTTCAACTTTGGCGGTGCCGGCGCTGGTGGTCGCCAGCGAGGCGGCTTCCCTGGTGCCGGTGCTGGGTTCCCCTATTCGTGACCAGCCGACTGGGAAGAAACAGAGACGGAGGGTGACGACGATGACGACGACGAAGGAGAGGATGACGAGGAAGATGGCGCGTCTGACGCCGAACCTCACTACCCCTTCGTCGACGGTTGGTCGGCCGGCGCACCACGCAGCAAGCTTCAGGACGACTTTCAACGTCGTCGAGAGAATCGCAATGAGCTGGTGGAAACCTTTCGACGCTACGGGATGTGGCTTTTGGCGGCAGTTGTCTTGCTGCCTCCGCAGCTGGTTGCGCTGGGTTTGGTGGTGACGGCATTTGTATACTTGTGCATGAGACGAGACGGCCGGCAGCGCCGTCACGGCCGACGCAACACTGCAGGATAGACATTGGGATCTCTTTTTCTTTTTCTTTTTTTCTTCTTCTTTTTTTCCCGCTTTTCTTCTTTCCTCTCCTTTCACATTTCTGTTCTTTGAAGGTCTTTTTTCGATGATTTTTCTCCTTAAACCAGAAAAAAAGACGCGCATCCATCCTCATTGCTATGGCGTTTTTGGGACATCTTAGAAAGAGAACCGGGGAAAGACGAAGCATACTTTGTCGATCTTTTTGATTCGTGTTTGCGTCAAAACCAATGACTGTCTCACAGAAGGGCAAAAGAGGAACAGAATATCCCTTTTTGGTCAGAATCGGGTGTGTGTGTGTGCGCGCGCGCGCGCGTGTGTGTGAAGAGACGGCGAAGGAGGGGGGTTGAGTGGTAGGGGATATGTAGTCCTCTACCGGCTCTTTTTCTTTCTTTCCTTTTTCTTTTCTAGGGCTGAATGGATGATACGTTTGATGTTGGGCATGACGCGTCTTTTCAAAGAGGAAAAGACGGAAAGGGGAGAAGAGAGAGGGAGGGGAGAAAAGACAGAGAGAGGGAGACTGGCCTTGGGATCTGGGGTGGAAGTGAAGGTAGTTGCAATGGCTCTTTATCTAGATCAACGCGGGTGACCCGTCTTTTCCACAATCCACTGTCAGATACCCTTGTGTCTCTTTGCTCTTGATTACTCTATCATTTGCTTGCTCTTTGATGAACTCGATCAAGGGAGTTGTACGTATGGTTTGGATGTGTGAGGGACTCAATGCCCGTAACTGTGAAAGAGCTCGGGGAGCAGAGAAAGAAGGGAACTAGATAAGAAGAGATGAGAAGATAACGCAAGCCGCAGCATACTTGCTTCGCTGCTTGAGTAGGTCTGGGTATCATTATTTTGCCCTCTCAGAAACGCCAGGTTACCAAAATTACCGTCCATGTCTAATCAGAAACCCCAAAAAAGAAAGAAACACAAGCACAAAGCCCCCCTCCCAGGCAAACAAAAACAATCGTCAATGCCGCGTACCCCTTCCTCTGTCCCCCTACTGCCCACCCGCATTCCCCATCGGCGCAGGCCTCGCCGGCAAACTACTATTGCCCGCCGCCGCCGCCGCCGCCGTCCCCGTGGCATTAGCTGTAGAAGAAGCAGAAGCAGAAGCAGAAGCAGAAGCCGGAGCAGCAGTAATAGTGCTGGTAGTAGTAGTAGTAGTAGTAGTAGTAGCAGCAGCATTCGCAGCCCTGGCGACGATGGCGGGATCGCCCCCGGTGGCCTCGAGCACGCGGCGGACGTCGTCGCGCAGCTCGGGCATGGCGGCGCTCATCTGCTCGGCGAGGACGTCCCTGAAGGAGGCGAAGGCGCTGACCTTGCCGCGCATGAGCTGGTTGCCCCTGCGGACGAGCTCGACGAACTCGCGCGTGTAAATGTCCGGGTTGCGGCCGTTTTCGACGTATTCGAGGAGTTCGGGGGGCACGGAGGGGAGGTGGTTCGGGGGCGAGGCGGCGGCGTGGACGTTTTGGAGGGAGGTGGAGAGGGCTTTTCTATTTATTTTACGAGTGACTTGGGGTTAGTTGGATATGATTTGATGGTTGAGGTGATGAGGAGGAAGGGAGAGGAGGAGGAGAAAGGGAGAGGAGGAGGAGAAAGGGAGAGGAGAGGGAAGAAGATACATTTCATTCGAGAGGACTTCTTTGCTGGGGCGGCCCATGGAGTCGTATGTTGAGACTTGGACCATGATGCGGTAGAAGTCGTTGATGACGTCCTTGAGCTGTTCTATCGGAGAGTTAGTTACTCGTGTTTTATTCGATACAGGTAGAGGCCGTCGTACGCTCGATTGCATCGTGGTCTACTCTGTCGACGGGCGCCATTGTTGCGGAGGAGGAGTTGAGGTTGGAGTGGGAAGAACGGGTTTTTGGTGGATTTGGGGAGAGTCTTGCAGTTGCAGTGCAGTGGTTTGCAGGTGGTACTAGGTACCTAGTAGAGGTATGTCATTTTTGGGGCTTGTGGAGGTGGGGACGTCGATTCGGCTTGAGCTGTGCGGGCCAAGTTGTATCTACCTACTACAAGTGCAACGCGAAAGTGACTTGATGGTTGACTAGTACCTAGGTAGTGCCAACCTTACCTATATGTCGTCTGAATTTCAAATAATAATTGGATGACGATTATATAACTGAATAGTGAGCACAGAAGAGATTCATTCGATGGTTGGCATTGCACGCTGGCTGAGCTGAAACCAGTATACTCGCGGTATTGGACTGTTAAGACTGGTACCTCGGGAACCAGTATCATCTTGACACCGCCTGCTCTTATGCTGGGCTACCATCCTTGTGAACCGGCAGAACTACCGTACCAACCTACCTACCTACTTACTGATGAGGTTCAGAATATCTTCTTGTTCAAGTCTTGCTCATTCAACACCGAGCTTCGGAAACTTCCTCTTCCTCACGATCACGCTCGAGATCCTCAGTCAGCGCTGACTCGCGCTCAACCCCGACAGCAGCACCCTCTCCCGCTGCTCCAATCGTTGCTCCATCGTCGATGATCTGCATATGGGATTATGACAAAGATGGTCTGAAATCGATATACTAGTATAAAGCCGTGTCTCAGCACTTCCCTCAAGGCGAATCAGCTCGCCTACCAGAAAGCAATAGCTTCACAAGGGAGCAACGTACGTACGTGGTCCAAGAGTGTTAGCGACGGCATGAGTAAGAAGGCTAACAGTGCATTAGTCGATCTGCCTCGGCAACCCAGACGATCCATGTCCCAGGGAGATCACAACACGTGTGTCAACAAGCTACTACCAGTCAGCGCCTACAAAGTAATACCATACCACTACGGCCATGACAGCAGCGATGGAGCATGGGCCTGCCTCCTGGCAACCTGCCCCAGCAAGGAGCTCTTACTCCGAATACGCCTCTCGCGCTCTGCCAAAGTAGAGACGGCAATGGTCAGCTGGTTACGGTAGAGAGCGCCTCACACTACCTACGCAATGAAGCCGTGTCTCAGGAGGATTATGACGCTGGGGACCTGGCACGACAACACCCATGCTCGTCCTACGTGACACGCAATGTACGGCCCACCCCATATCCAATCTCACAAAACAGGTGTGCCGCCCTCCAAGCGAGCATGCTCTTCCAAATTCATCAGTTATCGGCAAACTGGTACAGCACTGTACCAGAGTCCCGTCTTGAACCTTGACTCATGGTTTCTTCCTCTGGACTCAGCCTGAGAAACTTGTCACAGCTGTGACCATGCTCGGCTGCGTCCTGCGGCTTGTCCAAGTGATAGCGCGGTGCAGAACTAGCGCAGGGGGGGAAGTGCTTCTGGAATCCTGGCCCTGTTGTCACCTACGAGAGCGGCATTTGGGAAAGACATGTTTGCTTGCTACTTAACTCCCAGCAGCTGACTGGATGGACGGGACGAGATGTCCATTGTTGGCGCAAGGAGCCGGCAGCTGAATAGCCTCTCTAGCGTGGTGCGTCTCAATACTCAGGCTCTCCCATTCTATCCACGAATCCACGACGGTCTGAAAGGCTGAACCCGGGATCCTTGTTTGCTCTTCCCAACTAGTATTTCTTAAGGGCCGTGCGGTCTACCACTTACAAGTGAGTACATCTAATACAGCGATAGTAATCTATACGAAATACGAGCTGTGGTGCGAACAAAGACGATCAACAGAGCCATCTCATATTTGGGACATCGAAGCCCGTGTTCCTGTCTGATGGGTCCGATGGAAGGCGTTCAGTTTTGTGTCACAAGCCGAAAATGACTGCCAGTGACATGGGCCGGACTAGCAGGGACCGACGCATGGATGCCGGGATGACTTGGAGCGATCCGCACCGCCGCTGAACCACTGCTCTCACCTGCCTTGCTTGTTTGTCTGCGGCCTAGATGGCTAGCTCTACGACTGTAATATCAAGATGCATGAGGACTGGGCCAATGGACTCCGCCGTCAGGTAGAGACAGAGCGTGAGAAAAGAGATGAGGTGGGAGCTGAGCCGGGCGGCATGCAACCCACCCGGTATTGGGGTTCTGGGCCTGGATAGGACCTCGTGTGAGTGCACATCGTCAACCCTGTCTGCCTGTCTCAGTCTCGGAAAAGGCAATGAGCTTGTCGACATGGTTGTAGCATGCCATGGTCTTCCACCGCCGGCCTGGCTTGCTCAAGAACTCTCTCCTCTTCTTCCTTCTCTTCCTCCTCCTTTTTGATCCGCATAACCACTCTCTGGCACTATCTATACATAGCCTCCCATTCAGCTCATTGGAGATACACACGTTCAATAGCCAGTAGCAGTTTGAAGCACCTCCATCCGCCATACCATCATCTACAGAGCCGCGTCGGACAACGAAGGTAGGTGCAGTACTCTACACAAGACACGGAACCCCCCCCCTTTCTCGGTCGTTGAAGCTGACATAGTCTAGCCAGAAACGCGGCATCGCGGGGATCCGTTCTCGTTCTATACAGTGCAACATGGCACCAAACGCAATAGAAACAGCGGCTCCCATTGCCCCAGCCCCTGCCTCGGAGTCGGAGTTTGAATTCGTCGTTGGAGATCGGCCGGACCAGCTCAAAGCCGGATCCAACCCAAAGCTACGATCGCATCTGTCCAAACGGGGTTGGAAGGTCTACCTACTACAGCACAATGCTGCAGCCGGATCCTCGTCTTCCTCTTCTCCCGCTGATGAAGCAACTCGGCAGCGCGAGGACAGGTCTAGGCGGAAGAAGCGCAGGCGCCTCCAGCATACCATCACCTGGGACGTGCGAGGGCCTCACGATGCCGAATTTCCAGGAATGGCAACTGCAACGAACAATAATAGTTTGATCCAGGCCATGATTCATGCAACTGCCGTGCAGCCGTTTGCAATCGAATACCAACTGGGAGGCGGCCGCGTTGATCCCTTTAGATCATATCCTACGCCATGGCGGCCGTATATCCCCCATCTGGTCGACCACTGTAAGTGTTCACCCAGAGACAGATCCATCCAGGCAGTCATATTGCCCTGTTGTTCGTTCACAAGACAGAAGCAATGCTAACGCGTCTGACGTAGACATCATTCACATGGCCGTCGACATCCCCGAACTCGACGAGCCTGGCAAAAAGGGCCTCCTCCGAAGCCGCTGGTTCCGGCTCGCCACGACCGAAATCTCCACCTTCCAAGTCGTCCTGCTGCTCTCTGCCGGCAACTACATCTCGGTCAAGGGCGGTATAGCCGCCGAGGCCGGCTTCAACATGGACCAGCTCAGGATCGACGCCCTCAACTCCATCGGCATGGCCATGGACCTGCCCAACAACGCAAGCGACTCCATCATCGGCGCGGTGGCCAAGATGGCCAGCTTCGAGGCCATGCACGGGGACCTGGACTGCTTCCAGCTGCACATGAACGCCGCGAGGAGGTTGGTGGACATGAGAGGCGGCCTGCACAATCTGGGCCTCGGGGGCCTGTTGCGGAGAATGCTCATTTGGATCGATTTGAACGGCGGACACTTGATGAATACGGAGCGGTGGTTCCCCGGGCAGACGTTTGCTGGAAGTGAGGATGAGGTTGAGGTGGAACCGAACCCGGAGAGGTTCATTGCCATGTGAACAGAGCCTTTTCTCTGCTTCTTGCCGCATTCTTATGTCCCTTTTTTCGTTGGCATCATTCCTTTTCTACTTCTGATAAGGTTGAGCGTCGTTTTTTAAAGAGCAATCCTGGTAAGGACCCCAGACTAATGGTTATTATAAGTGTGTTTATATGGGAATGGACCGTCCACTAGAATAGCACAATAGAAACCCTTTTCTTTCTTTGATCCTAAGAGGTACTTTTTGTATCCCATCACTCTCCTCGCTTGATGGCTGAAACGTTGACACTGCTTTCCTCCACTCAATGGCTGAAACGTTGACACTGCTTTCCCTCCATTGAGAGGGAGTCGAACAACAAAACAATCTTTTTAGTGTACACAAACGCAAGAAGCGAACCAAGCAGAACAAAAGGGAAATGCTCAAAGTAAGGCTGCAAGCCCAGTGGGCAAAAGGAAAACACAAAATTGGTATCGATCCAGAATGAAAACGCTCGTTGCTGTCTTTTTCCCCCTCCATTACAGTATCCCTCACTTCATTTTCTTTTGCTTCTGTGTCTCCGTGGTGACAGTTATCTTTCTCTCCTATTCACCATCCAACAAAACGCCTCAATGCCTTTCCCCCTCTTGAGATAATCCTCATACGAGGACATGATCAACGCCTGGAAAACGTCTGCGAGGCATCAACAAAGAGCGTCGCCAAAAGCAAAACGGCATTGAACCCAGCCATCATGTAAAACGGCGTCCCCGTCGAGACCTTGTCAAACAGCAGACCCCCAAGCTTCGTCAGCAGCAGGATGGCCGCGCCGCCGCACAGCGAGTAGACGCCCGCGATGGATCCCTTGAGCCTCAGCCGCGACACAAACTCCTCCTCGGTGGCGATGCGGATCAGCGGCTCCGACTCGCCCGACTCGTCCTCGTCGGGCGCGAGGAAGTGCTGCCGGCGGGCGTTGCGCGGAATCTCCACGGCCAGGATGCCCTTGCCCAGGGAGCCCAGGCTGCACACGATGGAGCCAATCTGGCTGATGCCGAGGAGCGTCACGACGAAGAAGACGGCGGGGCTGCCGCCCCTGCCGTCGACGTCGCCGATCTCAGGGCTCGGGAGCCGCGGGAAGATGATGTAGCCCACGATGCCGAAGACGGTGGCCGCGACGACGGGGTAGTTGACCCTGCCCGGGTGGCGCGACAGGTAGCCGAACACGGGGGCGCAGAGCAGGCCCATGAGCTGTGCCACGCCGGTCAGGATGGAGGACAGGACGTATGCCTGGCGGCACTCCTTCTTGAGCTCCGGCGAGGGGTCGTTGGGCGAGCCCTGGCAGAATCCGTTGCCGATGAAAAAGGTGTTGATGTAGAGGGGGACAAAGAGTGAGATGGCGACTGTGGATGCTCTGGCAACGAAGCCGCCGAGGTAGCCCAGGGCGATCCGTGAGTCGGTAAAGCCAAGGAGTATGGAGTCCATCATCAAGTGAAGATAAGGAATCACCTTCATCATATGTCAGTAGACAAACAAAAGAGTCTCCTTCTTAGTTTTCATACCTTATTTTGCGTTCTCCCGGTGTAAGCATATCCATCGCTGGATGAGCCCTTGAATCCGAGAAGCAGTCTCCATCCTTTGCCCTCCTCTCCCTGGACGTTGCGCAGCCCAAAGAATACAAAGACAGCAACAAGCAGCGCGACGGCGCCGACAACGTAGTAGCTGTACGTCACGGCCTCTCCGGGTGTGACGTTTTCGATTTCGCCAAACTTAGCGGGCAGGGGCAGAAAGCACGACAGCGCCAGCAACGCGCCGCAGCCGGTGAAGAGGCCGACATAGCCCGCCAGCACAGACGACTTGCCCGACCGTCCCTGAGGGTCTACGCCCGCTGAGATTGGCCGCCCCTCGCTAGAGAGTGATCTCGAGTACATCTCGGGCGTGATGGTGGCTTCAGACTCGACGGAATAAGCAGCGCTCAGGCGCGCGCTCGAGAGGCTGTTGCGGGCGGCCCTGGCCCTTTCCAGAGCGCTGTTGCGCAGCTCCTCGTCTTCGTCCGTCAGTGAAGGGAGGATGGCGGTCACCATTGTGGCCCTGTAATTCCCAATATACGTTAGCTGATAAGCTTCATGATATTCAGATGCGTCTGTTCCTCCAAGCCGTCCACACTAGATTCAGATGAAACAGCACATACGTAGCCGATGCTCCAAGCGCAAAGAGGATCCTGGCCAGCAGAAGCTGCGGATACACATTGCTGGCCTGCACAAACACCACCAGCGACAGCCCTACAATCAGGTACCCGATCGTGGCCACCCATCGCACACCCAATCGATCCGACACGAGGCCCCAGGCCGGACAGGCGATGAGGGCGACGATCTCGTCTGCGAAGCCCAGCGTGCCGACGACGTCGCCCACGTTCTTCTTCTGCCCTATCAGGTCGGTGATGACAAAGGAAACGGAGCTGTTGAGAAAGACGAGGAAGGAGATGGAGAAGAGGGAGATGCCGAGCAGGTAAGTCGCGGCCTGCGTGGGAGTCGTCGAGGCCGCAAAGGGCAGATATCGCTGGAAGGCGGACGGCATGTTGATGCCTGTTTAGGTAGGTATTCGAGTCTGCTGCGTGTCGCGGCGTGCAGTGTCCCCTCTGTACTGGCTGTGTCAAGGATGCAAATCAAGGTTGGCGTCGCTCTGTTGGAAGTATCGCGAACCGGCAATGCTATCGGATGCGATCCAGCAAGAAGACGACCTCTGGAAGAGACGCTGCGAGAAGTCACATGGCGGTGCGAATGCGCAAGAGACGAGACGTCAAGAAAGGGAACAGAAAGAATCCGGTGATAAAGACTGTGTATTCAAAGTGAAGACGAGGAGTCGAGAAAGGAAAAAGGCCCGCCGTTTTGGGTTTCCGTGTTGTTGTTTTTTTCGTTTACGTTTGTCTAGGTAGTCTGACGATGACGGACTTGAGAGCTTCTTAGTGCTGGGAGCTCGGCGTTGAAGAGAGCGGCTCAGCCAATGGGAGGGCGCGTTGGGCGGGCAGAGGTATCTGGGAGGTATTTGATATCCCTGGTCGCTTCATCACAGTTGATCACATGGAGAGACGCGCCTGCAGATGGAGCATTGAGTTGGACTAGCAAAGGCTGTTGGAAATGGCATTGGCCCGTGGCTCTATTCCTGCATTGCTAGTCACCTGCGACATGAGCTGCAAGTGGGCAACTGGTGCATTGGTATGTCACTGCGAATGAAGCTTCAGATATCGACCACTGGCACTCACATGAGGCCGAGGCCGGGGGGTACATGCTCGCGACACGCCATAGTACCTTACCATCAGCTTGAGGTACCCAGACGAATGGGTCCAGGTCTTCCTTGAGATGTCCTGGCTACATGTAACGGAGCTTTACCTACCTCTGTGGCGCCCATGATACCGATAGTTCAAGAAGTTCGAGTCAAGTCAGTCAAGAGGAACGCCTTGTTGCTTTTATTTGATCCAAGGATTGTTGTTGGTTGGTGGACTTGGGCATGGCAGAATGAATGGAACGCGGCTGTACCGTTGTATCAAGTACATGGGGTAGGAAGCAAACAGGTATAACAACAGAGACACGGATACTAGGAGAACAGGCGACACAGAAGGACGCTGTCGTCTGATATCGATGACTGGAAGTTTCCAGCTCGGCAGATGTCCCAAGACTAACTCTATCAACGTCAGAACTGCAGGCGGCATGAGGTAGACGACAAAGTCATGTATGTAATATGCGGAGTGCAAGCTCCGTCAGTCCTCTTTTCCTCCGTGCCGCCAATCCAGAATACAAGGTACCTTGGAACAACAGCGGATCATCTAAAATCCGCACAACTCGGAACCCAGCTTATCTTATCGCTCCGCTGAGATCGCCAAAGGAAGGTTAATTGCTTGGGCGTGTCGATGCGCGTTCCCAACAGACAAGAAGATGACGAGTACACCATAACCTCTTGCGCTGCCATTTCTGCCTCCGGAAGTTGCGCAACTCTTGTCTGCCGCCTATCATTGACATCAAGGGAGATTCACCGTCAAGATGGTCGGCAAAGTCTCCGAGAGAGTGCTCCTCAGGGAGGGTACGTGAAGACGCCTCCGGTTGCGCATCACTGCATCTCCGTTCTTCTCGTCAATTGACCACCAGATACTGACGCTGATATTGAAACCGCACAGGGCTGGAGAGGACCGACAATGGCATGAAACTGACATCGTGGCCTGATGTCACCCCCATCAACCAGAAGAACTACTACACGTGAGTTCCGACGGCGATTCTGGTAGCTAATGATGCTGGGCGACTGACACAAGAGGCAGAGACTATATGAAGCGGGACGACCAGGTCCTGGCTCTGCGACTCCAGAACGATGCAAACCGCGACAGATTGGTGCAGAGCGCCCGAGATCGCGACCGGGCTCTTTCGAAGCCTGTCAACGGCGAGCTCCCCCTACCACTGCCAGACCTCGGCGACGACGATGGGGCTGCCACTCCCTCGGGCGGCATGGACCCATCCAGGGTGATTGTCATCCACCCCGGAAGCCAGAACCTACGTATTGGCTTTGCGAGCGACGCACTTCCCAAGACCATTCCCGCTGTATTGGCGACCAAGTTCCCCCAGACCGAGTCGGAGATGTACGAAGCCCTCCCTCGACGTCAGTTCGAGGCAAAGACCGTCGACCAACAATACGGAGAGGAATGGTCCAAGAAATACCAGAAGATGTGCAACGACCTCAAGGTCGAAATGCGCGCCAACAAGCGAAAAGTACTGCCCAACTCCAAGGAGCTGGTCCAGACCTTCAACCGCCGTACGGAACCCGAGATTATTCAGAGGCACAACGACGTGCTGGAGGTTGAATGGACAGATATAAGCAAGCTGGACGACCCAGATTCACCGGCATCTTGCTTTATTGGATACGAAGCGCTGCGCGTTCCTGACGATTCAAATCCCAAATTCAAGTTGTGGTGGCCCATGCAACACGGATACTGGAACGAGGATGGGTACACAAGCCAAGAGCACCTGTTTGACGATTTCGAAACGCTGCTAGACAAGGCCCTACGCCAAGAGCTCGGGCTCAAAACAAACAGCGAGTGGCAGCAGTACAGCTGTGTTTTCGTCATTCCCGACCTCTACGACAAGAAGTATGTGGAGCAAGTCCTGCTCTCTTGCATGACATGGTTCGAGTTCAGTAGAGTATGCTTCATCCAGGAAAGCATGGCAGCCACTTTCGGCGCCGGATACACGCAAGCCTGCGTCGTCGACGTCGGCGCCCAGAAGACTGCAGTCACCTGTGTCGAAGACGGGCTTTGTATCGAGGACTCGAGAATCAACCTCAAGTATGGCGGATACGACATTACGGAAACGTTCATCAAGATGATGCTCTACGACAACTTTCCCTATCAGGAGATTAACCTGCGGAGGAGATATGACTTCTTGCTGGCCGAAGAGCTCAAGTGGAAGCACTGCACCATGTCTCAGGCCAACATATCGGTGCAGCTCTACAACTTCCACGTCCGAGCGCCGAATCAGCCGACGCGTAAGTATGCCTTCAAGACGTACGACGAGGTCATTCTCGCGCCAATGGGTGTCTTTGAGCCCTCAATCTTCGACAACAGCACAAAGCTCCGGGGACGAAGGAAACTGGTGGAGCGTTCCTACAACGCATACGACGTAGATATTCCTGACGATCCCACATCTGCCGCACAGCTTGCGATACTTGCTCTGGTCAAGCCATCGCTCACGGCCAACACAAATGGCTTCTCCCAGTCGCAGCCCGAAGTGTCGACGCCCAGCAAGGAAAAGTCACAGCCGTTTAACTTTCTTGGTAAGAGCGAAACAGCGAGCGGGACGCCCATGGCATCGCATGCCGGATCGCCGGCACCCGAGGGTAACGGCACTCCGGCCCCGTTCATCTTTGGAGCCAACAAGGACGGCGTCAACGGCGATAGCCCTGCTCCGGGCAGCATTCGAGCCGCCGGCACACCGATTCCAGGGCAGTCTCAAAGCACCCAGCCGCCTCCGGGGATCTTTGTCGAACCAGCGCGCGGCGCCAAAGAAATCGCAGCGGAACGAGACGAGGTGCTGCCCCTGGCACCGCTGGACATTGCCATTCTGACAAGCATTCACAACGCCGCTAAGGGCGACGACAAGAAGGTCCGCGACCTACTGGGCAGTATCATGGTTGTCGGCGGCGGAGCCAAGATCCCACAATTCACCGTCGTTTTGGAGGAGAAGCTGAAGGCGTTGAAGCCCGAGCTCAGCGAGAGGATACTTGTCAGTCGCAGCGCCAGGGATATGGACGAGCAGGTTGTGACCTGGAAGGGGGCGAGTGTCTTTGCCAAGCTGCCGACCAATGATTCGTGGATCACGCCGTTCGAGTTTGAGAGACTCGGCGCGCGTACGCTGCACCACAAGGTGCTCTGGGCGTGGTAGATGTTGGTTGATATTTGCATAAACCTCGGCACCAGGGCCTGTCTGGGCGCGAGGACGGGCACGATAACGAGAGGGAGCATTGGAGTTTATTGGTCTGCTACTAAGGATATGGGAGATCTGGGCTATTTTCGTAAGCAGGATGTATCGCTTGTGCCGATTGGCAACTTGCTATAATAGCGGAGCAGAATGGGAGTTATAGAGCTTAAGAGGACATCTACCTTCTTACAGTCGAGCACCTCATGGTCCTCTCGCCAGGCGTTGTTGCCCATCTGTTGCCTCATCACCAAGCATTGGCCCATTGAACACACGACCATGCGTCCTTCATCTTATAATAGAAGCTGGTCATCGCTATTGATGCCATTGGAGAAGTCGTTCACATGCGACCAAGGCCAGCTAGCAGCAAACACGACCCCATGATGCACCTGTATAAGTGTGGGGGAGACGCTAGCAACATGCATCAGTAGTAGGTAGTAGCTGAGGGAGGAGTCGAGCTGCTAGCGATTATTTTGGAGCTACATCTGAGGAGACTGAGGCGAGTCTACACGATGCTTCTCGGGCTATCAGATTTTGCTATCCTTGTCAGCTTGGAAACTAAGGTCCATTCAGGTATCCTGGTATGATGTTTTTGGCGACCCAAGGAGGAGAAGACAATTGATTTAACCGCTTGATAAACGGCATACCTTATTGATACAGGTATCAGATAGATATAGAGGCACTCAAAGTGACACCCACCCCCTTGGACGAATATTCAACGAGGGCTGTTCCCGTGACTGCTTCTGTGACACAAACATTCGGTGAGTCTGGATGCAAGGCTCGGCCAATGGGGGGAAAGCCTGCAGGATTTGAGAAGGGGCCTCGATAGATTTCCTGCGCGAATAGAGTAAGATGGTTGTGTTGATTATGTGTAATCATTGGCTCGATGGGATGGGAAGCAAGGGAGGATGTGTTTGTCTTGGTCGAAATCTAGTAGTAGTATGTATGTAAGTGGGCAAATGCATCCCTCGCCAAAATTGGGCCTGAATGAATGCAGGTCTCCATTGTCTCTGTCATTGAGTGGGATAATACTACCTTACTATATGATGGGTAGTAGAACTACTACTACTACTACTACTACTACTATACTATAGACTTGATACCTAGACGCAATCGAGTGCCCAAAGCAGATGAGCTCAACCGACGACGTCTCGCTTGATGCTCAAACCAGCACCTAGCCGTCCTAGCCGTGCATGGAGGTTCCATCTGCCCGCATCTTCGTGATGTGGTCTTGACGCCCCGCGTACTTGTTGGATAGTCACTGGGTTGCAATCTTTGGCTCCCTAGGGCTGCATTGCATAGGTACCTGATGCTTTCCTTGTTTGGGTAGTGGTGTACTAATACAGTAGAGTAGCAATCGTCTGCTCTGTTCAAAGTGCCTGTGAGCCGTGAGCCGGTCGTTGACCTCAGTGGCCATGCACGTGTGATGCAGATACTACCGGCATTTGCATTCTGGCCATCACCAGCAATGGAACATGCCTACAGTGAAAGCGACCTCGTTATCGTCACCTGCCCCCCTCCAGGTCTGTGACAATGTAACCGAGGCTAGACCAATCCCCCAAAGTCCCTCCTGCAGCCGCTTATTGATTCGGAGACGGGCGAGCTTGAAACATGCACACAAGCACGGCCAATGCTTTTCTTACCTACCTAGGTGCCTTATGCTTTTTGCTTTTCTTTTTCCCCCCGTTGTCAATTTTACCTCCAATCCAAATCACCTATTATTTTACTGGACCATCACTTTTCCAACTTTTTTCATCACATTCCTCGGAGAACCTCCCACGGGAGCGGGCGGCACACTCACACACGCACGCACACACGAGGGTGGCGGCTGATGGACGTTTTCCCTTGCTTTGATAAGTGACGTGGAGCTTCTTTCTCATTGCTTATATATCCTTCTTTAATCCCCGTTCATTCGTTCCTATGAAGCCTGGATTAAATTACACAAAATTACATACTACCTTTCACGCCCGGTTTTGCGTGGATGCATGTAAGCCTTGTGGCACTAAGGTATCTGAATCAGAGAGTGATGCTATATATGTATGCATGTACCTATAAATCGACCTACATACATCAGACGCCCCTCACGGCCATCCTCCTTCCAACGTCGTCCCCTCGAAGCCTTTTCGACCCCTTTCGCCTCTCGTCATCACCACCCGCCCAGCGCTCATGGGGTCTCTCTTCTCCAGCAGCGGCGATGACCTCGCCAGCCGGCTGGGAACAAGCCCATGGGTGCTCTACTCCGTCGCCGGCTTCACCTTTTATGCCGTGCTCTGCTCCTCGCTTCGGTTCCGGAGACTCAGGACGATGCGCAAGCGGCTGAATTATCCGGATAGAGAGTCGCTGTCTCGCATGACGAATGAGGATGCGCAGAAGATTGTTTATTATCTTAGCATCTACGAATTTCCTGTGCTTTATGACTTTTCACTTCGTTATGCCATCTTCAAGGTGAGCTCCCCCGAGTCTCCCGGTCAACGCAACGTATCGGTGAGATTTATCGTCTGACTTGCATGATAGACCTACGCTATAGACAACATCGGCAACTTGTTATACAGAGTCAGCGATCTTGCTAGGCCTACCGAGGCCTCTAAACGGTAGATACGATATGCCTATTGATTAGGTGGACTAGATCATGAGTTGAAGTTCACTGACACTGGTGATCAGATACGATGATACACAAGTCTTGTTCGCCAGGTGAGTTTCTTCTCGAAGGATATCTCAACGAAGAGCCCTCCCCTCTGACCATAGATCCCCCTCAGCTACGTAAATTTCCCACCTGGATCCGAGGCCCTGGCCAAGAGCGTCGCCCGCACAAACTTCCTCCACCAACCATACCGGCAATGCGGCAAGATCAGCAACGGGGACATGCTCTACGTCCTCTTCGAGTCCATGCACGAGCCCGTCCGCTGGATGCGCCTCTACGAGTGGAGGGAAATGGCCGACATGGAGGTGGCGGCCATCGCCACGCTCTGGAAGTACATTGGCGAGATGATGGACATTGACTACAGGGCCGAGCTGGGCAAGGACCAGTGGAAGGATGGCATCGAGTTCATGGACGACGTGGCGGCGTGGGCGGCCGAGTATGAGAACAGGCATCTGGGTCCTTCGCCGGATATCGCCAAGCTGGGTCAGGTTCTGGTCGAGTTGATGTTGTCGGCGTATCCCAGCTTTTCGCGGGCGCCTGGATACAAGATTCTCATGGTTCTCATGGGCGAGCGCATGCGGCATGCTTTTGGGTGGGCTTCCCCTTTTTTTTCTTCTTGTTCTGCTGTTTTCTGTCTGTCTCCATCTTGGCTTGAACCTCCATTTTCATCTTCATCTCCATCTCCATCTTCATCTTCATCTCCATCTCCATCTTCATCTTCATCTCCATCTTCATTTTCCTTCTCGTACAATGCTAATATGGTCATAGATTCCCCGAGCCCGGCGTAGTAGAATCCGTCATCGCATACTCTCTCCTGCTCACCCGAAAGCTCTTCATCCGCTATCTATGTCTGCCTCGCATCGTCCCCGCCACCTTCATCAGCGAACCAGATCCAGTGACGGGTCGCATCAAGCACTACCACTTTCTCAAGGACCCCTGGTACGCCCCCGCCACCTTTTGGGCTCGCTGGGGCCCTGAAGCCTTGTTTCGACGAGCATGTGGCCTCAAGGTTGCTGGAGACGGCGGCGAGGCAATGCTGCCGGATGGATTCTTGTTCGAGGACATTGGGCCACGGAATGAGATGGGCAAGGGGGTAGAAGAAACTGCGCGACTGGCAAAGGCTGCGCAGTCAAAGGTGTCGGCTTCGGCCTGTCCTTTTGCCCTACCAAAGAAGGGTTGATGCTATAAGTATGGACGGGTGTTGAGTGGAGGGAAACGGGAGCTAGAAGTCTGGTCCTCTCCCCCTATACTGGATGGCAGGGTATCAAACGTTCTTGAACCAGGACCTGCTGAACCTCTTGAGCCCGCATGACTCTACTTTACACTGTTAGTAACTAATCAGCATCGCTTGATTGCCATTATTTAATAATCTACTCCAAATAGTATACTCTGACGGCGAATTATCAGTGTTGAAGTGTTGAAGCTATGCTATATATTCCCTACCCAGGTACCTTACCTAGGTACTATGTTATAATCAAAGGCGGCGCAAGTCACTCAGCCCTACCCTGTACTGGCTTCTTTCCCGATCATGCCATTGCAGATCTCTTTTCAACTCGTCACACTCCATGATGATTCACCTACTAGAGGGTTCCTGTTAAAGCTTCTGATAGAGATAAATGGTACCTAATTTACTGCTTTTTTCGAGTATAAACTGAAATAGGAAATCGGAAACAGCAGACATCGTGGCTTCCCCACAGGTGCTTGGACAATGTCGCATTGGTCGCAAGTCACCTGATGCATGTCACTCGGATGACGTAGCTCAGCCTCCCTCTCCAACCACCTCACTCAAGGCAACCATCAACAATCAAAAGGACAACATCCATAGTCTCCCTCTCGATAAGCCTCAGCATCCAATTCAGTAATAATCAGAACACCATTCTTTTGCCTGCATATTCACTCACGACGACAGCTACACAGCAGCACGCAATCACTTGCCCACCACCTTCACTTATACGCAGCATCTCTCGCCAGGTCGGCGCATTCGGTGCCCATCAACTCAGCATGCCTGTACCGGTATATACTTCTAGCCCCATCACTGCCCCCTCCAAGGCATCAGCAATCACTCCACAGACAGCGCTTCCCGAGGACAGCGAGCAGAATGTGAGGCCACAGCCCACGACGACGTCGCCACAGAGCTCAACGGCGTATCCCCCTGCGCAGCCGGGCGCCAGACCATCGCTGCCCGTTGAGACAGGAGTCCCCCAGCTGTCCGACAGATATAAGCCAACATCAACAGATCGAGTCGATGCAAGCCCTCCGCCTCCTCAACCTGGTGCTATGCCTTCGCCGCCAGGGAAAAGCAGCCTGCCACCTCCGCCCAAGGCTGGAGAGACGCTACAGCAATCGCAGGCGCAAACAATGCCCATGCCGCCTCAAATGTCTTACCCGCCTCCAACAACGACTTATGCCGCTCACGGAGGCACCTCCTCATCCACATCCACAGCGTATTCGCCAAACGTACCGCAGCCAACATTCTTGCAAGGCAGGGAAACCACCGAGCCCGACTTTTCGCATCCTCCAGGCTACCAGCAGAATGCCAATGCCGCTGATTTCACACGCGACCAGCGGGAGGCTTACAACGCCTCGGTCAACCAGGACTACTATGAAGCCAACGAAGAAGACAGCATCTGGAATACAGCAAAGAAGTGGGCTGCAGCGGCAGGAGACAGCATTGCGGCGGCCGAGAATGAGGTCTGGAAAAGAATCAACAAGGACTAGCGCTTCTACCTTGGACGGAATTATTCGAAAAAGCGCCTATTCGAAAACATGATTGTCTGAACGGCATGGCCGGAGAGGTGCAGCAGCGGACATGAGCGATGGATCGCAGTGCTTGAAGGATGGATATCGAATCGCTTCTGCTCCATCTGACCGATTGCCGGGTAGGTGCTCAAATTAGGCCAGCCCTATTAGCGAAATTTACAGATATCAAAAGCGACTTGTCCGTATTTCTGCTCCATTCACACTCGTCTCTGGAGGGTGAGCACCATCGTCCGTCCCCGGCCTGTGCATTTGGTGCTGTGATACGTATGCGCCTTGTCAACGATGCCGGTGGCAAATCGAGAGCAAGGCAAGACATGGTGCCGCGCATCATGCAAGACAGCTCTCGTCAATACATAGTGGCCATTGGCGACCAGAGGCAAAGATCTCGCATCAAGATTCTGACGCAATATACCCGTTCAGATCCGTGACAGGGTTGTGACGAGATCGACACTAGGCGCTAGCAGTCTGTCTGGCCGCCTCATGATATATATAGGGACGGGGCTGGGATCTGAATCTGGCGTGGAATACGCCTTCATTTCGCATCTCCAGGCACGAGGCGTTCGGCGTGGCCTTGCCTTGTTTCACCGGCAGCCTGAGCTGAGCTGAGCTGAGCGGTCGCCGTCGCCGTTGCAATTACTGCTGGGGGATATACGGAGGAGCAGGCAATAAGACTGTTAGGCCACCTCCGTTGCGCGTCCTCGTATGTAATCCTAACGGCCGTGGCAGCAGCGGCATCTTCAAACTCGTTTGTGCGAGATGGACGACCCTTTCCATCTGGTGCGAGCGAGTGGCATGATAATTGGATGTTTCGGGCTTAGGGCCAGGTGCTGTAAAACGGATCTGAAACGCATATCCAGAGGGGCCTTTAGAGGAGCTGCAGAGGAGCTACAGAGGGCACCCCTGGCAGGTACCGCGGTTTCTGCGGGCGTTGAGCGCCAAATGCCTTGTACCGCCTAGTGTAGGGCTGCGGATTAAAACGGCCAATGGCAGCGATCCAGCAATTTACCTGCGACAAACCCCCCTGGCGAGGCAGTCAACCTGACGGCAAATCACAGCGCGGGCAGCGTCGCATCAGGGCAGCTTCAAACAGCATCCCCACCGTTCTGCTCTCTGTTCCCCGTCATGCCCAGCATCCCACGTCTCCAGTCTGCATCTCGGGCCCCTCTCGAGGCGAGGGCGGTCCGTCCGGCTCAGCTTGTGGACACTTTGACAACCCTCCCTCGTTTCCTCGGGCTTCTCGGACAGCAGAGCAAAGAGCAGCGCGAGGGAACGCGAGGGGAGACACCACCGAACGAGCAACGCACAAACGGGAACCCTCCTCTGCAGCTGGAGCCAACGCCAGAGCGGATTCGCAATTTACAGTCGTGGAGGCTAATGCAGGTCTGTGGGCGCTCCAGCGAGCTCCGGTGCCACACCCGTGGATCGACTTGGAGGGAGGGCCAGTCGCATGTCATGTCGAGCGTCGACAGCATCCCAAGAGGCCACTGCCGGATGGATAGCGTCGTCCGCTGCCTTGCAGATTTGGCTCTACCGGCCGTCCGTCTCCTCCTTTAATCTATTGCGGGGGTTCTGGGCCCTCGCTGGTTTGCAGCCAAGCGTTTTACCTACTTCCGCATATGGCCTTTGACACACGCTTGGCCGGGGCCTCTGCTGGCTCGTGATCGGCTTCCAAGGCCGACTCGGTCATCTCCCTCTTGCAGCGGCGACACCGTTTCCCTGCAGGCGTGATCTCGCAGCTGGGCATCTCGCATGCAGCAAGCAAGCAAGCAAGCAAGCTGCTGCTGCTGCTACCCCCCCCTTCGTATGCCGGACCGTGCCTGTTCTTGTCTCACGGCTGGTCGGAGAATAGGTAATAGCCGCCTGGCTGGGTTGGGTTGCAGGCAAACGGGACAAGCCCGCCGCTGAGAGGAACGGATGCTACCATCGAGAACGTCATACCTTTCACGATGACTGCTCCCCGTGCTCCTACTGGACAATACCTACCTTATGCTACTGCCTGGAGTACCGCTAACTGTACTTTCGACTAGTAGTAGCACAAATCATCAGCCAGCGTTTCTTGGTCCTTTTGGAACCGGTCAGCGGCGGGACGCGCCTCCCTCCTGGGTTGTGTGAAGCACTGGGCTCGTGACCGTTGCTGCAATCGGCTTGGTTTCGACTTGTCTGACGAAAGTCTGCCATCAAGTCCTGATATCAAAGCAAGCCAAGCCAAGCCAACACCGTTGGCTCACGAACGGGAACAGACGACTTGCGAGCACGTTTTCCGTTTTGACACTTCTGCCCTCTGGCACCCTCCCCGCACCCAGGGTGTTCGTTGCTACCCCTCCCACTCCGTCCGTACCTGATCCAACGGCGGCCTTGCCGACTTTGTGTGTGGATCTTGGGCTGTTCTGCTGGAGATTACCGTGTTATAGCATCTCGCATCTCGTCGTCTCGATTTCTTCTTTCGTGCGGGTCTCCGTGGTCGAACCTTCTCCCGTGATTCTAGCCTGGTTTCTAGCTGATGTGGCCGTCTGGCAGGCCTTGTGCCCAGGAAGAAACTATCTTTAGCACCCCCGGGGCTGCAGGTAAAGCCTGTATGGTGTCAAGTCAAAACCCTTGGAACCGTGACTTGGCCGCATTTGATGTCTACGCTTATGCCTTTCGGCCACTAGGACTGGAAGTGAGATATCAGATCCAGATGCTATCGCAGATGGGAATCTGGAGATGCAATGCAGACAGAGCACGGTGCTCGACCCGGACGTGGCAAAGAGTCAAAGCTCCAACTAAGCCTGGGAAGAACAACGGCCACCACCACCACCATCAGGCACAGCACCCAAAAGAAGCAGCAGCTCTAGGACACGGGGCGATCGGGCCGGCAGGGCTTCCCTCTGCCCAAGCTGATGATGTGGTGTTGCCCGCATGTCACGTCAATATGTGACGCATGCTACGTCGCTCGCCGCTACCTGCTGTCTGTCCGGAGCACATTTGCTCGCTCGTGACTCTGCCTTCTGTCTGGAGATGGCTATAAGGCCGACACTTATTTTCCGAAGGCTTCTTTTTTTAGTCGACGAACCCACCCAAGCCGTGACAGGCTCTAGCTGCTAACGGTGAAGGATGCCTCTCCGGCTTGTTTTGCCCTGCCAAAGATCAGGTTATGTCTGGGAGATGAATCGCCCTTTCGGTCTCAACTCGGCTGCCCTGACTAGCCGTTATTGCGACGTCTTTTACCCGGCTCTGTGGACCGTGCCCGGACATGGGTTCCTGCTCCCCCAATATCGAACCAAGAGAGGAAGAGGGAAGGGAAGGGGGAAAAAACGAAGATAAATTGCATCGCTTAGATGGCTGCTTAGTTACAAGTGGCGTCATTTACACACCAACCCTGGCCCAGTCTGCTTGGAGAGGCGTTTCTGATCTGAGCATGGATAATGGGCATGGCGAGCAGCTGGCGGTGATTGCGGAGGGGAGGGGGGACACTCGTCTGTTCGCCTCGCCTGAACTACCAGGGCGACCGTTGATGTGTGTGCTGTCTCGATATCGTACGTCTGCCATGGCCTGGATCGCGAAGCTGGCTGATGGTGGTTATCTCATCTCGGCCTAGGGGCGTTGGGCACCCGCTTACCATGCTCAACTTTCAGCCTTCTCTTGGTTCGGCGTCGTGTGCGGATTGGTCCAGAATGCAGTAGACGCGACAGGCCTTGTCTGCTCCTGTCGTCTGACGTGTTGAGCAGCCAAAAACAAAACAAAAAAAAAATCGAATTAATTGGCCTCGAACTTGACGAGAAGGGGCCGTTTATTACCTCGATTGGTTTCACTCGCTCTGTCGACGGGGTTTCAGTGCCTCCATTATGGCTCAACTTGAAGGCAGAGGCGTCGCGGCCGATCTCATATGGCTGATGGCCGATTTGCTGATTGGTCCAGCAGCTCCTTGAAACTACCAGCCTGGCTTACCCCTGTCACTTTCCAAGCTTCGAGGATGTGCCTTGCGGGTACGCCAATGCAGAGAAGCCGGCCGTTCGCGCATTTACGCAGACGCAGGCGCTGTAGGCCCCGGCTGCAACCCCATACTGGCTCCTGGGATCGCGAGAAGGGCACCGGGGGTCCTGCAACGGGCCCGGCATTCAGCGTGTCCAGAAGCCTGGCCCCGTCAGTCTGGCTCAAACTACGTACGGAGCACGGAGTAGGCAGTAGGGCCACCAGACAGCATGGTGGATGGCATGGTGGTATTTTTGTTCTCGCGCTGGGGTTGCTCAGGGAGCGGCCTCGTTGACGACGGCAACGGAACACTTACAAGTATACACGTCCCCTGGCCCAGACGACTTCGCTCTCTCCGGGACTCAATCATCCAATTTCTGGAATCTCTTCGATCTGCTGCAATCGCATCTCAATGCCCCGTCACTCTTAATCTCTTTCGAACCCCTCCTCCTCCTGTTGCTGTCGTCGACAGCCCAGGCCCTCTTTGCGTTCATTTATCAGTTTCCTGCGGGCCGCTCACGATCTTTTTTCGAACGATTCCTCATCTGCATAAACTTACATCTCAACTCATCAGATACCACTACTGCAACACTACCACACTACCGCAATACTACCCTCACTTCACTAGCAGTTGGCCTGCCTGCCTCCCGCGGCCGTCTCTCCTTGTTCCCCTATTCTCTCTCCTCTCTCTCTCTCTCTCTCGCTCACTTTAGCCCCCCTTCCCCTTCCCCTTCCCTCCTTTGGACGTGGGCCCCCAAAGTATAGCCCCCTCCTTTCTGCTCCTCGCTTTTACTATCCCTCTCTCATTATACTCCTGCAAACGATCCTTCTCTTTTTCATCTATACGCTTGGACACTCATTTCCCTCCTCCTCTGGGCCTTCTGGAGTGACACCTGAGGACCACCTTTCAACGATACATTCCTTTTGGCACCATCACGGATTAGTGTAAGTGGAAGAGACTCTATAAGAAAGGGAACCCTTGTTGTGCCATTGGCAACACAGTCTCCTTAACCCCGGGCTGCCTTGCCTAAACGGTGTTGCATGACCGTCTCCAACGGCGCCGCTGATCAACGAATAGGACCTGGCCATCGACCGTTTAAGATTATTAAGAGAAACAGTACACCATTCGAGTGCCGAGTCCATCCCATCGACTTTGTCTATAATTAGCAATGGAGCCTAGTCACAATGGATTGTATGTCCTTGCCTCTCCTTCACCAATATCTTCGTCTATCGATACTTACTTGCGTTTGCCCCCTGTACAAGTCGACAACATCTCCAAAGGTACTTCTTCCACTCAAGAGGTTCGAACAGCAACAAGGGCGCCTCCGATGCTGCCCTACAAGAGCCTTCCATCAACACACTGAGCATTAGCGACATGCCTCAGGGCGAGTCGATGCAGCAGCCAGCAGGGATGACTTGGATGCCACCGGCCAACCAGCCGCAACAAGTGCCGACAACAGTTCAGGACAACCTCTCATACTACGTCAGGGATGATCACCAACACGTAAACGCATGGGAGCAGCCCCTGCCGCCCTCGTCGTCGTCGTCGATGCAGCAACGGCCCACGGAGGCTGTGGCAACGCCCGTCACGATGGCCCATGGGCTGTATCCCCTCAACGCCATGATGGCCGGCGAGGTTCCTCGAGATGCCAGCAGCTATGGCCTGTCCGACGCATCAAGCCGGTGGGCCCAGAAGCCTCTGCCGGACAACTTCGACCAGCATTCCGTCCTGGACCCGGAGACGCCCATCGGCCAGGCTTACACCACCGACGACACCGTGCCCATCCTTGACCTCAGGTACACGACCCCATCGCATGACAACGCGGACCAGATGAACCTCGACGGCAGCGTGGCCAGCCATCGCATGTCCGGCTCGTCGTTTGCCATGTCCGACATGGCCTCGTACGAGGAGTTCTCTGCCGCTCTCTCCGAGGTTCGATCAATCAACTCTGACTACCCCCCGCCTTCAAACAGAACGTCCCTCATGTCGTCTACGCAACTCTCCCCTGTGGCGTCTCCCCGCCTGCCGCAGTCTCGCCCCGAGCAGGTCAGAACCCAGAGCCGCGGCCGCGCCTCGCCGTCTCCCCGGCCGAGCATGAGGGCTGCCCCGTACGAGATCACGCGAGGGAACAAGACGCAGCGGTGGTCCACCGGGTCCTACAGCGTGGCCCAGAGGAGGGCCTCTCCGGCGCTCTACCACTCGCCTCCTCCCGTCTCTCAGAGATACTCGTATCAGTCCGTTCCTGCGTCGACCACGGCCACGGCCTCGGCCTCAGCCTCGGCCATGTTCCCCAACCAGCAGCCGATGAACGCCAGACCTCCCTACATGATGGGCGGGCCATCGTCTTTCAACCGGAACAGCATGGTCCTCGCCTCTCAGCTGCCTACGCAGGTGCCCTCGTACTTTTACAACCACAACGAGACGCACGGCGTTGTCGCCACGCCCCCGACCCTGCCCTCGCACGGCCTCCTCCGAGTTCTCCAAAGCAACGGCGAGCCGCATCCCTTGACCGGCCTCTACGCAGACCTATCCGACCCCCCGGACCTGTTTGGCTGTCTCCAGGAAGAGCAGGCCCCGCCTCCACCCGAAGATATGAATCCCTCGGACCCGGAGATGGTGCCCTATGAGCAGGAGCTGCGGTTTGAAAACGACCTGTACACCCCGCGCTGGGTGCGAGGACACGGCAACAAGAGGGAGGGATGGTGCGGCATCTGCAAGCCCGGGAGGTGGCTGGTGCTGAAGAACTCTGCGTTCTGGTACGACAAGTCTTTCTCCCACGGCATCAGCGCGGCAACCGGCACTCCCTTCCAGGAGCCTCTGGATTCGAGGCGCATGAACGGCAACCCGGATATTTGGGAGGGTCTTTGTGGCAGCTGCAACGACTGGATCCCTCTTGTCAGCAGCAAGAAGAAGGGAACAACCTGGTTTAGACACGCTTACAAGGTAAAACATGGGCACTTGTCTGGTAGTCTTTCCTTTTGAATTCAAACTCGCTAACCAGGAATTGAAAAATCCTTAGTGTCACACGCACCCGAAAGCCAAAGACGCTCACAAACGCCGTCGAGAAAACAGCCAGCATCGACCGGGTGGCCAGATGCCGCAGCACGAATCGCTCCGACCCATGACGCCTCAGATGTCCTCTCCAGGCTCCGGTATGGAGGGACAGAGTCTGGCAATGGCTGCCTCGATGTCTATGCCCTCGCAGCCTATGGACTCCCGATACATGCCAATGCAGCAACAAGCTCATGCGCACGGCGGTATGCCGCAGAGGTCGGACTCTGTGAGGTCGCAGAATGCACCCATGGACTCGTATCCTGGAATGATTTAACTTGCCGCCTGTCTTTTTGAAAACCAACAGACTGTCCTACTGTCTCGTCTCCTTACAAGTTTTTTTTGCAAACCGTCTCCTTACCTACAATCTCCTTGCACAAGTTTTCCTTGTCACTATCTCCTTTCAACTTGTCTCCAGATACACGGTCGTTTCTCAAACCTCTTTTACACACCTCTTTTTTTCCTTTTTACTTCTCTCTCCTATACTCCATCACTCACTCCTCGAATTTTCCCTTACCTTGGTTTCGATATTCATGCGTCATGTCCTGGAAAGTCTTAATGCCCATAAAGACGCATGAACTCTAGATTACGCGGCACGGAAGATTCAGTCGCGATACCCTTACTTGTTTCCTTGTTTTCTTGTTGTTTTCTTCCATTTTGAAACTACGCCACTCTTTACACTCATCTCCCAACACTTTCCTGCCACTCTTCTTTCTCCTTTTGATTTTTCTCCATCAGATTGCTTCATCTACCTTTCTTCGCTTCTCTATTTATTCCTGTTGGAAGATCTTCTTCCTTTCCCAGTCTCTCCCTCGGAACAGCCCGCCGTTTATATCTCACGCTTATATTATTGGACCGCTTTGCTATTTTTTTTCCCTTCTTGCGATTCGCAAAACAAAGAACACCAAACACATACTACGATTACGGAATACCCACCAAATCATTGATACCTCACATATTTTATTAACGCCTTGTCATGCCCTACACATATAGATAGACATAGATGGAACACACGCAAACGGACATTTCCGGGGTTTTTGTATTTTGGGAAGAGGGGGGCGGCGGCGCGGGAAGGACGAGAAAGTTGATAATCGCTAGAGAAAGCTAGCATGCCTATATATATGGATCTTGCGAGACTGATTGCGCGCGCGTGGGAGGGAAGAGGGAGAGACGAAAGAAGGAAATAAAATAAACAAACAAACAAATGAACAGAGACTGGGGGACCAGAGAGGGAACCTTGGGGGCTGCAGGTCAGCTGGATGCTTTTCGAGGGAAAGGGGGGGGATATACCATGGGATTACTATATAGAGGCTCTTTTTGTTTTTACAGTTTCTTGCTATAACTTTTTTCAGGGGGTTGAATATATGGTTTGGGGCTTTTTACTGTTTGGTACCTTTTTCTTGCCCTTGGTGATGGAGATTGTCTTTTCTCATTCTTGATATAATACCTAGGTAAGGTATGATACCTGATAGTCAGCAATAAGGTACCTAAGGTTAGTAGTATGTACCCATGTGATACGAAAGTGGTCTGTTGGGAGCAGGGTCCTTACGAAGTACTTACGAGTATACTCGTACATGTAGTTCCACACACACCTCGATGCGGGAACTGGAGCACCCACACACACACAACCCCTGGTCTGAAGAAATCCAATTCCCCCCCCCCTTCCCTCTTTCACGCCGAAAAGGGCACATTTTAATATTATGCTGATTATGCGGCTGAAGACGAAGCTGGCAATGGATGGAGGGCACAGTCGCAAAAGAAAGAATAAAACGGATAAGAATGTGGACTAAATCCTTGGAGCGGATGACTTTTTGTTTCTCTCTCTCTCTTTTATTTTTTTTTGTGCTTGTAATGTTTCATGGTGGAAATGGGGGTTGAATTATCGGTGATGGATGAACCAGGAGGATGGGCAAAGTGATGATTTGTTTGGAGGGGGGTTTATTACTAAGATGTGAGAGGTTGCAGAGAGATTCGAGTTGGTAGAACTTTGATAGGCAGGTGTTTGTATGTTGATGAGGTTGTTCATTGCATGGGAGGAAACGGCATGGCATGGCGAATGATGCGTACAGGGGGGGGCAGTGACAGGGACAGGGACTGCGGTAGAGCGATGAATGCACTCGTTTGAAAGTGGTGATGATGATGATGATGATAATGGCAGCTGTGGCCATGGGTTTGTTTGCGATTTCTGTGTTGGGGCGTTTGGGATGCTTGTGGCTGGTGCTAATGCACATCCTTAGTCTTCAAGATGTCTAAGTTGGTTGTTTGAATAAGAAGAAGAAGAGGTTGAAAGATTCAGATGGGTTGCGTGTGACTTCTAGTTATTAGTATCGTAGTGTGATGAAAGGTTCTATCTAGAGGAGTATAATAGAAAGAGAGGATACGGAACCCACTGCGGTTTGCTCATAGTAACAGTCACGATGGGCTATGGAATCCATGCATTTACTTCAGAGCCGACTCGTCAAGAGCAAGTACTACCTCCAAGTAAGTAACCGTCAAACAATTGTTGTACTTTGGATCAAGTGTCCGACGACAAGGATCCACCATGGAGTCGCAGTTTGTGTACGCCATGATACTTGGGAGGTAGTTTCGACTTGGGTGCTTCTTTTTCCTCTCACGGATGTGGCCGGAGGATCGGGGTGGACTCGAAGGATCCGCACTCGCATAACATTACTTCATGCGAAATGGAACAACGGCTTCGATAGGTAAGTATGGTTGTGAGAGGGAAAAGAGAGAGAGACCTGGATCAGCCACTAGCTGCGTTGGGGAGGGACGCTGGAGGAGAGACGGGGATCCGGCGAGTTTCATGACTTGAGTCGTCGTGATAGCTAGGAAAGGTAAGCTAAGGTAAGGTGGAGAGAAGGAGAGAAGAGAAGAGCATTGGATGCGATTCTTCGATGCAAGGCAAAAGGTTTGGTGCATTGGACAAACAGTGAGTTGCACAAGCTACATGTACATGTACTGAACGCTCTTCCAGGCATAGCGCATGTCTGCCTGAAAGCCCCGAGTCCGGGGAAAAGATCGAGATCGGGTTTGACCGGTTCTCGATGGGAATCCTGAGCCGAAATGGAAGAAAGGAATCATCAAGCGAGGAGAGGGGATTCAAGGGAATCGCATATTACTGTGGTTCCTCTTTAGAAGATGAAGCAACATCGGTTGGTCAGATCTGAATGGTTTTGTCGTGATGGACATGGTGTTTGTCTGGATGGATGGGATGGAAAGAGGAGGCGCCGAGGGAGTTTGTCGTGTAAAGCATCGTGTACTTCTGACGTGGCATCGTGCAGGGAAGTTGCAAGGAACTCTGTTCGGCTTTTGGAGATGCAGCTGTGCTGCAGCGCCCAATGGATTGGCTTGGTCTCATGGATATGCTGATTAGAGAGGTTGATGATTTTTTCTTGTTTGCTCGGTAGCTGCTCGGCAAGCTGCGGATTGATGCCTTGGTTGGCGGTGACCATGGGCAGAGTGTCGATAAGGCAGCAAGAGGCGAAACTTCCGGGATTGCATGGCCGTGATGACAGAGTCCCTTTCTTTGGCGGCACCACAGTCTCTCTGACTTGTGGGTTGTCAATCTGGTCAAAGCACATGTATCCATCCAGTCAGTGTTCTAATGGTGATGCTATTCAATGTCAATATTACCTGGGTGATCTACCATGAAATCATTCGGCCAGAGCATCGGGCCACAAAAGTCACAGGCAGTGCAGCTCCGTGATCGTGTCATTCTGCTGCCGCTAATAAGCCCACCCTGTGAGAATCCCTGGTGGAGGGCGCTTGGCCCAGATGAGGCAAAAGACGCTGCCGAACCGGCGTCGTGGGAAAATGGGCCGAGTCGGAGGGGGGCTGTGAAGTTGCATTATGGCTGGCTGCTGGTCTCGAAGCAGTGATGGGTATTGATGAACTGACGATTGACTGTGTTTTGATGGGTATGTAGGTAAGATGCTGAGATCTGGAGTGTAGGTACCTTACTTACTATCGAGGTGCCTATCTAGGTACCTAGTAATCACTTTGGAAATGTCTTTGGCTGCGGAGAGGATTGCCCGGGTTGGTTGATGACTGTGACTTGATGATGATGCTGCTGCTGCTGCTGCTGCTGCTGCTGCTGCTGCTGCCTTACCTATCTAATCCATAAATCCGTATCCGTGGCCACCACCTGCAAGTACCTTAAGGTAAACAAAGCAAACAACGAAGCCCAACCTGCTTCGCCCTTGTCTGACAGACACAGCAGGGTTAGTAGGTAGTAGTACGCAAGTACCTACCTTGGGAGGTATCGGCTGCATGTCTGACTCTACGAGGAACATGCTCGGGGTCTAATAAGATGCGAGTGAATCTGATGTACCTGCCTGCCTTAGTAGTATTTGCACCCTTCTTCTTGCCTACTAACCTAGGTACTCTTCCCCAGCAGCCATCATTATACCTGTTCAACAGAAGAAGAGAATTGAGAATTGAGAGGAAAAAAGGCCGCCACGAATCAATAGTGATAACACTATCAATGCTGCTGACGTCGGGCTCGTGTGTCCGCTAACCCGCCAGAGCCCAGCGCCTTGTCCGTCCGCTGGCGAGCCCACCAAAGTGCCCGCCCACACCAGCTGCAGGTTTGCCGAGCTTTTGTGCTCCAGGGCTGCCGTTCGATTATTAGCACTCTGCTGGCCTGCCTGGAGACGACGAACGCGGAAGGATTACCTGGTGCCAGAAAGCAGAAACCGGCCTGGATTCGACTTGATCCATCACCACCTTGAAGCCGAGCTCGAACTTGGTCCGGGGTCGAGCTCGCAATCAATTGTGCCCGTCATAATACCTTGCCTGTACCGTGTCAAACTCTCTCTTTCTCTCTCTCTCTCTCCGCCTTCTCTTACCTTGTCCTCTTTTTTCCTCTTCTTCTTGCCGGGGGCCCTTGGGACATCTTTCTCAACCTCGTCTTTTTCGCTCGCTCTTTGTCTGCAGCCTGCCCTCTTCCACCCTCTGGTTCCGGCCGCCCTTGGATACCTGTAGGTAGCAGGCAGAGTAGGACAAGACTCGGCCTCCCTTGGCCATCTTCTGTTCGTCTCCTTGGCCTCGTCTTCTTCCCTTGCTTCTGTCTGCCTTTGCCTTGCCGTGCGTGTTGCTTCTGCTTTGCTGTCCCGGTAAGACAAGACCCTCTTGCCGCCTCCCCTCCCCTCCAATGCACTCCCTTTTTTCACGCCTCCTCCTCTTCATCTGGCAGAAAAAGCTCCTTTGGGGGAACCGCAGCAGGCAAGCTAACCAGACCAGCTGTTCTTTTTTTTTTCTCTCCCCCGTCTCCCGTCTTTGCGTTTTCCTCTCCCCCTTCTTCCCTCCCAGGAATCCCTTTGCAACTATCCGCAGAAACCAATGCGGCATCTCTTTTTACTGCCTACGACCTTTCTTGCATCTTTGTCATGACCCGTTAACGAGCACTTTGTTTGAATAATGAGAAACGAGCCCACTGCGATTGTACACCACTTCTGCCCAAGCAAACACACACAGCAACCACGAGAAGCACCTTTGATCGTCGCCTTCACAGCTATTCCGCACTCTTTGATTTGAACATTGAACTTGTATATCGCCCTCCCTCCACGCAGAGAGCAGAGGAAGAAAAAAAATATAGAAGAGAGAGAGACAGAGAGAGCGAGCGAGCACATATACATCAGACCACACATCTGCACTACATACTTTGCCCAGACAAGGGGAATTGAACCCGCCTCCCTTGCTATTACTACTACTACTCTGTTATACAATCTCTACCCTCTGCCAATATTGTTTATCTCTATTCCCCCTCCCGGCCTGCTGCTTCCTCTCCCTCCACGGCCCGAATTGGCGGTGCACGCACTGGGATGCTTGTGTCTGGGTTATCATAGCCAACAGGAATTCAAGCTGATATGAGCGAGGATCAACAGCTAGTATCAAGGCATGTCCGCCTTGCGAGCACTCTAAAGCATGCCTGCCCTCCGCTCCCTCCGCCAGCCTGGCTAACCTCGTCTCTCTGACTCCGCACAGCAGCAGCTTTGGAGACATACCAAACGCTCACCCGCCGCCCACGCCCAAGCAGACGCCCACGTCGGGGGCCTTTCCGAGCCCCCTCTTCGAGACCCCGAAGCCGCCCCAGGGCTCCTTTGCCGACGCCAGCGGCCTGACGCCTCGCTTCGCCGAGGAGTACTCCGTCTTCAACGCCACGCCGGGCAACCTGCGAGGGGCTCAGTTCCCCTTCGCAGACCTCGTGCCCGCCACGCCCTTTGCGCCCTCGTACCTGGGCCACAAGCGCCTGCTGTCCGTCGAAGAGCTGGCCGTCGAGATTGCCACCCGAGCCAACATCCCGCCGTCCAACCCCAGCCTCCCTCCGCCGCCCGTCGACCCGTCACGCCGCCTGCCCTCGTCGCCCGCCGCCCTGATCCTGTCGACAAAGGCCGCCGCCGCCAGCTCCGACGCACACCTCGGCCCTGCCTTTTCCTCGTCGCGCGCCAAGTCGCCCAAGAAGCTCCGTCGGGGTACGATTGAAGGCTCCGACGCCGCCCAGCCTCTGTCGCCGCCGCCGTCGGCTCACAAGGGCGGCCACAAGCTCGCCCCCAAGGTCAACATGCAAGATGACCGGGGCTACGGCCACCCGGACTTTGGCGACGGCTTCCAGGGCCACCACGACATGGCCGCCATGATGGGCGGCCCCGACGACATGTTTGTCTATCCACTGTCCGCTCCCCCGAGCACAGCCAACTTCTGGGACCCGGCTATGGGCATGGACTTGGATTTCAGCTCCGCCGGCGCCGCCTTCTTCCAGCCCTCGCACCGGCATACCGGATCCTTCGACTGGAACAGCGACATTCAGCTCTTCCAGGATCCCGTCCCGCCTCCGCCTCCGCCGTCGTCGAACCAAGAGAATGTCCAGCCCAACGCGCCCAACATGCAGCACCAGCCCCTTCGAAGGGAGAGGATGCTGGCCCCCAAGCCGCCCGTCACCGGCCAGTCCGCCGCGGCTTCCGTGACGGGGTCTGGCATGTTCCAGGCGCCGATGGACGACTCGTTTGGCCTGGGCACGCCGATGGAAGGCGTAGATCCGGGACTCATATACAGCCGACCCCCAACGTCCTCGATGAATGCCGATGATTTCAACCCGGCCGTGAACGCAACGTCCGCCAACGTGGGAGCCGCGGCGGAAGCCAACAACTCTCGCATCATGGCTCAGCCTCGCCGGACGAACAGCCTAAAGGAGATCAAGAGAGGCAAGATGCCCGACCGAACCTTTACGAGCTCTCCCGTCAAGGCCATGGGCCGTCCGGAGCTGAACCGCAGCGTGAGCGATACCCGAGGAAAGAAGGCCAACGGACGGGGGGCATTGCCGACATTGGCCCCCGCTTCACGGCCCACGTCACAGGCTGGCAATGCTGCCAATAATGCGAACGCGGATGCCGGAAAGGCGGCGGCGGCGGCGCGGTCATCGGGCTCGGGAAGGATGTCGCCCCTAAAGAGCCAACGACGATTGTCAAGCCTGGCGTCCATTCCCGAGTCTGCCTCCCAGCCACAGCTGCATCGGCCACGAACGTCGGTAAGGTTCACTATAGACGCACACGGACGGGCTCGGGCGGAGACGACTGTCCTGGTTGAGGAAGTTGGCAGCATAACTCGCAGTCGAAGCTCCCGGGAGCTGTCAGCCTCGCGAAGAAGTTGGGAGTCGTCCGACGACGACTCGTCCACGGATGAGGAGCCAATCATCATACCCAGTCGGACAAACTCGTTCAACGCATCATTTGCATTGCCGGATCCTCGCAAGCCTGTGGGATCCATCTTTCACTCGGGCAGGCGAAGCATCAGCGACAGGAGCAGGAGTGCTTCGACCCCGTCCCTGGTCACGCCCACCGAAGGGGATAGCGACCCGGAGACGATCATGGCTGATCATCCAGAAAGAGGAGGCGATGCGGCGAGCGAGCTGCGGAAAGTGGTAGAGGACCGTCAGAAGCGGTCCATGCAGATGGACAATGTCCGACCGCAGCAACGAGTTCTCGGCCCAAGCAGCTCCGGGAACTTCCAGGCAAGCTGCATCTCTCCCCCGATCAGCATGGCAGACTCGAGCTACAGGATGGACGGACACCGAATCCGGTGTGTATGCAGGAGGAATGAGGCCGATGAAGAAAACGGCTACATGCTTCAGTGGTATGTGTGACACAAATCAGCTTGCTTACGACAGTTGGCATTGAGCCTTTGCTGACATACAGTCCCTCGTAGCGAGTCATGCGAGATGTGGCTGCACGGGAAATGCGTCAACATCAACAGGCGTACCATGCCCAGCGTGTACATCTGCGGTTACTGTGCCAATACGCCCACCGTTGCCGCGCGGCGAGCTCAGCAGCAACACAGCGGGCGGGCGAGCAATGGGGGACACTCGACGTTGTCCTCTCTAGCGAACAAGACACTTCGGACTCTTCGATGATTGCGTGCGAGGGGATGGAGGCGGTTGTGTCGAAAGACGTGGATACAAGGCAAGAAGACATGCTATATGAATTTCAAGAAACAAAGCCGGCGGAGGCATTGCTGGGCATGCTGGGAAACGGGTTTTTATGCGTTATGTTATAAGATTTAAATAGGGCTCTCGGCCGAGGACGACTTGGCTTGCTCCTGGGACTTTATACAAAGGGGGGTGGGAGGATATAGTACCCTAATTACAACTGATATTACTTTGGGGGAATATGACGGAGTATCGAGTTGTGAAGCTGGAGCTGGAGCTGGAGCCGTAGAAAGCTTCAAGCCACGGCATGCGGCTAGTTGGGACGGGCTCAGAGAAGTCGAAGCTTGTTTTTTGTAAGTTGAGCTTGGGGGGGGGGGGGGGGGAGGGGAGCTCTGCAGAGGCTGAGTTTCGCATTTGATTCCTGCATTGAGAAGCCATCACGACATCATTAGACGATGGCTTTCATTGTATCAACTTCCGTGTCTTGAACCAGGTCAATGTCGCAGATGTCGTTAGTTTCAGCATGAATCACGGCTTCACACTTGCACATATACGGATAAAGAGACTCGATGGGGAGCAATTGAGGACCAGCTGTAGTAAGCCGTGCCGCAAACTCAAAAAGCTCTATTCAGCAAGGTATAAGATACTAGATCTGACCTGCTGTTTTTTGCTCTTTCTTTCTTTTTTTTTTTTCGTGAGGGCCAAGACCGTCTGGGCTTTTTCTGTGTTCTCGGCCTAGATTTGATTTGTTCATTCTTATGTTATGGCATGCGTTTGTTTCTCAGCGGCCACAGGGGTGGGGGGGTCATTTTTCTCTACGAGATTGTTGGTTATTGTACTCACTCACGTAGCCGATGGATGTCAATTTTTTCATGAACAGGGCGATTGATGGGGGTTTGATCTGAGGAGGAGGGCGAAGGGAATATAGATCTATATGGGTGGGTGGTGGGGGAGCTGGCTTGGTGGACAAGACGAAGGAAGACGAGGATATAACGGGATGTAGATTGTAGAGGGAAGCTCGTCAAGTTTTTCAAACATATCCTTTTGTCATTGAACTGCCTCGCCTTTGGAGAAGAAAGTAGGAAGAATGATAAGTGTAAGGGAATATGGAGATTATTAACGTGGGAGTTTCATGTGCCAAGTCATTGCGTTTAATTAGATTTGACGTGACATGATATGGGACTGACTACTAGGTACATTTTTGCTGTCACAAGAGACAAGACTTGATTTCCACATGGCCTGAATGATTACTATGGGAATCAGGAATCGGGGATATAAAAGGGACGAATAGTCTCCAAGCAATTAAGCGTTACTGTGAGATTTGTGTTGGAAGGTCCTCTTTCAGATGATGAACGATTAGCCAAAAGTCTCCAAGAGTCCGACTCACCAGCCAAAGGGACAAAAAAAGGGGGGGGTTGAGGGGTATCAGAAGACACATCATATACTCTGCGACCTCCATGCGATTTGACGACGTAGATTTTCTGTTCTTTTTTTCTTTTTCTCTCTTATTCTTTGTCTTCCCTTGATATAGAACAAAGAGCGTAAAGCAACCACTTGGCTGTCTCACGAGGTCGAGCAGGAGAAAAAAGGGGCAAGCGAACATCAAGTCAACGTAGGCCAGTTGCAACAACATCTGCCAATCAACACACCACCAGCCATCCACAAACAAGGTACATGGTCAAACTTTTTTCTTCTTTTTTTTGATCAACTATCAAAACATAAAAAGGCTCAAAGAGTCCTCCGCACACAAGGGGGAATTTTCCTCTTCAATTTTTTTTTCTTCTTCTCTAGATGTGGGAAGACAAAAGACGGCCCAATCCATCAGCCAAGGGAGAGGGTCTCTCGATGGGGGATGGGGGCGGGGGGGCATTGGTGAGACGCAGATGCCTTTTAGTTGCCACCGAGGCTGGGGAAAGCGGACTGGTCGTTGGTGTTGATGGAGGCAGAAGCCTGCTGGCCACCACGGCCACCGCGGAAGTTTCCACCACGGCCACGCTCGCCGCCACGGCCACCACGGGGGCCACCGCGACCGCCACGGCCGCCGCCGCGGGTTCGCTCGGGCTCGACGAAGCGGGGGTCGAAGTCGACGGTCTGCTTCACCTTGCGCTCACGCTCGCGCTGCTTCTTGCCACCAGAGCCGGCAAAGTAGACGTCCTCCTCCTTCTCGAGGGGCTTGGCGTTGGCCCACTTCTTGTCGAGCTTGCTGCCCTCGTTGGGGGCTCGGATGTGGAGGTCAGCCTCGAGGGCGGCCTTCTTCTCGGCCTGCTGGGCGAGGTAGTCGGAGTAGGAGATGCTCTTGTCCTCGGGCTCAGCGGGCTCCTCGGCGGCGGCGTCCTCGGGCTGGTCCTCCTTCTTCTCGGACTCGGCAATGGCCTCACCGGCCTGCTCGTCCTTCAGCTCGGCGTTGCCCTCGGTGGCACCCCAAGACAGAGCAGCCTGCTTCTCAGAGCCACTGGAAAGGAGAAATTCAGTCAGTATACTAACAGAAGGAAGGGTATATAACAAAAGCAAACACTTACGAGACGACACCAGACTTGTGAGGATGTCTGTCATCACGCTCACGGGGGAAGCGTCCACCACGGCCTTGTTCCGAGTTAGTTGCCAGTCCTTTCCAACGCTGCTAGTCCTTCGACAAGATAGACGGGCAAGGCAAGTTACTCACCTCCACGGACGCGGGCAGCCTGGCCACCACGAGGACCATCTCGGGGAGCCTCGTCGGTGGGACGGGTCTGGTTGCGCTCGCGACCAGCGCCGCGGTCACGGAAAGCTGCATGCCGGCAGTTAGCATCCGGACGCTCACAGTAGCCTCGGACAGAGCGGCACCGAGTTCAACAGATGCAAGCAGCGTTTCGACTTACCACCCTCGTTTCCGCCGGGGCCACCACGGCGGTTGCCGCCAGTCCTCACAGGGGCCTGGGGGGCCTGGGGCTCGACATTGCGCTTGGTAGTGCGAGGGGTAACCTTGTCGACGGTCTTAACGGGGACGACGGGCTTCTCCTCGCCGTCGGAGTCGTTGCCTGCAGTGGGTAGGAAATCTCGGTCAGTGGCCTGCGCTTAAAGCTTTCCCATCGCGGCGGGGTTCCGTTGGAGGGGTGAGGGTCAAAGAAAAAAAAAAAAGGTAAAATTTGCGGGAGGGGCGGCAGTACCAAGGTAGGCGAACCGGTTCTACAGCGAGGCGATGTATGTCAGCAACCAAGCAGCACAGAATTGATATCGCGAGCAGCAGTAAGAGGATGAGGCAGTAGGAGAGACAGTGGCGGCAGCTTCTGCTCGAGCTGCTGAGCGAGCGAAATACTGCGCCGACAACGATGACGACGACGACGACGACGACGACGACGAACATGCCACCATCACCACGACGGCGTGTCTTTGTCCCATGCCGGATGCGAGGCAGAGGCAGAGGCAGAGGCAGCGAGGCTGTCGGCGCAGTGCATGTCGCTCGCGGCTCGAAGCCTGGCCGCATCACCGGCATGGGCCAAGCCGCGAATTGGAGCAGAGGGCGACGGGCGTCGGGCATTTGTTTGCTGCTGCGAGGGGGGAACGAGGGCATACCTGGGAGGCGACCTGGGATGACATGGTCGCTGAAGGGCTGGGAGAGTCCTGGCGGCGCTGAGGGAAGAGGGTAGTCTTTGCTACTTGGTGGGGGAGAAGACGTTGAGCTTAAGATCGCATGGCCCTCCTGGCGCACGAGTCGGACTGTTGGCAGTGATTTCTTCGGGATGGCGAAGGGGAGGAGAAGCACCAGAGGCGAGGTGCAAACCTTGGAAGCTGTGCTGCTGAGGCAGTTGAAGAAAAAAATGCACTGGGCTGCACGATCAAGGCGGGCTTGCTTGAGGGGGGCGGGCTTTCCGCTGGATACCTACCTAGGCTCTGCTCAATTGCGGGCACTTCCAGTACTGTGTGTGTGTGTGTGTGAGTGTGTGCGTGTGTGTGCTCTTCCGTGCTCTCTTTCGCTGTAGCGCAAAAGCCCACTCAATTCCCAGACAAGAAAAAAAAAAAAAAATACCGAACCGGCGCTAGTCACCCTCGTTTTTGGGGGGCCTCGCTTAATTCCCGTGAAATATTTTGTGGTGACGCTGTTAGGGCTCCGGGGCGCTGGGCCGTTAGTGCAGCAGGTACCGCATCGTTAGAGAGGAACCCCCAGCTACATGTAACCAACACACAGCTTGCGACGCCCAGCATTTACTCGCAGCAGCCATTGTCCTGCATTGCGCGCCTATCCGATGAAGCCGGCTCTCTATATCCATCTACTCTGCTTCTTGATGTGTTCTGTAAGGCAGAAGGCTCCAGAGACGGGAGAAAAGCCTCTTGCGTTGCGCCAGTGACTCCCTTGCCGCATCCGGGAGCTTGCGCTGCGGTGGCTTCAGGCTGGAGCTAATACTACAGGGAGATACAAGCTGAGCTACCTTACGAGACACCGCACTGAGGGCGAGCTACCTGCCTTAGGGCTACCGCCCGCTGAAACTTCACTAGGCGCAGAGGTAGTAGCTACTGGGGCTCGTACTCGTACTGTACACTGTGCTTGCGCTGCTGGGAGCTCATTCGCCCGCAGCTCGTGTGGCAGCAAGCAGAGCAGAGCTGTTTCTGATTACCTACCTACTAATAGGTGGTATGCCCAGCAGCCTCGTAGCTAGCAGGAGGTATCGCCGTATCATGATAACGTCATCAATACGTGCTGCCGAAACTGGATCAATGTCGAAGCAGTGATGTTCCCTATATGGATGCTCAATGCCGAATGCTGCATTACATAAGGTGTTGTTCATGACCAGCTCGAGTGTGTAACGAGCGACTTGTGTCACCATTCTGGGGAACCTGTCTTGCTGCTCCTGTCCTGGTGTTAGTCATCTTCAGCTCCATCGATACATGACTAAGCCAACCCTACAACGACGACAACCTCAACGATCTGATAACCCGTAGACTTAAGAATGTCCCTGATTTAGCAAGATAATGATTCGCTGCTCATCGACATTTCAAGAGGATATCAGCAGATTCGGCGTAATGAGACTGCAAGGTGGAGTGCTGCAAAATCTCGCACGTACCTACCTAGTAGATGTTCAAAGTTCTATCCGGCAGAAACACCAAGCAAGCACACAAGCATCACATGCAGTAATTCACCATTACGGACACGTAGAAAGTAACTCGGGCATTCGCAACACTGCGTTACTAGGTACTCGTACACGAACCGACATCCCATCGCCAAATATCAAACAGAAAAGAAAGTAAACAGTTTTCCCTGACCATCCTTCATCCCTGTCCAGCGCCGAGCCAAATCTCTGGTAGAAAAGATAGAAAACAAAAAGAAAGAAAGCAAACATGGCCCTCGTAAAGCGACCATATACGCGGCCGCATCCAGGCTTGCAAAGTTATAAACTGTGTGGGTTGAAAATCCCAGTGGTGCCGAAAGTCCGGGATAGGTACCATCATGAATTGTGACGTTCCCTCATCATGTGCAAAAGCATCGAACGAAAAGAATGCCATCTCCTCAACGCCGGGCCCGCATTACAAAGAGAGAGAGAGAGAAAGAGAGAGAGCCGCCATGTAAAGCCACCTTCGAGAGATGCCTAACGAGCTATTGCCATGGCCGATAAGAAAGAGGAAACGATGGGAGAAGTCGCTACAGTCGATCGGGAGAATGTCTGATCGGAAGCTCCCCCATTTTCCTTCGTAAGGCCCATCTGGTTACCTAACCACGGTTCTTTGGGCGGGCGAGCATGTTGAGGCGGCTCATGCTCAGCGTTGGTCTCTTCTTGGAAGGCGACGCCGAGCTGACTGTGCGGTTGACGGGGCGAACTGGGGTTTTGCCGACGGTGCGAATCACGCTGGGTCTCTTTGCGCTGGCAGCGGGAGTTGAGGCGAGAAGACGAGGTGCCAGCAGAGCCTCGCCCTCAGGAACATGGCTACTCTTGGCTTTCTTTCCGGCACGATCAGCCGCCTCCTTATCCGTGTCCTCTTCATCTGCGCTCGCGCGATGGCGCTTCTTGTTGGGCATTCCGTGAGGGACTCCAGGAAGCATCTTGGGCGGAGACGGTGCCGTGTTCTCTTTGTTTGGGTGGGAGCTCGGAGAGACGGGTTCCGGAAAGCTGCCAGGCATCTCCGACGCAGGCTTGATCGAATTGCGCACATGACGCACGCTCGACTGGCCAGGAGAAGCGCCAAATCCGGACGGCGATGGGTTTCCAAACTTGATCGTGTGGTCGCTGCGGAACGTAAATTTGCCTGGGACGGAAGGGGTGGGGGATTGGGCGCTCTCTGGCTGTGATTCGAGAAGATGCTTGTAGCTGGACAGGTCGGGATAAGCAATGTGGCCGGACGACTTTGACTCTGCCAAAGCTTCCTCGACTTCAGAATAAACCAGAGCCCTCTTAGTAGTGGTTGACTTGAGAGGCGACGGCGTGTCTGGGTCAAAGACGGTTCTCGTAACTTCCGGCGTAAACGTCACATGCTTGACCAGCTTTCGCACAGGCTGAGTGGCTGCGAGGCGTGTAATGTGCACATTGGAGATGCGAGTCGGAGCTGGCGGCGTCTGAGCAGTGGCAGTAACCGGCTGCGGGATGGCACTCTTCGCCTTGGGCGAAAACGGGCTGCCTCCGAAGACGGACCTCATCAGCGATCGCTTCATGGCCGAATTGCTAAGCGGCGCATCAGCATCGTCGGTTTCTTCGGCCTTGTTGGCTTCCTTGACCACTGCAATAGAGTCCTTGGCTTCCTTGACCTCCTTGGCTGCTCTGAGCTCCCTGAGGCCCTTGGCTTCTTTGAGCTCCTTGGCTTCCCTGAGGCCCTTGGGCTCCTTGACCACTCTGATAGATTCCTTGAGTTCCTTGAGCCCCATGGGTTTCACCTGCTCTTTGGAGACTGGCTTCGAGGATGGCGTGGCAGTAGCAGTAGCAGTCGTAGTAGAAGTCGCAGTAGAACTCGCAGTCGCAGTCGCAGTCGCAGTCGCAGAGGCCTTGGATTTTCCGGGGCTAGCGAGAAAATCAAAGACCGACTTCCTTGGGTTCGCCAGGCCGGAAATACTAGGCCGACCGATTCTGGAAGCAGCAGGCCTCTTGGTGCTGGATGTAGGCCGAGGAGTCGGCGCAGTTTCTTGGGCCACCGGCCGGGTTGTCGAAGCGTCGTCCTCCGCGCTCTTCTTGACTCTCTTGGCGGAAGTCAGATGCTGCTCGTCCTTTGCAGGGCTTTGAGGTTGCTGTACAGAAATCTTGGAGCCCAGCCTCTTGGCAGAGAACCGTCCAAGGCTTTCCACCTCTGAAGCGCGCTTCCTCGGTACAGTGGATGGCACCTCCTTGTGCAGCTTTGCGGGGCTCGGCTTCGCATTCTTCTGAGGCGTCTCGAGGTTGGTCTTGGAGTGAGATCGTTTGATGCCGGATTTGACGGGACTGAATCTTCCATTCTGCGCTCTCCAAGCCGAGGCATGGCCTTCGATAGAGTCCATCTTCTTGAACTCAGCCATATGGGCCGCGCTGAACCTTCCGGACTTGCCCTTGGGCTTGGCAATCGTGCGGCCATTGGCATCGGTTGAGGCGGACGAGGGATCGTTTGCCCTCTGGGCGATGAGATCGGCCTTGTACTCAGCCGCCTTCTCCTTGAGGCCCTCCAAGACGCGCAGGGCTTCAGGCCCCAATCCCAACTGGTTGGCATCGATGCCGTGAGGGACACGAAGGGTGAAGGCGGATGATGGCACGCCGCCCACTTTGGACGGAGTAGACTGAAGGCCTGCGCCATGAGAGCTGTCGCGTCTCTTCGCAACGTCGATGTCGGTAAAGCCCAGCCTAAGAGCGGACGACGGTTCGGCGGTGGTAGGATGGAACTTGCTGGGGTGCATCTCTGTGCTGGGGGGCTTCAAGACGTGGGTGGCGGGCGTTGCGGGCGGCGCAAAATCGCTCAGCTTCTTGGGAGTCGTTCTGCTGCTGCTGGCGGGCTCGACACGTTCGGCCACTTCTGGGAGCTCTCGCTCAACACGCTTCATCGTCTTCTTGCGCTCCGGCTCGACGCCTTCGACAACGTTGAGGGTATCCTGATCCACAAGCAGCTCCGGCTTGACCTATTCCACCATTGTTAGGCCACGACCGCTTTGCAGAGCGTGTGGAAAGTGCGAAAGGATCTCACCTTAGCAAGCCGCGCCGAGCGGCGGGGGGGCGGCGCAGACATGGCCTGGCAGGGCGCTCGACACTTGTTTAATAACTGTAGGTAAGATGGTAATGGTAGTGGTACTTTTTGGTCGACGCAGCTGGTTGATGGAGTGTCTTGAAAGCGCACAAGGAATGTCGGATGTGATCTTGGTAGATAACAAATGGGGGTGTTTGTTTACTTTCGAAAGCAACAAGTGGGGTCTTTTGATACAGTGCTTGAGTGCTCACACTTGGCACGGTACGACCCTGTTCTGGCAAATGCTGGCGAGATGATGTGATCTGGAGATCTTCGACTCCTCTGTCTGCGCTTCAACCTGTAGACCAGTAATCTCGTGACGGCTGTGGTGAGCTCTATCAATTGATGCGCCGTTAGCAGATTGCACAGTCGAAATCGTATACCATGTGCCGGATCCTAAGACGTCGTTGAAGTGTTGATGCTATGTAGTATGGAGCTGCTTTGGTAAGCTAATCGGGCGATACCCGATTAATCAGGAGCAACCTACTATGCCATGCTAAACACCCAGATGGTGAAATATACGCACATTACCAGTCCACCACCGATTGGCGTTTGTGTGCTGATATTCTCAAAAGTGTGCACTTATTCGCTTTGTAGTCCCTATTTTTTTTTTTAAATCCCCGGCTTGCTACCTAGGCAACGCGCCAGCGGGAGCCCCTCCCCCGTCTAAAAGACAAAGGAACCATAGTAGAAAATGGTAGGGTTAGGTTACCCTGTTAGCAGGGTGCTAATAGGTGCCGCTAGGGTGCTAAAATGTGCCGGCATAGTGCTAACAGGGTTTTAAGGTGCCGGGGTGCTAGGGTGCTAACAAGGTGCTAAATAAGTGCTAAATAAGTACTAGCAAGGTGCTAAGCAGACCTATAGGTGCTAACAGTACATTCCTTAATATAACATAGTATATACCTCTAGATAAAACAGTATGTACCTCTAGATAAGATAGACTACTTAAGCCTAGAGATAGAGCCTAGGCTAGTAAATAGTGCCAGCTAACCTAAAAGGCCTGGATAATAAAATATTATATTAGTTTATTCCTTTCTACTATTATTTTAAATTAATTAATTAATTAATTAATTAATTAATTTATTCTACTTATAAGAAAGTGCTAAACTAAATAAACTATACTCTTAAGTAGTATAGCAGGATATATATAGACTTAGTATTTAAACCTTAGCTTAATTAAACTATGTTTATTTATTTATAATATAACTATTAAAAGATTTAGTATTTCTTAGTGCTAATTTTAGTAAAGATAAAATATAAATTAAAAAGAGGTAAAATATAAGAACTTTTTTAAACTAAGATAAGATAAAGTGTAGACTAAAGAGAGATAAAATGCAAGAACTTTTCTAAACTAAGATAAGATAAAATGCAGACTAAAGAAAGATAAAATGCAGACTAAAAAGAGATAAAATGCAGACTAAAAAGAGATAAAATATAAGAACTTTTTTAAACTAAAATAAGATAAAATATAAATTAAAAAGAGATAAAATATAAGAACTTTTCTAAACTAAAATAAGATAAAATACAGATTAAAGAAAGATAATAAACTAGGAGATATAACTAAAGCAGTAATAAGCTTAAGACTAAAAGTTAATTACTATTATAAAGCTTTATTAGCTCTTAGTTATAGTCTTAGCAGGCTAACTTAATAGTTAATACTTAGTAAAGATATTATTCTTTAACACTTAGCTAGTAGGCAGCTAGAATATAGCTATATATACCTAAGGATAGGTTACTAACTATTTAAGGTTTAGCTAAATTAATAGGCTAAAAGGGACTTTAAGGTTATTAAATGCACTATTAGTTTTAAAAAAGTTAATATTAGCATTACTATTATTATAGCTTAAGCTACTAGGGCTGCTTAAAAGTGCAGGTATTAGGCTATATAAGAATTAAAGGCAGGACCTTAAGAGGGGAGGAGGTAGTAGACTAGGCTGTAAATAGGATATTTATATATTAAAATTTATAAAGTCCTAATTAAAATAAAAATGTAATATATTAAGGGAACTTACTAGCAGTAAGCTATTTTTAATAGTATAAATATTAATATAAGAGACTGCAGGCATAGGTCTTATCTCTTAAATTAGCTTTATAAAGGCCAGTTTATTAATATAATAAAGCTCTTTTAGTAAAGCCTATATAATAAAATATTTATAAATATTTTTATAAACTATAGTATTATATTTTTAAGCCGCTTTACTAAAGTTATTAAAGGTAATTATAAAATACCTGCAGTTATTAATTTAGCTAGTGTAGTTTAGTATGCTTTTTAAAGCCTAGAGGTAAAAAAGGTAAATAGTTAAGTTTAGCTAGATAGTAATAATAAAATAATAACTATAACTATTCTCCTGCTTTATTTACTAAAAGTTAATAATATAGCAGGTATAGTAAAAGATAGTATTAAAAGATATTTAGTTAAGCTTTAATATTAGCTTAGCCTATAGTAAATATATACTATTTAGTAAGTTAAGGTAGCTAAGAAAATGCAGGTTATTTAATGTAAGTTCCTTAATTTAATTCTAAAATATTAAGTATATATATTAGTAAACTTATATTTATAAAGTAAATAATATAAAGGACTTTATTAATATATTAATATATATATAATGCTATAAAAAGTAGCTTTTAGCTATTTTAAATTTATACTTAAGTAAGTTAATAATTTAAATAAACCTTTTTAAATTAGTTAGGATATTTTTATTAACCTTATGCATATAGTAACTAGTAAATTAAGGGCTATGCTATAAGAATAGTATTAGCTATATATAATACTTAATATATTAAGACTTTTTAAGGGTAGTATTAGTAAGTAAATTTACCTTTAGCTATATATCCCCTTTAAGCTTTAAATTAGTATTAAACTCTTTATTACCTAAAGCTATTATATATTAGTAATTTTAAATATCCTACTTTAGCTTAAGTAAAGGCTAGTCTTAAAGGCTAATAAGATTATCTTATATAGGCTTTTAAAAAGCTATTAGAACACTTTCTTAAGCTTTAATAAAAGGACTGCTAGGACTGTTATTAGTTAACTGCCCTTAGCCTGCAGATCTGCCTTTACTGCTGCTGCTTTTAAAAGCATAATAATAAAGGCTTATAGTTAGCATTAGCTACTAAGGGGTTTACTAGGTGTTTAGTAAATTATTAGTTAATTAATATTATTTATACTTTATAAATAATAAAAGGCAGCTAGACATATTAATTTAAAAGCTAGGTTAATAAATTGCCTAGTAAAATTTAAGAGTAATTAACTAGTTATTTATTTAATTAGAGTTATAAAACTTAGCTCTTAGCTTAAAGGCAATAGTTAACTATCTATTCTAGGACTATATATAGCTAAAGATATACTACTAGTAGTATATTAAAGCTGCAGTTATCTAGTGCCTGTTTAACTACTAGACTAGGTTATAAGTATAATAGCTTCTACTATAGTAATTCCTTATTTAGCGCTAAATAATATAATGCCTTTACCTTACCTAGCTTAAGGCATCTGCCTGCCTAGTTAACTACCTATACTAGTAAAGAATTAGCTAAACTAACTAGTAGGCTAGGATACTTTTATAGGCTAAGAATAAGGGTTACTCTGGCTTTTAGTTATTAAAGTGGCACTTTAGCTTTATAGCTATGCCTAGAAAGTGAATTATGCTTCTAGCTAATAAGTATTAGCTGCAGGAGCTAGGCCTAGAGCGCCTTAGCCTCTGCTAGCTAATATAGTAATAGGCTGTCTAGGACTAGGCAGTGCATGCTAGCTTTTACTTTAACCTTTACTTATAGTACTGCTAGACTGTCTAGAACTAGATAGCGCAGGGCTTTAACCCTAGCCTTTACTAAACTATCTAGAACTAGACAGTGCAGGACTTTAACCTTAACCTCTACTAAACTGTTTAAAACTAGATAGTGCAGGGCTTTAACCCTAACCTCTACTAAACTATTTAAGGCTTTAACCTTAACCTCTGCCTATTACTAGACTTAGGCTAGAAGCTCCTGTTCCTATCTATAGCAGATATATTCTATTAGAATTAGGTGCATTATTAGAAAGATAATGCTTTAAGCAAGTGCTTTAACTAGACATTATAGTTAAAGGTGGAGGCAACTGCCTTAAATATATAATGCTAAGAATTATATAAATAAGTTAGTAAAGCTTATAGTATATATAGATAATAAATATAAAAGAGTTAAGGATAGGGAAGAGGAAGATGTTAATATATACCTATTAACTAATAGATAGGCAGACTAAGAAAATAAGGTTAGTTATATTAAAGTTAGTTAAGGTTTAAGAAGCTTTAGTAAAAATGCATAAATTAGGCCAGAAAGATAAGTAAAAAGGTCTAGACTAAGGAAGTAAGGTTAAGTAATTAAACTTTACTTTAATATTAATAAGACGGCCTAGTAAATACACACCTATAAGACTATAATATACAAGTGTTTAATTAAAATAAAACTAGGGAGATAAGGTTAATTAGGCTTATAATATTAAGAAATAAGAGGGTTTAGTAAATATATATTTAGAGAAGATAAGTGTTTAAAGATAAGTGTCTAAAAATAACACTAAGAAAGCAAGGTTAATTAAGGCTTAATAAGGGAGAGGTGCTAGTAAATATATACTAGTAAGGCTAGGAAAGGCAATGCCTTAGGAAAATAAGGAAAAGAGATTAAAAAGGTAAAGTTACTGTAATTTTAAAAGATAAGAATTTAGTAAAAGAGGTTATTATATAGGTTATATAAATAAAAGATTAAAGAATAGGTATAGAGAAGGGGGGTTTAGGATTTATCCTTATTAATTACCTTAGTTATATTAGGCTTGCGTTTCTTTAAAATCTTAGATTCTATTTATAAGTAAAAAATTTTCTTTTTAAATTAAATAAAGCTAATTTACTTTACTTTTACTTTACTCTTACCTTATAGTTAAGTAATAGGAGGTTAATAGCTAGAGCACCTGTAATTAATTACCTAATTAAGTAATAGTAAAGCTTAATAACACAGGGCCTATAATATTAGAATTAGGTTAATAGTTAGCTAGCAGGTGCATATATATGCTCCTTCCTTCTCTTATCTTTAAAAATATAAAAATTCCTTATTTATCTATCTAGTTATTTAACTTTTTATTTAATATTACTAGATATCTTATTTAATATTTATATAATACTATTACTAAAATTACTTAATAAGCTTAGTAATACTGCCTCTCCCCCTTAAAGTATAATTATAATATTTAATAATAAGACAGCTAGGAAATAAGAATAGCAGATAAGAGGCCTGCTTAAAGGATTCCTTTATTATAAATAGCAAGCTCTTATAAACTAAGATTATAACTGCATTTATATTAACCTAATGCATTTTAAAGGTAAGTAATTTATAACACCTCTATTAGGGATTTATTTAATATCTTTATATTTAAGGCACCTGCAGAAGGTAATAAAAGGATTGCTATAAGTAAAGGGTTTAGTAATAATAGTCTTAGAAATATTAAATTTAAAAATATTAAATTTAAAGATAATAAATATAAAGATAATAAGGCTCTTAAAGCTAAGATTCTGTCTGCCCTTAATATAAGCCAGCTTAATATTATAGCTGCAGACTAGGGCATTCTTCCTAATATAGACTAGACTTTACTTCCACCTGGCTTTAATAAGCTTAAGTTCTGCACTATAGCTAAATATAATAATATTACCTTTAGTTAGGATAACCTTATTAGTAAGTTTAATAATAATAATATTATATCTTAAATACTATTAGCTATTAAGACAGGGGTTGCAGGTTCTTTTATACTAGCGCCTAATATGCCTAGTTTTTAAAAAACCTTAGATTATACTATAAAAGATAGGTTAGCTTTAATCTATTACTTTATTTACCTTAAGATTATATTATTTAACTTTAAGCTTGCCTTTAGTTTAATAATATATATTACTAGTATTAGTAATAAGGACTAGAGCATTTTAAAAAAGGTCCTTTAAATACTTATATCTACTAGCTAACTTAAAAATAAAGACTTATTAAAGTTACCTTAAGCACTTACAACCTTAAAAAACTAGGTTATAAAAATAATGCCACTTTTAAATATACAGGTTATTAATATTAACCTTAAGGTTAATAAGCTGCTAATAATACTACCTTTTAGTAAGGGTAGACTACTAAACTAACTATAGCTTAAGACATAAAGTATAAAGATATACTTCTTTAACCTTAAAGACCTATTTAAGTTAATCCTATCCTTTTAGTTATATAGTTAAATATATACTAATATAGCCTATTAAGTTAATATATTAACTAAGCTATATTACTTATAAGTATAGGTAAGCTTTATTTAAATAAGCTTTAATTACTACACCTACTTTATTAATATTAATAGGGACTTTAGTAATTTAATCTTCTTATTTAACTAAGTATATTTCTTATATAATAGCCTTAATTATATATGCATATCTCTTAATGCCCTAGACCTTAATATACTACTGCTATTTATAAAGGAGCTTTATTATATTTCCTATATTAGTTATATTATTAAATTTATAAAGGATTTTAGTACTAAGCGCTACCTGCTTATTATACTTAAAGATATTATCCTTATTTTATAAAAAGCTCTGCATTTTAATAATAAATGCCTTAAGCTAGGAGATAATATCTAGCTTAAGCTTAATAAATTAGTTTTAAGCTTAAAGATTAAGTACTGTATTAAATAAGGCTTTATCTTTAACTTCTACTTTATAATACTTAACTATTAGTCTAGTAAGGATTTAAAAGACCCCTTATTTTATATTAATAAGTTAAAGAAAAATAAGGCTAATGCCCTTTTTAAGAAGTATCCTTAATATAACCCTTAGGTTTAATATAAAAATAATAAGTAAATTATTTACTAAATTTTATAAAAGAATAATAAGCTAGACTAGTTTTATTACCTTTTTAGTATTTATATAAAATATAAACTAGTAATATATAGTTAGTTATAGTTTATAAATAAATAAAACTGCCTTATACTAGGCAGTGCTAATAAACTGCCACTTATTATAGTTTTATATACTATATTTATTAATAAGTTTAGCCTCTTTTAAAACTTATACTATACCTTAGTTAGTATATATATAATAATAGCAGGCTTAAATGCAGATAAATAGTAATAATAAGCTAATATGCTTTTAATTCTGCTAAGCTTATATAGCTTAGTATTTAAAAAGGTAATTAATGCCTTTTACTGCTTTATACCTCTTAATAAAGGTATTATAGTTAATATTAATAATGCTTTAATATTAATATATATCTTTATACTTTATTATATAAAAGATATATTATAGTAAAATTAAAATGCTAGTTACTTAGGCCTAACTGCTAGTAAGTTTTACTATTTTTATTATATTAGTAAAAAGAATATTATTATAGCCTTTAAGAAGTTTAACCTAGGTTAACTGCTAGACTTTAATATTAATTAATATACTTAATATTCTTATTAAGTTTTTAAAATATAATACTTTACTAGTAGCCTATTAGTAAAATAAAAATAAAACTACTATTTATAATAAGACCTTACTATAATACTATTAAACCTTAAAAAGATCTCTCTAGCGCTTAACCTAATTTAGACCTAGGTACTTAATATAGCATATTTAAAATATAACAGTCTTACTAACCTATTTTATATAATCCTAATTAAGGTAGTTTTATAACCTTAGGCTATAAAGAATTATAGTTAACTTTTATAATTCTAGAAGTTTCCTCCTAGCTAAAATAGGCTATAATTACTTATTTACTATTTAAGAAGCTATAGCCTCTTAAAGCATACTTACTAATTTATAATTATACTAGGTTTATTAAATATATAGTTAAAGAAGGACTTTATTAACCTTAACTTTTAAAATACTGCAGTTATATAGCTAGAGCTTAACAGTCTTAATTTAGTTAATTAAATAGTTTATGCATTTACTTATCTTACTAAAAGTAATAACCTCCTAATAGAAAATAACTAATATTTATAAAAGAAATATAAAAATAACTTATTAAATATTATACTTTAAGCCTAGCATAACTATTAAATAATATATCTCTAGGCATTTTAAAAGCTATAAAAAGGCTGCAGTTATAAAGCCTTTAAGGCAAGTTTAGTATTATTAAGTTAATTTATTTAATCTAACTTCACCTAAACACTTTAGCAGTAAGTGCATAAGTAAGATAAAAGAGGGCTTATAGCTAATAAATTTAAAATCCTCCTTTATAATGCCTTTATTTATAAAGCACTGCTGCTGCTTAACCTAATACCTAACTAATATTACTATAAAAAGCTAACCTAAAAATAGTAAGATAGAGATAATAAGTTAGTATAATTAACTAATATTATATAACCTAATATTTATATAGGTAATTATCTCTTATATTTTTATAAAAAGTATATAATACTTTTAAATATTAATATCCTTATTAGTAAGTTAAAGTATAAGTAAGTATTACCTTTACCCTTAAAAAGATATACTAACTTTTATAATACTAAATAGTTTAAGGTAATTATATATTAGACTAACTTTAAGAATATTAAGTATGCACTTCTTCTTAAAGTTAACCTTTAGCTTATTTACTAGCTCTTTATCCTTAAGGCATTTAATATAATATATCTTATTTTAGCTAACTAGATATATTATATATAGTTAGCTTATCTAACCCTCTTTAATTATATCCTATCCTAATTTAACTAACTAATTACAGCTATAAAGGAATCTAACCTTAAATATTAAGATATATTTAAAAACATTAATAGGTATACTAGTATTATAGCTACTAGTAAACTTAAATAAACAGCTATGTCTTAAACTTACTATGCTGTAAATAAGCATAAAGGCCTCCTTTTAAGTTCTAAAGGCATAACCTAGATATTTTAAATATTACTATATAATATATATATAAATAACTATAATATTCTTAATATTTATACCTTTAGTTAATCTAGTTTATTATTTTAGTATAAGAAGTTCTTTTTTATTAACTAGTAAGTCTTTTTAAAGCGTTAAGGTATATATATAAAATACAGTCTGCTACTAATATGCTTTTAGGTAATATTATTACTTTATATTTAAGATTAGCAACTATATTAAGTTTAATAATTAGCGCTATATTAGCTAAGTTAATAATATATTTATATATAAGTATAATAGTATTTACTATATCTTTATTATTATAACTAAGGTTATTATATTTTATTAACTATATAAGCTCCTTCTCCTGCCCCTAATTTAAAAGACTAAGCTATATATTATAAGTATCCCTTCTATTACTATAACTATAGGAAGGTATATTATTAATAATAAGGCAGATAATAACTAGTAGATCTAGGTGTTTTAAAAGCCTAAGTTTATATAATTTATAGTTAAAGGTATATTTACTATAACCCTAGATTATAATGCTATTACTAAATATTAAGTAACTTATAAACTAATATAAAAATATTAAATAATACCACTTCTTTTTAGGGGGGTATATTAAGATAGAAGGTATATACCTCCTAGTTAAGCTATATACTTATATAATTTTCTTAAATACTATTAAGCACTAAATTACAGTTAAAAGTTTATTTTTAAAATATATATACTAATATTATATAAAATTACGCTTAATAATTAATATTTAACTAGTATTTAACTAATATTATGCTAATAAAAGAAATTCTGCTAGTATATTAAGTTACTAGGAGATGCTTATATAATATATACCTTTTAGCTATAAGTTGTATTTTCTTAAGTAATTGCCTTTAATTAGGCACCTTACTTATATAAATTAAGAAGCTATAGCTAATTTATAACTATATAGGTAAGATATTATATCTGCAATCTATAAATAGAGATTAAATAGGATTAGTGTTAATATATAAGATAATTTTATAAAAGTTACTATATTCCTTATTAATATCTCTTCTTTATAAATATATAATAAATAGTTAATAGTATAAGGAAAACAGAAGTTTTAGGTTATTATTTAGGTTAGCTGTAGAGGCATAAGGAAATAGTTATGCCTTTATTATATATAGAAATAAAGCGCAGATAGTAAAAAACAGCAAGGGCTTCCTTTAAATAAATTAACTATATAATTTACTATATGCATTAAACTAATAAATATGCAGGCATTATATAAGGCGCTGCTAAAGTACTGATTTCTCTAGACCTATTAATCTTTTAGCACCTATAGGTTTATTTAGCACCTTAATAGCACCTTAATAGCACCCTTTTAAAACCCTGTTAGCACTTTATTAGCACTTAGTTAGCACTATGCCAGCCCTTAGCACTATGCCACTTATTAAAACCTTGCTAGCAGGGGCGTAAGATTTCTGCACCCTGCTAAACCCTGGCATAGTGCCTGACCTCTTTAGGCTTCTACTATGGAAGGATAAAGGAGACTGCCGGAGGACACCCGGCCTTGTGAACTACCTATGGGAACTTATCTCGCTTCTGCAGCAGTCAATTGTCATCAAGACCATGTGCGCAACGAGTCAATAGACTACTCGGGCAAAGAGATAGGGGGCTTGAAATTGACTTGCCCCCTCCCGCCCGGATTTCTCCAAATGAACTTTCGTCTCGATGACATGACGTCCACCATGGCAGAATGTGGTCTTGGCCAACTCGACGCTCAGTCACGACCACGCCGTAAAGAGTAGGAGATGTCTCTCCAAGATGTTTTGAGTGAAAACGCAGCCGCCATCGAGATGCATCACACACACACACACACAGGCACACGCCAAGTCCCAAGCTCTCTCCCTCTACAGTAGGTAGCACATCACAAACCCCCTCCCCCTCCATTCACCCAATCACACCATAATAACCCTTCCTTGCCAAGGGATCACGAATTCCAGTCGGTCCAGCTCACCTCCCAAACTAAGCAGCCGGCCGCAACACCTCAACAGACCTTGCATGTGCGGAGTCCTCCGTCCTCCGACCCGAATATCGGAGCGGGCTGCGCTATGAGGTGTGCTTGCCGCTAGAATGTTTCCAGAAATCGGCAGAGGTCCTTGAAGTCGCCAACCGGTGATGACGAGGATGACACACGTCGGGTACAGTATTATAGTAGGTAGGTAGTACTAGTAGTAGGTAGTTGGTCCCAGTTGGAGCGCCCTGACATCCGCCGTACCCGGCGCTTACTTGTATCACCTGTATACTTCTTCTTCACCGAATGACCAGATTCGTAGGCTCCGGAAAGGCAGCTATGAAGGATACGGCCAAGGCTGGTACAAAGGGCCGTCGGCGTAGAAGAGGGATCTACTGTACTTACTTTAGGTATGTAGGGTGGGATGGGGAAAGGATCCCGTCAGGCTGTGGAAGAAAAACACCAGACTACTAGCTCACACACTCTACCTAGGTATATTCATGGTGCCTATTACTCCTACCTACTATTACTACTGATATCCAAGAATGAAACGGGTCTTTAGTTTCTACTACCATCGCTATGTACTTCTATTTCACCAGAGTACGTTATATAAATCCTAGTTGATGTATCCATACCATGTAGACTGAGGTACAGAAATCTAGCGTTGAACGAGATCATTCCCGTGTTGTCTATCCACTGCGTGCCGTCTGGCTGTGAGGGTGGCGTCAAGTTGCCCGCCCAGAGTAAAAATCCAGATGATCTTCGTGCCGTGCACATCAACGACGGCCGGAGGAGTTGAACCCAGACGTCACGATGGGTTGCCGTTTTCTTGTTTTCAGGATGGCCGGCGTGGCTGCAAACTTGTTGCTCCTCCAATTCGTCATGATTTCATGTAGTATGTATATTAAATCGCCATTGGGATAAGTCATATGGGTGTTTTTCAGCTCGCAGTCTTACTACCTTGCTTATACTACTATAGCTGAGTTGCTTGCCCATCGTCTGGCCACCATTTGATCACGTCAAAATCATGATGGGGAATCATTTCACACGGGAAGAATTCTCATCCACACTCGACAATTTCTCATCAAGCACCGGACAATCTTCCCACAACGGCTCTATGATTTCATGCGTTAGCGGCAAACGCCTTCCTGGAGCCAAGCCCCGACATCCGAGAGACAATCTTGCCCAATGGGGATGTTGATTGGCACATCTCCGAGGAAGCTGGGGAAGACGGGTGGTGGCGCTCGAGTTGGGCAAGGAGTTTCTGGTCTTTGGGACCTGGGGGCCGACGTTTGAGGAGGAGCTGATGTTCCATGGGAGGGGGATAGGCTATGTATGTAGTATGTGGCGCTGACGGCATGCTTTAAAACGTGCAAACAGCTTCGTACTGTATGCGCTTTGTTCGCAAGCGAGAGTCTTGGCTTTTGTGGGTTGTCTTGGGATGCAACGGCGGCAAGACGGATACGAAAGTCCGGCTGGAAGCATTGCGGATGTTTGGAGAAGATGGACGGCTCAGGTCAGACTCGCTCTGCTCTCGAAGCAATGTCCATTTGGAATCAGTCACCAGCACCGCGCTGACTTCGGCGAGCTGAGACGATTCAGACAAAAGACAATTCATGTCTGCATCCCCTCTGCTTTTGCCCGCTGCTGAGGTCACGCGGAGGCTTATAAGCTTTCCAGGGCAAGTTTCAGAGCTCCCCCGGAAAGCCACCTCTTGCACCACCTGACTGCGCCTTGGCCACTCTCTTGTCTCAATCTTGGATCACGGTGAAAGGTCCCGAGGCGATCACGATGCTGCTCCAGCGCCCGTCCAAGCTGAGGACGCCTCGAATGCTCCATGCCCCGTCTAGGCAGCCCCAAGTGCGGAGTCTGCTCGCAAGTCTGAGCGATGGTTGGCTGAACGACGGCTTCGTGTCAGGGGAACACTGCATACTTTTCTACCCCCGTAGTTTAGATGTCGTGGAGTCCCCAGAATGGGGTCCAAGAAAAGGGGATCGATGAGCGGTTGCTGCTTGGTGAGAAAACTAGAGCCACAGCGTCACCGATCAGACTAGCCAGTACAGTATGGAGAGAACAAGACGCCTCGACCGGACCTCCGGCACAAGCAAGCGTGCAGACTCGTGCATGTAGTAGGCATGGGAGAGTGAATGCAAGTAGTAGTATGTAAGTATGGCTCATACATTTTCGACGCTGGCAATGCGGTTGCGGGACAATGCCACGGCAAAGTCCGACGGCGCGCGTCGTCACAGCCTGTGTCCGTGCATTGGTTGTTTGGGGTGAGCCTTGATCAGGGCGGAATCACGGCCACATGAGTTGGCCATGGATGACGGAACGAGAAGGTGTCGGATCTGCAGCATGGCAATCGTCGGCAAAGGCCAACGGGCTGCATGTCCATCTCGGCTGGATGTTGGACTTTTGGCTGATCAAGTTGCTGGCAGTGCGTTTCGCCCGTCGTGCTACTAGCACTGCGTCCTACCTCCCCAGGTATGTACAAGCAATCAAGGCCAGACACGCACAATGCCATCGAGATGTGAGTGACTGCTCGCCAAGGGCGCGGTGAGACCATGTTAAGCTTAAAAGCAAGGAGGACCAGCTCTGCTGTGCAAGTCAGTCGGTTTTCAGCGCAGCGAGGCACGAGAGCGGGCATCCAGGTATGTTGCCAGGCTACCCCAGGGCAGCCAATGCCGGGGATACAGGACATGGTTGCGTGAGCATTCTGCAGTTCCTCTGCGTTTGCAAGCCTCGAGCCTGGAGCCAGATGTATCCAATGCGTGATTGTGCAGAGACGGAAGCCTCAAGCCTCGAGATTTGCAGCTAACAAGGTCGGTTTGGGGGCCGTTGAGATTAGCTGCGAATAGTCCTTTGTAGATGTGACCAAGTCGCAGCAGCTAGCGGTAGCCTTGCCTTGGGACACCGAAGGACATCGACATGCAGTCTACCTGAAGCGATCCCGTCGCCAGTCAAGTTTCCGCGGCAGAGTCGTGGTCCCGCCAAGTCGTTCTGGGGTACTCCGTATTGCCGCCAGTCGGCACTAGATCCGCGGGTCTTTTCTTCAATGCCCGTTGTGATTCAACGCAGCTGCTGATCAATGTCAAGGCACCTCACCTGGCTTCTTTGCTGGCTACGGTACCTATGTAGCATGATTCGCACCGTTATCAGCATGAAGAGAGTGTGAATTCGCCATCTTCCATGGGTAGGTATCGTATAAGTAATTGGGGATGCAATCCATGCGATTATTCGCTCACCCGTGTCGTGCTAGTGGGCGACGAGGCTTGCGGCTGGACTGGAGGCGAGTTCAATGTTCAGAATGTGCCCGAGCTGCAGCAATGGAGGCCGGCTGGCGTTGTTACCCCTGACAGGACGAATTGCAAGCATCCAAGGCTGATGCTAGTAGTAGGTAGTACTTGTTCATACAAGGAGCAGCAGATGCTCCGTCGATGCCACCGCTAGCCGCCCTGGGTTGCGGCATGGCTGGGTGAGATTGAAGGCGCCGCTGGTGGATATCGGAGACGGGGAAGACGTCTGACCGGTGAAGAAGGAGAAGCTCCCCGAGGGATGAAAGCCGGCGGAACCTTGCCTTCCAAGCCTTTGTATGAAGTACTTTGTACCGATGCTGATGATGACGATGATTCCCATGAATCCCGTGGTCCTCGCCCACGTCCCAGTGGTACTACTCCGTACCACTCGTACTCCGTATGAGGAGACCGAACAGACAGGGCCGAGAGAGGGCGGCTCACAAGCGGGGATCCACAAAGGAGCCAAGGCCCTGACTTTTGGCTTCCAGCCGATGAAAAATTTCATCTGCAAGCCGTGGTGGAGAGACTGCGGGTGGAGCGCCCAGCAGAAGCACACGATGGACCTGCTGTCCGTCCCCGGGGGCCCCCCCTAGCCAGTTTGCCCAAGTCGCTACGAGTTCTATTAGTCCGAGCGACCACCTGACTCTGCGGCTGGGGAAGGGCTTCGAGACTGGTGACTGGTGACTGGTGACTGGATCGAGGCCAAAAGCCAGCCGGCGCTGGTCGCTGGTCGCTCGCAGCTCGCAACCCACAGCACACCCACTCGCAGGGACGCCGTCGACACACGGTTGGCCGAATTGACATGCGAGGGCGCAGCCTCTTCTTGGTTGGGAGGGGGTGGCAGGAGGAAGGACTGTGTGAAGAGAGGGAGGAAGAAGAACGACGAGGAGAGTACTGTAGAGATGGATAGAGGCCTGCCAGTCAGTATCACCACCTTGTTATGACTTGCACGACCCGGATGCTGTCAAACGGACTGCTTGCCCACGATCCGCTCTCGGTGCGTCGGGTCGCATCTGCCCTGCCCTGTCCAGCCCAGCCCAGCCCTTCAGATGGATGAGTTCCGCTGCTGCTCCTTGTTGAGATGCCGGTGCGGGCCTGCGTTCGCTCTGGTGCCACGAGCGACCAGCACTAGAGAGCAGCCGGATGCACGCCCAGCGCCGTGACAAGAGCCTGCGCGGCTCACGTCTCACAGGTACCCGCGCAAAAGAGCTGCAGGCCCCGGCTCCATCGCCCTCGTACCGGCTGCTCGTCTCTCTTTTTTTTTTTTTTCTCTTTCCTTCGTCTTCTCCCCTGCCATCCCCGTCTTGCCGTCCTATGCCTTGTCTGGCCACGCCAGCGCCGAGCTCGCTCGCTCATCGCCCATCGCTCCACCCCTCGCGCTGGGTCGTCGGCCGACCCTGCAGAGTCCAATCGCCAGGCTTCAAGTCTCTTGCGAGTGGCACTTGTTTGTGTCGAGCCAGAGCCAGAAGAGACCAGACAGATCCAAGCCTAATCAGCCGTGACCCCGTTTTCTCGTGTGAAAGCCAGCCAGGCCTCTTCCGTACCGTGTGCCAGGCCCTAATTCCCAGGCCCCAGCCCAGCCCAGCCTCAACACGCACCGCACCGCACCGCACCGCACCCATCAGTCAAAGTGGCTAGTACCGTCCAGTGCCCTTTTCACCAGTAGAAATCCATCATAAAAGAGACGGGGGCCAGCTCCAGCGCAGACGTCGCCGCCGGAGCGCTGCTTGGCTCCCCTCTTGCGCAATTCCCATTACATAAAAGAAGTCCCGGGCGTCCTTTTCCCACCCAGCTTCCCAGAGGTTTCTGTCCAGTATCTTCGAACTGACCCTCCCGGAAGCCTGGCCTGCACATTCAGGTTACTATCTTTTCTGGAAGCTCGGGGCGACGGTCCCTTATCTCTCGCTGCGCTGCGATTTTTGTTTTTCTTACGTTTCCTCGGCCGCCCATAGGCGCTACAGACGCGCTGCCGAACGCCTATCTCTGCCCGTCGACTTTTTGCGCCCAGAAGGACCCTGCAATTGCATTCGCCCGCCCGGGACTCGTTGATAACGGCCATCCTGCTGGGCGAACCAGAGACGACGACGGTCCTGTCGGCTGTGCCATCCCTCGCGATAGCCTTGCCGCCGCCCGCGCTTGTCTGATAGTAACTGCCTGCGCTTGAGATACCTTACCAGGCGAACTCCAGGGCGTCCCACCCGCGAACCACGTCACCGGGACGCTTCTGAAGGCTGGCCCTGCTGTCCCCTTTGGCGGTTTTGTCCTCTTGAGACCAGACTGGGGCGCTTGCCGCAGCGCGGCTGTCGTCTCAACGGGCCCCCGCGCCGTCACCCAAGGCATGGCCGACATCATGTCCATCGACAACAAGCCGCCGACCCAGAACCCGGGGCCGAACCCTCACCACCGCGACGAGAGCGACGACTCGACCGGTTCCACCCCGGAGAGGGAGCAGGCTCCTCCCATGACGGCCGGCAGCGGCAGCAACATCATCAATGTCTCGCAGGACGGCCAGCAGCCCAAGCGAAAGGGTGGCCGCAAGCCGGTCAGTTGCTCCCCCCATCTCCCTCTGCCTCTTCAACCCCCCGACGTCATCTTCACCACACTGCCTTATGGCGGACGACATCGACGACGACAACGACTACCTACCTCATGTAGAGTAGTAACACCATCGCTGCCTACATACCTTGGACCGTATCAGCAGTGCTGCTGCTACTAGTCTTGTCTTGCATCTCGTCTGTCTTATCTTCCCGCTGCTACCCCTCAGTCTGCCTTATGGTTACCCCCTCCCCCTTCAGCCTCTCCTCCTCTTCCGAGCCAACGGCCTGTTCCCTGTCGAGGAATATTCCCTCCCATTTCCTATCACAGCTACAATGCTACCTCCCTGAGATCATGCCAAATCCCACCGCCGTCTTACACAGATACACCCGCATGTCTCCCTGCTATCCGAGTACCGCCAGCGATAGCTTCGATGGCGCCTCGTCGAATCAAACGGCTGCATGGGTGGTCAAGGCGTTCTGCTGCCCTTTTGGGTAATTCGCTTCAGCCCCCCCGTGTTACCTCACTCCTTCAGACACTTCCTGGGCAAACGTTATCATGACTACAATCGCAACCTGTACTCTTGTGCTGACACGTGCTTCTGTCCAAACAGATCTATGCAACCTCGGAGGAGCGCAAACAGCGCAACAGACAGGCCCAGGCCGCCTTTCGCGAACGACGCACCGAATATATCAAGCAGCTCGAGGAGACCATTCGCGTCCATGAGTCCAACTTGCACAACCTTCAGGCGGCGCACCGCACCGCCGCCGAAGAATGCCTGATGCTCCGATACAAGAACTCTCTCCTCGAGCGCATTCTCCTTGAGAAGGGTACGTTGCTCAAGGCACTTTTCGCTGCGACAAGTATGCCCATTTGAACCTTTCAACTAACGCCGGTCCAACATTCAGGCATCGATGTTCAAGCAGAGCTTCAGGCCAAAACCGGCAGTCCCAACCTGGCGCCCACTCATATGCCACAGAACCTGGTGCAGCCGCCTCCCCTTCAACGTACAATGATGCACCGGCACCACGCGCGCAAGTCTACTTCCAGCATTGCTCCCAAGACCGAGCCCGGTACTGGTCTGCCACCGCCTCTACAGCCTCACAAGACTGCGCCATCACCAAAGAATCGCCCAGCTCCCTCTTCTCATTCGAATTCCCCCAACATGGCGAGCTCGGCCTTTTCTCCAGCGGCCTCGGATACCATGTCAATGAGAGGATCCATCTCCGGACTGTCTCGTCAGCAGATGACTCCCATTTCTGTTACAACTCCGACGTCGAGACAGCCAATGGTGCAACCAGGGTCGCGAGGAGCAATGAACTCTGGTGCATCATTCTATCCGACTCCATCATTCCAGAACCACATCGAACAACTTGGTAAGGAAATAAATAGGCCCCGCTGGATGAGCGTTGGTGCGTTACTTTGCTGGATGCTAACCTGGTGCCGTACAGAGCAAGAATACGAAGCCGACATGGTGGAAGATTCTGAGATTGAGACGCCCAGTGGCCCGGGCCCATACCCAGGCGGTTTCAACGGAGAACAGCAACCGATGCTTCTCTCGCCAGCCTCCACGGGACCCGGACACCAGGTGGCGCCAGGCTCTCAGTATCCCTCGATGACGCAGTTGTTGGATCAGCAGCCCGACTGGGATCCATTCGGGCTCAGTGCCAGCATGGCTTTCCCCGGCCAGCCGTTTCAGTTTGATCAAACTCATATGAGGTGATTTCTCAACCATAGCGGCCTTCGCGGATGCCAACTATGAAGCTGGTCATGCGACGGAGGCCACCCGGTATGGCTTATGGCGGCCCCTACACTCCTTTGAAGTCGAGATGAGCATCGTCTTTCGGGAACGGCTCTTGAGAGTACCTTGGCTTGGGATGGCCCTTGCGATTCACGCTCTACCGGGGTACGGGGACTTCCGGTGTCGCGAAGCGGATGTTCAACCATCGGGCTCCTTCAGCAGGCTTAGTAGGGCGGGCGCGTCCGAAAGGTCGGGACTTCGAACACGAGAAACGAGTGCTCTGCAGGTTTCGGGCAGTGCCTAGCTCCGTGTGAAACGGGGTTACGGGGTTGCGGAGACCGGGAATCGAGATGCTTCTTACGCTCCCCTTTGTTGGAACTCCACCCGCTCGACGAACCCTGGTTGCACGGAGGATCATTACCACGGATGACAGCAGGGCACAACTACCATCTCCTACTCTAAAAGACCATTTCGAGGCAAGCAGATATACCACGATTATCAAGGGAGCATGCCCTGCATGGCACATGAAAAAAAAAATCCAATGGCTTTTACAATTGAGTCATGCCTTTGCAATTTACTATACTTGTTTATTCAACTCAGCCTCTTCAATGTACGAAGTAACGAAGCATCCCTTTGGTGGCATGGGTCATGTCTTTGGGCCTTTTTTGTTCGAGCCCTGTCCGGAGCGGACGACGTGGTGGAGATACCCATTATACCACTGGATTGGTGTTGTTCAGCATATTAGCACAGGATGGATCAGAGAGGGCAAAAAAAAAGTTGACATGGGTTATTTCATGGTAATGAGGGGAAAAAAGTTGTCTTTCTTGCTTTGTTTCAACCTTTTATGGGAGGCTATCTTTGGCGGTTATGGAAAAAAGAAAATCAAGACGAAACAGAAACCCCCAGACGCCAGAGGAAAGGGCAACGGGGGATCTTCCTTGGTAACAAGGCAAGGGTGATGGGAGGAGCCCAAGGATCTTTGGTAGCATGTTGCTGATTTGAATATACTGCATGTAAGCTTACTTTGGACGTTTGGCGGAGGGTTTCGATTCCCGTCTTGATGATGTATCTGTAGGTACCTGATGTAGTGAGCTTTGGTCTTGGGCTGGCGCATGTTTACCCTTCTTGTTTTACTCGTCTTGTGCATATTCTTGAGGTGGAAAAGGGGAATATGGGGTGATGGTCTAGTACTGAAGATTGTTAACAAGAACTGCAGACTGGAGCTCAGAAGCCAAAATGAGGACATATATTTCGTATAAAGAGTGTCAATAGTATACATCGCCGTCGGATCCCAAGAGAGGGCGAGTGCGTATCTACCTAGTATGTGCAAAGTTGCGGGTGGATGATGGTCAGATCTTGAAATTACCTCTACAAGGGGGAACCAGTCATTGACCCGTAGGTGAAGGATGTAAAATAGTGTTGATTCGCGCCTTTTAAGCATCGAGATGGGTGTTCCTTGTTCATGGCGGATATCTTGAGACGTTGGATCCCTTGTTGTTCTTGACTGGAAGGACAAAGCAACGGCTTTGCAGAGTGGGGAGAGCGGTGTATAAATATAGACACACATTGTGACTAATACGAGCACCGTTTAGGTATCGCGCTTGGTGGTGAAGGTCGCATTTGTGTGCACATGGTTGGTTTTTGTGTATGCTCATGTTTTGCTTTGTGCTCTGTTTTTTTTTTTTTTTTTTTTTTTTTTTTTTTGAGAACTGCTTGAGAAGCTGAACTACAGGCAAGGCATAAGGTTGGTTGCATTTGCTGGGCCGTGTGCTCTGGAGGTGAAGCATGAGGAGGGGGTTTTGCTGAGCATGTGGTCGACAAGGCTCTGTAGGAAACGAGGTTTATAATGTGCTACTGATTACATGTAGATTCAACGTCACTCACAGATCCAACTGGATGGCAATACTGTAGCTGAGAGGAGGACCAAGTATCTATAGATGATTCTTATTCAAAGTGTCTGCATTATCAATGCAATCATGGGATGAAGATCGTAGATGTTCCGCTCCGTACTATACAAGGACGGCTCCAACATCCGGGGTTCAAGGTCAACATAGACTCAGCCCCTGCGTGTCCGTAAATGCCCTCGCCGGCATCCGTGCTTCTCATCAAGTCATCAAGTCATGCCCCGTCAAACGATCATAAGCCATACAAGGCCCCCAACAAGGAGGGTCCACGCCCATGCCATGTCCCTCACGGCGTCAGCACCCGCCATCCGCGTGGCAGTGCTGCTTGCGTTCCACAGCATGGTAGCAACTCCCTGCTCCGTGACCTCGTCGATGCTGCACACGACCTTGCAGCCGTCCCCGTCACTGCTGCTGCTGCTGCTGCTGCTGCGGAGAGACAAGTCTCGCCGCCGGGGCAGTCCGCCACGAGGCCCGGCGTCGCGGCCCCAAAGGAAGCCGGTAGGATCCCGCTTCCACTTTCGCTGGGAGGCAGAAGAAGAAGAAGAAGAGCTGGAGGTGTTGTAGATCATCTCGATCCACTGGATCTGCAGGTTTGCCTGGTCGTACACGCTCATGTTCCCGCTCCAGCTTCCCCCGTCGGACCAGGCGTTGACATTGATGCCGGCGGCGTCCTGGGGCACCTGGAAGGTGATGTTGGCCAGCTGCTGGCCGTCTACATACCAGACGCTGCTGTCGGCCGTCCAGTCGAGCCGGTAGACGGCCCATTGGCTCCAGATCATGCCGCCCGGCAGCGTGGCGTTGGTGGTGGCCTCCGGCTTCACCTTGCCGTCGCTGTCGAAGGAGGGCTGGTTCGTGAGCTGGACGTTTTCCCTGGGGCCGCGCGTCAGGACTTCAAAATCCGACTCCTGCAGGCTCGACGAGGCGGTGGCGTCGCGATAGGTGAACATTGCCGTCACGGCGCCCGGGCTGCCGATTGTGCGGGCGAGCATGCGCAGAGACACGAATTGGTAGTCGGACGTCTTCGTCTGGAAGGCCGCTGCCGACTGGAACTTTGGTTCGCGCTGGGTCCTCAGGGTCAGGTACGTCTGCGAATCCGCATCCTCGTCCTTGTTCTCCTCGATGTACACGTTGGCTGGGGAGTAAGCCATGAGGACCGTCGCCGCCCCGGACAGGCCCTTTCCCTTGCCCTCGCTGTTGCTCCATCCCTGGAGCTGCCAGACGCTCGTCCATTCGTCACTGGAGAAGTAGTCGCTCGTTGGAGGGACATAAGTCGCGTTGGTGACGTTGGTCACGATGGGCGGGATGCCGGCGTCTCGGGTCAGGTTCCGGAAGTCGAAGAACATGTGATTCGAGAAGTAGCCGGGCTGCGTGCCATTGGTGACGAAGCAGTCACAGACGGAGTCGTCACCGTTGGGCAGAGGCTGGGGGCTACTGTCTTTGCTGTGGCTGGCGGTGATGCATTGGATGAGGATGGAGATTACGAGTGGTGAGAAGGGCGGCCAATGCATCTTGGTGAACCGCTAATGGATCTAGAAATCACTTCAAACGCCAACAAGAAAGAGAAGCAATTAACAGAGACGACGGAGAGCAAAGCCACGTAATAGGGCTATGATGCTGCTCGATGCATGTGCCCAGCTTCCGCCAGCTCGTTGCCCTGTTGACACGTGAAGGGAAGACATCGCGGCAAGTGAGAGAACCAGAAAGCGAGCCGAAGAAGAAAAGAAGACGGCGGAAAGAGACCGGGATCTACAATTCACGCGCATCTGCGGCCTGGGATGCATCTTGTGTGGGCTTGCCAACCGACGAGATGCAGCTGAGCCGATCGCTGTTGGGCCGGTAATGGAACATCTCGTATTCTGAGCCCCAGCGTCCATGCAGATGTGACCTGATGGAAGTCGGTAGACGCCAGGACAAGAATTGACGTCGAGAGACTGAGCTGTCACTGTCCTACTAGAGCTAGCAAGACCTGCGCTAGAAATTAGCAGCCATCAAATCATTTCCACGTTTGCCGTTGGTTCCCGCAGTCCCGCCTGGTACAGCATTGAAGGTAGGTAGGTAAGGCTAGTACCTGGTATGCAATGATGCATCACCGTTAAAATGAGCTTCCCCCCAAATGACAGCTCCCGGATTATAGATGTTCCTTTCGCAGCTGAACCGCCCCGGCACCCGGCAATCCATCCTCCTTTGCTCAACATGTCCATCCATCAGGTTCCCTCGCCTGACCTTACCTATTCGTACATCGTATGGAACATTGACTGCCAGCCTCACAGGAAGACGTGGTGCCAAAAGCAGCAGCACGATTGCGACAGCACGGCGCGCGAGACCACTTCTCCAGCTACTTGACTCAGGTAATTATTCGCTCGTTGTTCGTTGCAACGCGAAAAGGCGCAATACCTACCAAAGAGCGAGCTTGTAGCCGCGGTGCCTCTGCTTCAAGACTGCCTCGTCCCCGCCTGCTAAAGCTCTAGGTGCATAAGTATCACGTTGATCATGGCGTTACTATCAGGATACTCACGTCTGCAGATGAGAACAGGTACAAGAGAGCAAGGACGACATCACGCAAAGAAAAATAACGACTGCCTGGGTGTGCCCTGTGCTTGAGCCCCAACATGCCGTCGCCAGAGACCGCCGTCACAGAGTCCACGGCTGAGCAGGCGGCTGAGTCGCCAGCTGCGGTCGCCGACTCTGTCCAGAAAGCGGCAAGCGAGGAGCGTGCCGAGGACTCGGACGTCGAGGCCGGGGAGGTGACCCAGGAGGACGAGTCTGACGGAGGGCGGGACGCCAACTCTGATGACAAGTCGCCGCCAGAAGAGTCGTCATCACGAACCGATGCGACTGCCGCTGGAGAGGCGCCACCGCTACCGAATGAAGCCGTCCCCGACGGTCCACCCTTGCCGGACGAGCCGGTGCCGCAGCAGCCAGAGGATGACGGATGGGACTGCCAGTGGGATCCCAGCAGCCAGGCCTGGTTCTTCTACAACCGCTTCACGGGCAAGAGCCAGTGGGAAAACCCTCGAGTCCCTGGCGCGAACGGCGCTGTGGTGACCTCGCATGTGGTTGAGCCCCAGCCGCCTGCTTACGAGAAGCCCGTTGCTGGAGGCTACAACCCGGCCATCCACGGCGACTACGATCCGAACGCGTGGTACGCCAAGAATAACGAAGAGGAACAAGATACCGCCGGCTTGGTCGGCGACCCTGCCGCCATATATGCCGCCACGGCGACCTTTAACCGCTACACTGGACATTTCCAAGCTGGAGAGGGCGCGGAGCGGCACTCCGACGAAGCCAAGTCGAAGCGCCAGATGAACGCCTACTTCGACGTGGATGCCGCGGCAAATGCTCATGGCGGCCGCAGCCTCAAGGCCGAGCGGTCCAACAAAAAGCCCACCAAGAACGAACTCAAGGCCTTTAAAGAGAAGCGTCGCGCGAGGAAGGAAGAGAAGCGCCGAGCTTGGTTGCGCGACTGATGCTTTTTTCTAGTTGATGAAGGGTCATGTTCTTCCGATTTCCATATAACCTCTGGTTTGGCCCTCTTTGCATGGCATTCCTCTTCCCCGACTCTTCCATATACCTTATACTGGGACATTGATTTTTTCTTTATCTAACCCAAGGGATTTCGGTTCAAAAAATACTTCAGACAAAGGACGGCGTTGGAAATAATAGGGCGCGCAGGTTTAGGCATATCACATATCTCTACATTATTCTTCCTCCTACTTCTTGTGTCGGTTGTTGAAAGGTTTTACTAATTGTAATGAAGAGAGTGTGGTCATTGTAAGCCGCATCGTACATTTTTATGTAGATATGTATATCCAATACATGGCTCGTGCCACTTCTCTACGGCTTAGTATCCTTGTTGTACTTTTATTTCAAGACAAGTCTACTCAATCCTCTTCGTCTTCCTCCTCCTCGTCATCGTCCAGCTCCATATTCAGGTGCACACTTCCATCGTCATCGCTATCTGACTCTTCCTGCTGCTCAACCCCCTTTTCACCCCCTTTCGTCTGCAGTGCGGTAACCGAAGCCGAGGCAGCGGCGGGCTCAGTCTTTTCGAGCTCCTGTCGCTTGGGGTTGATGGGCACGTCTGTACCCTCGTGCTTCCTCTTTGGCGGGGAAGCTGCCCTTTCGGTGCTCGATGTGGCGCGAGGCTCAAAGGGATTGGGAGCGGAAACGGTACTCTGAACTGGGAGATCAACAGTCGTGTCGGAACGTGAGGCTGCTTCTGCTGTCTTCTCCGACGTCGGATCCTGCATTTCCTCATCGGACTTGTGCTCCTTTTCCTCTTCTTGCCCTGCCTCCTCCTCCTCCTCCTCCTGCTCCTCCTCTTCATCGATTTGCTGCAACTCGGCAACCTCGCTTAGCGAGGCAAACATTTCGCTTCCGGCGCCCTGGACGCCACTGGTCCGCAGATTGCTGCGCAGAACCTCCAGCCCTTGATCGTGCGGGAACTGCTGCACCAGGTGAGGCAAGATGCTGGGATACATCCTGCCGTGCTGGTCCCTGTACGGATTGAGCACGCTGGCGAGCATGGCGTCGCGGCTGCGCGTCAGGATGGCCGTCTTGTCGAGGTGGCCGCGGAGGGCGGGCTTGAGGTACGACTGCGGGAGCTGGGCGAGGATGGCTGTCAGGAGGGCGCTGGCTGCGTTCCTGTGGTGCGGTTCCAGGGTGGGAGCTTCGGTTGCGGCGGCGGCGGCGGCGGGCTGGAGGAAGAGGTCCGTGTTGACGGTGGCGGCACCGCTCTTGGTGCCTTTGTTGGCGGCCGTGCTGGTGGTGGTGGTGGTGGTGGTGGTGGGCTTGTCGGCGGGTTTGAGGAAGCCGGCGTCTTGTTGGAGGTCGCGGCAGCATGCCCCAACTAGGGGATCCAGCATGTCCACGGCGGGCTTGGATAGTGTTGGTCCGGCGAGCCGGAGGATGGTGTTGAGGGTGGTGTATCCGGCTACGCGGACGGAGGGGATGCTGATGCCGGACTTGAAGACGCGAATGAGGTGGTCGAGGATTTCCGGGACCAGGGGCAGCATGTGTCTTTGCAGCCTCTCAAAGAGGGCGACGACGAGCTTCATGGCTGCGACGTGAATGTCAGGCATCAAGCTCCATAGCTCCTCCTTTTCTTCTCTGCCAATGGCCGGGTTGGTCTCGACGGCTTGTTCCCAGGTCTGGGACTTGGAGAGCCGGGCGACAAGGCAGACTCTGGAAACGGTATCCAAGAGGCCGCTGATGGGGATTACGACGGCAGCCTTGGTAGGATAGCTGAGCAGGTCGGCGAGGAAGTGGAAGAGCCCAATCAACCGCTCGGCACCGGCCTCGAGACCGGACCAGGCGGGCAAATTGTCGACAGAGGTGCCCTTGCCGTGTGGCTCTCCATCGACGTCGACCTGAGATTGTGAACGACCGCTGGTTGCCTCCCACGATTCATCGACGCCTCGAAGGACCTGGTCAGCGGTGGTATGAAACTCGTGGATAATTCCGTCGACGAGCTTGGCCCATTCTTCGCTGCCGCCGGACTTGGCCGCAACGAAGGGGAGGGAGGCGACCAGGCGCCGAGCAGCTCGCTGTAGGGATTCTGGGACGGAGATTTCATCCGAGCAGGTAGGCGCAAGGTAGACTCCGACAGCGGTCCGGATCTGGGAGCTGAAAGGACGGAAGGTAGGCGGGTATAAAGGGATCAGGGTCGAGAATGAGCTGCAGATGGTTTCAACGAGAGTCAAGGGCGCAGCTGGAGATTGAGCTTCCGAAGCTTTGGACTTGATGAGCTGCAGACATGCTGTGCCAAACGCCGGCAGGAAAGGCGTGGCAACCTCTCGCACGAGGGTCTGATAAGGGTGAACGAGCATGAAGATTTTGGTGAGAGTCACGATGGCTAGTTCTTTGGAGGCTGCGGGGTCGCCTTTCTGGACTTGGTATTAGCATTCCTGACTTCACAATAGACAGCATCTCAAAAATGAGGATAGGCGATATCCGTACCTGAACAATGGAAACCAGCCCGCGTACCCAAGCCTCAGAGCCGCGCAGAGTCTCCCAGCCTCCCACGTCAACGGCCGCCTTGATCAGGCCAATGGCGGCAAATCTGCCCTCACGACTCCGGCCATTCAGGTGAGTGGTGATGCTGGTCTTGAGCTTATGCACAAGCATAGACGTCTGAGAGGCATCGCCCTTGAGCTTCGGGTCCTGAGGCGCGGACAGCGCATCGCGGCATCGGAGGACGTGGCGGATGAGGGAAGGGAGGGAGTGCGGGAGCTGCGCCGGCGGGATGGACGTGAGCTTCCGGGTGAGGACGCGGAGGTCCGTCGTTGAGGCGGAGGATGACATGTTGGCTGAGATGGACCGTATATACCTAAAGGTAGATATAGACCTGTGCGGTTGAGGCTGAGATGGTAGGATCCTCGCGGGATGTCTGTGAGACGACGTTGGAAGGGAGGAGATGTGGACAAGCGGCAGCTTGCCACTGTAAAAGGCGACACTTGTAGCGTAAATCTGTCAGATGAGTGAGGCGCGATACCCAAGATCACAATCGTCAATTGGTCTTTGTATGCATCACCGCCGTCAAAATCTCATTCTTCGTGTGTACGTACGAATGCTTGTGGTGAGCTTACTCGAAACTTTTTTTTTTTTCTTCCATGTCAAATCCGTCCACTTTCCCATACGGGCAAAGTTCAGGTACCTGCAGCTCCTTGTCGAGCGACCGTGGGGTTCCGTGCGGCGCCCCTGATTGGTGCGTTGCTCCTGTGTACAAGGGACTTGATGCCTGTTCAGCGCAGCAGCGCCTCGCAATAGTGCACGAATTGCTGCTGTTAGCGCTGTAGCTGCACTAATCTTAAGCACTACGTCAAAGGCCCCGGGGCTCTGTGCTGCCACATGCTCCAGCCGCCTCCATCCCTTGGACGTCCATATTTGATTGTTCATCTCTCAACCAGCCTCGTCACCTCCCCCCTTTTCGCGTCGTCGCGACACCGTCCCTTTCTTGTCTTGTCTGTTTCTGTTATTGGCGTTCGAGGTGGCTCGCTGTTTACGCTTCAGCTGTCACTCGTCAGCGGCACAGGCAGCTTCTCTTTTTGGGCGTGCGTCGAGCTGCCGCTTGGGAGCTGAATAACAGCTGCGAGCCACCTTTTCCCAGGGTCCTTCTCTGATTTGCCCCCCTCTCTCCCCTGAGCTGGGCGCAAGATGGCTGCTGTAAGAACAGCTGCAGCTGTAACGACGGCCGGCAATTGTCGCTAACAGACTGTGGTTTCAGACAAAGGCGGCTCGCTATGCCGACTCGCTGGACGACGCCCGATGCGAGGGCAACTGGCCAGATGTTCCGGAGCTGGTTCGCAAGATCCGCAAACACGATCCGGCGCGAGAATGTATGTCCCCTATCCGACTCCCGACGGCTCGACGTCTATACACCGGAAGCTAATCAGGGGTGCTTGGTTCATCACAGGCCTCACGCTGACCGCCGAAACGGAATGCGCCATCTCCAAGGTGACCGCCGCCGGCACGCAGCCGTCCGACCTCGACGTCCCGAACCGACTCCCGAGGCTCATGGCCGTCATCGAGTCCGAATCGCGCCCCGAGGAACGGTTCCAGGCCCAGGTTTGCGTCGGGTGGCTGCATTGGGTGGTCGGCGAGTACTCTTTGGCCCTGGAGCGACTGCCCAAGAGCCTCACCGCAGAAATTCCAGACATCGACCCGGCGAATACGGCCTCGGAATGGACCAGCGTGTGTGCACTCAAGGCTGCCTACCTCAGGGCGAACTGCTTGATGAGAGACGGATTGAGGCTGCCTGCGCTGGCTGCACTGCAGGAGGGTCTCCCGTCACTGGACCGGGTCTGGAGCGGTCACGGCATCCGCAAGCAGCTGCGATACTGGTCAGAGCTGTTTCTTACGGAGCATTGCATGCTCACCAGCGAGGCGCTTCACAACAGCGAGATTTTTCTCGACGATCCCAACTCCATCTCCAGCTTCCGGTCTTGGGCGAGATACTGGAAAATTATGTCGGCCCCTGTCACGGGCGGCTTCGGCTTCAAGGGTTCCGTGCCGCGGAGGAGGATCTGGAACGAGTACTACCTGGCGTTGTCGCGAATCCTGGAGAACGATCTCCCCTATCCGACCGGGCAAGCTGAAAAGATGGTTGATGATATGTCGGCTCGAAGCCAGTTGAGGGTAGAATTGCAACGAGCAGAGTCGGCTTATCAGGCCCTCCTGCTCAGCGAGACTGCCTTTCCCCGAGCCGACGAAGAACGCGCGGAAGTCGAGACATTTATCAAGCAAGTCATGATGAATTGGTCCATTCTTTGCGGCCGTGGATGGAGTGAGCAAGATTTGGGTCAGGGTGGTCGGGATCTCCTGAGCCGGAGCGTCCTCGAAACACTGTACAGCGCCGCGACGAGAACATATCACTCAACTGCTATTCTCCGATCTTTATTCACCGTCCACTTGTCTGTGGCTGAATTTGACCTGGCCTTCAAAGCCCTCGACTCCTACCTGGACATTGTGAAGAAGGGCAAGGCGCGAGTGGCCAAGACGGGACACCCTGAGCCGAGCTTGGACGACGACAAGACTGCCTTGGAAACCGTGTCACAGGGTGTCATGGTGCTGTGCACGTACGGCCATCTGCAGGCTGCCGAAAAGGCCCGGCAGCTGGGTGCTGAACTTGAGGATTGGCTTTCCAAGCTTCCACACGTAAATGCGCAGGAGAACGGCACTCCTGTGATTGCGGAGGAGAAAGAAGAGAGCCAGGTGCAGCCGGACGCCCCACCGCCTCAAACCGTGGCCCTCGCATGGCAAGCCATTGGCCTTGCGCATGCTCACTGGTCTCGAGTGACGACCGAAGCCGGATCACGGGCTGAGATACAGTCCAAAGCCATCAGATGCCTCCGGAGGTCTCTGGCCCCCGAATACGGTCGGTCAAAGGACGTGCGAAGCTTCTTCGCCCTGGGTCTCTTGCTGGCTGAGCGTCGCGAGCTTGCTACGGCTATCGAGCTCGTCAGATCGGCGCTGATGGCCGTGCACGGGTTCGAAGAGGACTACAACCTGTTTTACGGGCCGTACTGGCAGGAGAGGTCTCTCATCCCCCTGTGGCACCTCTTGGCCCTTCTCCTGAGCGCCCGGCAAGACTACACCATGGCAGCGAGGGCCTGCGAGGGTGCCTTGGAGCAGTTCAAGGACCCGACCGTTCTCTTCGGCAAGGCAGACGGCGGGTTCCGCAGTGAGCACCTCAACGACGCCGAAAAGGCCGCGCCCCCGAGAGGACTTGTCGATGATATGAGTGATGAAGAGAAGGTGGGAATTCTGGACGTCAAGATGACACAGCTCGCTTTGGTTGAGCTCATGGAAGGACCAGACGTCGCCGTGAATGCCAGTTATGAACTGCTGACTCTGTTTGCACGATTATTCGGTAGCATCGACGTGCAACAGCCAGCACTCAAGCCACCAGTTGTGAGAGAACCGCCCAAGACCTCACGCACCTTCAAGGGCAGCATCTTTGGGTCGCGCGCGGACAGGTCGAGACCACCCACCAAGCAGATGAGCAACGCAACGCTGGGTGAGAAGACAGTAACGCCAGATCGGCCTGCCACGTCACACACGACTGCCCCTAGCATCGCCCCAACCGTTCAGGTCACGGCAGAAAACGGGACACGACGGTCACGGAGCGGCAGCCTCGGTGCCCAGACCCAGAGGAGCGAGTCTGGAAGGAGAAACAGTTTGAAGAAGAAGGCCACTAGAAGCGGCAGTCAGCGGCGTAGGTCGTCGAGCCTGGGCGGCCTCTCACATCAGGCTACTGTTATCGGAGACGACTCGACCGATCACGACTTCTTTTCCACCGCCGGCAGGCGTCTGCAGTCTCGAATGGCAAATTCCTCTCGGGGAAGGACGCGCTCTTCCATGAACTCGTACCTCTCCACAAACTCCAAGTACGCCGATGATGATCTATCAGGCGACGTTAGCTTCACCCTACCTCATCTTCTACCCCTGATCAAGTTCCCGAAAGACAAGGAGCGGAATCAGCGGACAGCCATTCTGATCAAAGTGTGGCTGATGATTGCCGGATTCTACCGCCGGGCAGGGATGCTGGAAGACTGCAAGGGCGCTGTTGCTGAGGCGCAGAAGCTCATCCAGACGCTTGAGAGTGATGTGGCAAAAGACCCGGCCAGCGGGCCAGCAACAAGCCGAAGTCCATCTTGGGGTGAGAAGAAGAGTATCGATGAGCTATGGGGTGACATATACTCTGAGGTAAGTTTGCTGATTACGGCTACATGTTGCAGATGGCTAACAAATAATTCAAGCTGGGTTTCCTAGCCGTGGCCAAAGAAATGCCATATGCTGCTCGGGCCGAGTTCGAGTCTGCTTTGGCGTATTACCCCGATCATCCCGCAGCAATCGTTGGACTATCCAACATTCTTCTTGACATTTATAGCGAGAAGCTGCTTCCAACGCCCGCAATCCCCCCCTTGGACGGACACGAGATCTTTGACGATGCCGGCCAAGCCACCTCTGAATCTTCGCCAACCGCCCTCAAGACGCTACCATTCACTCCCCTGGGGCTTGTCTCCGACCCCAGTTCAACCGACGCCAACCCTGGTGAAGGCGATGAGAAAGATTCTGCCAAAGCTACAGGCTCCGGCGGCGAGTCTCGAGATGAAGATGCACTTCCCCAGCCCTACAAGGCTTTCCATCTGCCTCTCATTGACCGCCTAGCCGCGCGTGACCGTGCATTTACGCTCCTGTCGGGACTTACCCGCCTCGGCACGGGCTGGGACTACTCAGACGCGTGGTTCGCGCTCGCTCGCGCCCACGAGGAGAGCGGGCATGTTGACAAGGCCAGGGAGGTGCTCTGGTGGTGCGTCGAGCTTGAAGAGGCCATGGGTGTGCGTGATTGGCGGAGTCTCGCCGGCGGAGGCTACATCATCATCTGAGCAAGTTGGGACGGCGAATTTTCAGACCATTCCGGCAAATCTTCTCCCACCCAACCTTTTTTCCCCCTTTATGGACCCCGTTTTTTTCTTTTCCTTTCTCATTCTAATTGGCTGCTGTTGGGGAGAAGAACAAGGAGGGAAATTGGTGTTGCGTGATGGAGGAGGGCACCGTATAAAGAAAGAGGAGGGAGATTTGTTGCGATAACAAGGCACGGTGTGGTGATTTACATAATGAAAGGTATAGAAATTGGAGTATATTAGGGCACTATACAGATTCTTCTCAGCTATTCTTCCTCTCCCCTTGCTAATCACCTTTGTTGCTGTTTGCGTTGGTAAGCGGTAGTCGCAGCAGAGTTTGGTTGATTTGTTTATTCGTTTGTCTGTTTGTTTGTTTTTTCTTTATTATCAAGATAGACTTAATTGATGGCGGCTAGCCCAGCGGGTTCTTCAAAATGGTCATCCCTTTTTTTTCTCACTGATCCTCGTGGGAATGTCATGGCAGCAGAGGAATGTACGACAAACGTGATGTCTTCTGCCATTGTGTGTCCCAGGTCAAGGACATGCAATTCATCATCATCAGCCTAACACCACAACGCAAAAAAAGCAACACCGGCGCTTTTCAACTAACTGAAAAGGGATCTATACATGTGCTTCACGAAACATCATCATGGGTTTAAAATATTAATTACACTATATACGCTACCTAAATCTTTTCCCCCCCTTTCTGCCTTTCTGCCTCTCTTCCTTTCCTTAACCAACAGAATGCTCCCTTTTTTTCCCCTTTGCCATCCACACCGACACGCGCGCGCCTTGAAACCAAACAACATAGGGGAATTCATTTCCAGCCATGTTTCCCTCTCTTGTCCTTGTGAAAGAATAAAACTTTTTGTGCAAAAAGGGGGACAGAGAGGGAAGAAGATATAGAAAGAGACAAGTGGCCGTATAAGGGGTTAGGTTTCGGTAGTAGTGCTGACTCTATAATGTGTTTTGTTTTCTTCTTCCTCCTTCATCGCCTTCTCTTCTACCCAGAAAGGTAGGGTATTGCTCTGTATCTGTATTTCTTTGTGAACCGCATCCGCCCTGCCTTGTATACCCCGTCCTGCATCCATGTAGTTCAACCTCTACCGAACCGAGCCCCCACTATCCCAGAAGTGGTATATAAGTTTTCGATACTATCGTGTGTATAGTAGGTATGATGGCATTACCGACGACTCAGCATGTGCTGCAGGTATGTAGAAAATTGCCTCTTGTCCGCCGAGGTGGTCAACGATCGCAAAAAGTCATCTCCGTTGATGCCCAGGCTAGGGAAAACCTCGTTCTGCATCTGTTGTATGAACATGTCGCCTGTTTTGGTGTATATCGTCTGCTCCAAAGCAGCAATCTCTGTCAAGACTTGCTTCGTCTGTGCGTCGCTCGACGGCTTAAAGTTAGGATTCCGCAGGACCTCCCAGCAAGTAGAATGGAACCTTTCCATCATGAAGTGATCGAAGCCGGGGATTACCGGGCTGGGACTGCCGGTGGGTGCCGAGGGCGTCTTTGAGATTGTGGCAACGTCAGGGCCGCCCCAAAGCGAGGAGATTCGGCCCATAATGGTAAAGGCCAGGCGGCTGGGGCCGAGGTTTCCGTCCAATGTCTTTGCCAGCTCGAGGACAGAAGCAATCATGGGCTCAAAGAAGCCTTGGTTCGCTTCGCTGACAAGAACACCTTCCAGCCCGTTGTTGAGGATGATTTGAATGAAGGAGAGATATTCTCGCCGGAGCTCGGCCAGCTGTATCTCGTCGTCCGTGCCAGAGATGGGCTCGCCCAGGCCTCCAAAGATTCGCTGGAGGAGAGGCGTCAACAGCATGTTGAGAACCTCGTATATCTCCGACTTGAATCCAAACACCACTTGATCGAGAAGACGCAAGAACATGGCCATCTCATCCTTGGATGAGCTCTGAGAGAGCAGTCCTTCGATCCACTTTGGAAGCTGTGGGAGAACGGCAGCACCCAAGACGCCCAGCAGTTTTGAAAAGGCAGATCTGCATGCCGTCCTGATTTCTGCCGACGAGTTCAGCTCGCTGAGGGCGATAAGGATTGCCTCCGCCGCGCGAGAAAACTCGTCCGAGACAAGCTTGTCCGGCGGGCCATGCTGGTTTGTCGCCGCAGTCCCGGGAGTCCAGTCGGAGAAGCCATGGGCAAGGGTACCGAGAGCCAAGACGATGTGATGGATCTGGAGTGTCGCCTGCGCGTCGCCCCCCTTGGCGCGAGGAAGATGAACCTCCATATCCCGGAAGAGGGGGTCCATTACCGATCGAGCATACAATGCCTGCTTCTCTGCCGGAGTGCTATGTGTAGAAGAGATGCATCCGATGGCCTCGAAGAGGTAGAGCTGGCTGGTGAAGAGCGCATCCGCAGAATGATCCGACTCGTCCGAGGACATATCATCATCAGCATCCTCTCCAGGCACTTCCGCTTTGATGGGCAGCAGATCTCCAATCGACTGAATGACCGTCTCGGCGACGTTGCCGACACGAGAGCGCAGGTGCTTGATGAACCTGTGGAAGAGATACCAAGACCGGGTCTTGATACGCACATGGTTGTGGTGGACCAGACGCACGAAATTTTCCAGGACCTGGGGGATGTACTGGGAATGAGACTCGAAAACCGCACAGTATCTAACACAGATCTCCATGTACTGAAGGAGGATTGCGGGATGAGAGAAATTGGCAATACCTAGAGTCAACTTGTCAGCTGGTTGTCCAGATATAGGAAGACAAGTGAGCGCCCATGGGCTGCTTCTCACAAGGGAACTCACCTGATTCAACCATCTTCTGCATCATCACGACCAGTCTCTCCGACGCTTCAGAAGACGGCTGGTTCTTCGTGCCAAGACCCTGGTTCGGCAACGCAAGCTCTCCGAAGAGGTACATCTCATGCAGTGCGAGGTCGAGGTCCCGCCAATCCATCTGCGATCCCGCCTGGTCCAGCGTCTGGAAAGTGGTGGCCACGAGATTGCTCAGAACGTCCATATACAAGCCCTGGTCAATGGCGGCAATGGTTTTCTGGAGATACTGCAGGCGTCGCCTGAGCTCTTGGAACTCTGCCTCGTCCGTCTGCTCGTCCTCATTTCCCCATGATGATGTCTCGTCGTATCGCATCTTCCGAATGATCGCATTGAGAATTGGTGACAGCATGCCAGAGTATTCTGGGCTAAGCTGACCCAGCTTCCGCAGAAAGGTGAGGAGGTCGGTCAATGATGGGATGACAGTCGAGCACACCTCATCGTATTCGTCGGAGAAGAACCGCAGGAGAAGCGGAAGAAAGCCGTCCAGATGCTGCTTGGCCAGCGTCCGTGTCTCTTCGCTGGCTTGGTTGTCGTCGAGAGCCCTCACAATATCCGACACTGTGGTGTTAACGAGCTTGGCAATAGCCTCGGCAAGATCTGTGTCGTACTGCGGGGTGCCCTTGAGTTCGTTAAGCATGGGGCTGGCGACCAGCTGGCTCACAATGTTCTGCAAATTAAGGAACGAGATCATGTCCATCTTGTCCGCCGACCGCATCTTCTTGCCGCAAATCTCCGTCAGGGTATCGATAGCAGTATCCCGCACCTTGTCCTCACTGCCAGTCCGCCCAACCACGGGCAGCAGCAGGTTCAGCATGTCCTGGCTGACGACGAGCGAAATGTCCATCCAGCTCACCCACTTGCCGATGACTTTCAGAACAAGGTCAACCACGACATCGTTTCCGCTGTATCTGGAGAGCAACTGTTTCCACGACTCGGCGACCTTTTGCATATCCTGGGCGCGCAGCTGATCTTTGAGCTCGGTATTTCGCTTCGAGTCGCTCGTCTGCCGTGACAGGAGCATATCTGCAATCTCATCGTGCACCGACGACAGGACTCGCAGGTAGAAGAGAACACCGGGCACGTTGTCGATGTTTTGAGGGAGCCCGGTCAAGTCGAGGAAGTCGTCGAGGAAGCTCTGCCAGCCGTCACGATAGAGGAAGACGAAGAGGTATGTCAATGTCTGCGTGAGCTTGTTCTGGAGGTGCGCAGGATCCGGCTCTTGCTGAGCCCCGGGGCCGTATGCTTGGCGGACATACTGCAGCAGTGTCTGCTTAAGGAAGGCCAGGCTGTCGGCATCGAGGCCCTGAGTGTGAACGGCGAAGTTGACCACCTCAAGACACACCATACGCACGACCTCGGACGTTCGGGGGATTCGAGCAAACAGATTCGTGCACGCTTGCCATCCTGATGGGTCGGTCCTCAGACGGTTCAAATAATCAAACGCCTGCTCCTTAACAGACTGATCGGAGGCGGGATTCGACAAAATCTCGACGGCGTTCTCGACCTAGAGGTAAACGATCGTTAGCTATATGCTGGGCCTCGGGGCAGCAAATGTGGCCATCGGCCACAAGAGGCGTTTGCTCGGCGAGGGAGAAGCGAAAATCTCGATGGCCGTTGTCTTGTTTCTTTCCTCCATGATGGCTTCAGCGGGAGATTGCCGATGGCGGGGCACCACAGGAAGAAAAAAAATCCATAGAGGGGAAACAGCAGCCAGGGTCTCGTGTGTCCAAGACATGCAAACTGACGTACCTGGCTCTCCATGCTTGCAGAATGATATCAAGAAGTGACAACAAAAGAAAAAAAAGAGAGAAGAAAAGCTCTAGAAGAGCGTGTTTGCTGAAGGGGGGCGCTGCTATAACTCTGGCAGCCTTGTGAATGCAACATGCAGCATGCTTAGACTAGTAGGCGGCACGAGGCTACCGCGAAGGCATGCCTGGGTCGAAAGTCTTTGTTTTCGTTCGTGTTCGTGTATCGCGGAAAGAAAAAGTCGAGGCGGCGGATGTCCAAGTCTTGGAAGGTTTGGTCGTCGTGGGAGTATCGAGGTAGAGGAGAACCCACAGCTGTCACAAGCCAGCCTTGCACTTGTTCGTTCGTTCGCTCGGACACGGAAATGTGCGTCTTTATTCGCTATTTCGAAAGTCGGTGCAGCCTGTGGGGGTGGTAGATACAGATGGAAGAAGTTTGAAGCGGATGATTTTCGGGCAAAAATCCAGCGCTGTGGGCACGGAGTCCGCACTGTGCCGTCTCACGGCATTTTTTGGTGCCTGCTTCACAGTGCGGTCTGAACCTCATTCGGTTATCAAGACGGCGGCGGCATACCTAGGTACGAAGCTGTGATAACATGAGCTTCATGGAACCTTGAAGGTATACACGCTGAAAGCCTCTGACGACCTTGTTATTGGGCGTCTGCTCGTGCACTTGAATTATTTACTGCCTACGCTACGAGGAATGGCATTGGTCGTGTCATGGTCGATGGTGCTGTAAACTCGCGTCTGCTCACGTGCACATGTAGATCCAAAGTTGCAGACACTGCAGCTCAAGGACGAGATGAAATCGCTGATGAGACTAAACAATGAGTACCTACTCTTATCAACAGGTTAGGGTGCATACGGCCGTGGCATTCCTCTTACAATAAGCGTGTTCACCGAGCGTTGGATCTGCAGATTGCGCACGAGTTGCCTTAATATCGTGAGGTGCGGTATAAGGCGATATAGGTACCTACAAATCGCCCCTGTACGAGATACCTCCTCGGAAGCATCGAAGCTCCGCCTTGATGAGTAAGTAGGTACATTGTTTCTCAGTACGCGTAAACGGCTGGAGCAATTCGTGTGACGTAGGCCGATCTATCACCCTTTTTGAGTGACATCAAGAGGAATATGATAGTAGAGGCCGAGTTTGCAGAAGCATTTGGTCATACTACCCTAGACCGTGAACACAGGTGGCATGTTGGTTCCCCTACAGCTTCGTCAAGGAGCTGGAAAGCTACTAGGTAGGTAGATACCTCTGGAGTCCATGCTGGAATCCATTACTTTTGCATCTAGTATTCGAGCTTGCGGGTTCATCTGAGCCGAAGCCACATCATTTGCTCTACGCCTGCCTTGTCGAAGCGTCGAAGCGTCGAACGAGGGACCTCGACACTCGCCTTCAGAGATCTTTCAAACAACCAAGCATGTCAGTTGTGGAGATCAAGATCACTCAACGTCATCGAAAGCCTCTCTATACATCCAGTCCTCCCGTTGATCGACGGAGGTAGGCTGCAAGGCAGTCATGAAGCGGACTCGAAGCTCTACGGAGCCGGTGGGACGCCTTGGGGGGGGGGGCAGAGTCGAAACGCCGACATACACGACGCCACTAGAACGCTGAGCATATTTGTCGTCGAACGAGCGGCTTGATCTTCTAATAGCGCAGGAGGAAAGAAGGGGCGAAATAGATAGCTGTACCTGCTGTACTGCGTACCACCCGCTGTGACTCGTGTAACAGTGGCGACAAATCATGCGATGCAAATGCGACCAGCCGATATTGTGGTCATTTCGTCTCTTGTTTCGTGGCGCCGGCAAAATAAGCTTCATCTCTTTGCTTATGAGAGGATCATGGTTCGCCGAGTACTCTCACATAGTAGTGCGTAAGTAATCGGAAACTGGTATTAGTAGTACTTGGCGGGTTAACTAATAGCCTGGCTATAAGGCCCCTGCCTCTCCTTACTAAAGAGGCAGGGACCTAACCTATATCTTTTATTAATATATATCCTTCTTTTTTAACTTTATAATACTATAACTTAATTAAATTATACTTAATTACTTTTAAATTTTTATAAAATCTTAATTAACTTCCTTATTTTAATATATTTAAATTTAAAAAGGATAGCTTAATATATATAGCTGCAGTAGTATAGTTTTATATTAATAATAAAATACTAACTTATTAAATATATATAAATTTATAATTTATATATCCCTTAATAATTTATAAAACTATATTATAATTTTATATTAATAAAAATCTTATTAAGAAATATATATAATTTTTAAAGGCTAGCCTAGCCTTACTTAAAGGCAGAACTAGCAGCATGCCTATAGCTTTAATTAAAAAAGAGGAAAAAGCTATTATAATATATACTTAAAGAATAAAAGGCAGCTCTTTTACTTTTATAAAGGCTTATTTTATTAACTAGGCTAACTTCCTTTATTATTATTAATTATTTAAACTAGTTCTTAATTTTAATAAGTATTAAATCTATAGATTTAAAAATAGGTATTTTAAATTACACTTTTAAAAAGTAAAGATTAAAGAAATATAATAAGCTAAAGTAAAGCTTAATATTAATAAGCTAGAGTTATAGTTTAAGAAGTTAAAAGCTATAATTACTGCCTTTAATATCTTAGCTTATAACTTTTAAAACTTTAATAAAACTCCTTTATAACTTAAATAAATAAAAAGCTTATTAAGACTTATATTAATATAAAAGAAAAGTAATATATATTTAGTTATTTTTTAATTAAAGAATAAAAAGTCCTTAACTTTTATTAATACTATTAGTATTATTAATAAAGCTATCCCTTTTTTTTTATTTTTTTTATAAAAGTTATTTTTAAAGATTATATAATAGCCTTAATTAATAAAAATATAGTTATTATATAAATAATAACTAGATTTAATAATACTTAATAAGCTTTATAATAGCTATAGTATTTTAATTATAATTTCTTTACTTTTAACTTAAGCTTTAAAAGCTATATAATTAAAAGTTAATTTAGCTACTTATTAAAAATAACTTAATTAACTTAAAGTAAAACTAAATATTATTAATAAGGTTATATTAAAAAAAAATAAAAACTATTTACTAGCTTTTATTAATAAATAGATTTACTACTTATAAAAACCTTAAATTTATATAGTATTATAATCTTTTTAATATTATGCCTTTTAAGCTTTTTTTATATATAAGCTATTTTCTTTAACCTTTTAATATTAGTATTTATTAATATTTTAAGCAGTAATAGTAAAAGTTTTTATAAAAGTTTATAATCTTTAATAATATAAGTATTATAAAATATAACTTCTTTTATTAATAAAATAAAATATATAAAGCTGCTTTTAAAGCTTATTATATTTATATTAAATTTAAAAAAGCTAGCCTTTAGCCTTTTAACCTTAATTTAGTATTATTATTACTTTATTATAGCTAAAAGTAATAGCTAAAGCTACTTTTACTTAGCCTTTTTACTTAAAATATAATCTTACTGCAGTTAATTAAGAAGTTAGTATAGGATATATAAAAGAAGCTTAAGATTTTAAGTAGCCTAACTTAAAATATTATTTAAAATACTATTACTTATATAAATTATATAATAATTTTAAATTATTAAAATAAGAAAATATAATAACTTTAAAATTATTAAATTTAGTATAAAGTGCGCTAAATAAAGACTTACTATTAAATTTAAAGTATTACTAATAATACTTATATTATTACTTAGCTTTATAATAAAATAGCTGCTTAATAATAATAAAAAGTAAAAAAAAAAGCTTAAGTATAGGCTTATAAGTATTAATATTAGCTATAATAATAATATGCCTTAAATATAGCTAAAGCCTTATTAAAGCCTTACTTTTATAGCTAGGCTGCTATTAATAAATAAAAATATTAAAAAAAGGCATTTTAAGTATATTTTTAAAATTAAAAGACTTTAAAAAAAAGAGAGATATTATAATAATTTATATAAAAATAAAATAAAGCTAATAATAATTATTATTTCTTTTTTTTAAAAATAATACTATAGCTTAATTTTTTAAAAATCCTTAAACTTATAACCTAGCTTAAAAAGGTTAAAAAAAAGCCTAAAATTAATAAAAAAGCTAACTTAAAAAATAATAAAATTAATTAAAGCCTTAAGGCTAATTATATTATAATATTATTATTTAATAATACTGCTAGTAATAATATTAAAGAAGATAATAATAATAATAATAATAATAGTAATATTAAAATTATTATAACTTTTAACTATATAAAGACTTTATTTAGTTATTATTTTAATATTTTTAGGTTCTTTTATATAAAAGGTCTTAGCCTTAAACTTAATAAAAAAATAAATTAAGAAATTAATTAAAATTTAAAAGAGTTAAAAGTTTTAAAGGTATATAACTTATTATTAAAAGATAAGCCTTTTATTATTATTATAAAATATTAAATTAGTATATTATAAATATAAATATATCTTTTTTAATATTTTTAAATATAAATTATATTACTATAATAATACTTAATATATTAATTTTTATATTAAAAAAAACCTTAAATATAGTTTTATATAGCTATTAATTCTTTTTTTATTTTCCTTTTACTTAGGCATTATAGTGCAGCAGTTATGCTATAATAAAAGGATATGCATTAATAAAAGATATAGGTTAGGTCCCTGCCTCTCTAGTAGGGAGAGGCGGGGGCCTTATGGCTAGGCCATTAGTCAACCCGCCGAGTATGTAGGAGCCCAAGATCTCTCGAGGTTGCGGATAGTGTGGCTGTGATGCCCTCTTATCCAGACGCACGCACCAGCGTACCTTGAGGGGCCAGTGGAGGTTTGGACGTCACCGAGCGACAAGAGCGAAAGAGGGACGAGGAAAGAAAGGCAGGATACCAGAATATGACGTAGAGAGAGGCGAAGCAGCAGCAGCAGCAGCAGCTCGGTGCATGATCGACGGGAGCCGTTTACGCGCCGTGCAACAGCTGAAATGAGGTTGAGCACTGCGAAGCATCACAGACA